GTACTTGTGACTTTATGGCACTCATCCCTTGCTTGATGTAGATCTAAGATGATGAAAAGCATCTATAGAATTGATTTTGAAATTCAAACGTACTGGGAAACGATGGGTTAATTAATTTACAAACAGGGACAGAAATTATCGTCTGTATCACATCTACTATTTTAAAAAAGAATCTTTTATACATATATACTTGTGCTTATATGACATTATGGCTTGCAACTCCTCATCAAAATGCGAGAATATATTACCATCTTATAACATACACAATGAAACCGAGTACATCACCTGTGTCGGCCTAGGGACGAGATCAAAATGCATCGTTTTCATACAGCAGACAAAATATTGAAATTCAAGTATGAACATATCGGCTGTTTTAATGTCAAATATACTGCCTCTAATATTTCCAAACTAATGGCTAAATCATTCTCATTCTCTTTTTTTCAGGAAAGAGTGAAAAGATGACATTTGGAAAAAGGGGGTTTATCTAGACACTTGATTCTATAATCTATACGATATGAAAAGGTACCTCTTTAAAGCCTGTCTGCACTAGTTTGGCCAGGGGGGATTAGAGCTCCCTGCAAGGTCACTGACAGGTGTTATCTCATCAAAACAGCTCTCAGTTAAAATAAGAAAAAGAGGATCATGGGGGACCAACAGGCACCGATTGGGGAAGTTTTCTATATAGAGGGAGCAAGTAGCTACAAGTAGGCCAGTGGGGCTTTAAACCATGCCCAACCATAAGAGATACGACCTGGAAAGGTGTACCAGAAACCTCAACAGAATCCATGCTAAATCCTTCAACCCCCCCCCCCCCCCCCCCCCCCCCCATTTCTCTATCCCAAACATCCACGGTATGACGGCGAGGCTGAATCGACACTACCACAGGTGCATCTGTAAGGTTGTGTTTCAGACAAGACTTCAGGATTTCCCACTTCTGATTGCCTGGCTTAGTATCGAGGTATCACGGCTTGCTTCCAGATCACGACTAAAATGGGGTCAATGGGGTCAATGCCAACAGATTTGCTCATTCCAAATGCTACATTTGCATGTTCTTATTAAAGCTCAACAAATGGGTATTTCGTTTAAAATCTCTTGACCAATATTCGACAACACATTTAAGGCCTATTTAGATATGGCGCGGTGTACAGCCGCAAAAAAGCCGCTGGAAGTTTCTTTTCTCTTGTGTAAATGAAGGGCAACTATGCGCATCAAACGACTTGCGTGTATCCACTGGCCTCTGTGTTACAAGATACAGAAATGAGAAGCATATTACTGTACACTTAACGTTTATATAATAAAAACGCAGTAGTTTCAGCGAGTCATATCTGAACGAGCCTTTACGGTTTGGGGTATCAAGAGGCCCGTCGTCAACAGCTCGAGTTTGCCAAATAACCCAATTTTTCAGACTCGGGATATTATCCCACAGCTCCAAATTGCGTCTTCACCTGACCAATATGCTCATCACAAACTAGCTTGGACGAGCGCAAATTAGCCCGCTTTTTCCCAAATAGCGGGATATTTTTGGAAGCAAGACCAAGATTTCTTGGGATATTTTCTCGACCAAATATCCCGCTAATTGCAACTGCGGTCTGATGAAGACGCAAATCAACTGGCTAATTTGAGATCGGCATAGTTAAAATAGCGGGGTATTTGGTAAACTTGGGCTGATGAGGACAGGCCTAAGGTAGATAACTAGTAATGAGGTCTCCTCTGACATTGAACACCCGAGCCGATGCACCTGGGCGAAACCCAATGCCGCCTCCCCCTGCATCACTGGGACACCTCTCATTGCCGCTAAGCCTCTACTGATCCCCAAAGCCCACCCAGCCAGTCGCAGCAACCGCTGCGCTACTTGTTACCAGAGGACAGGTGGAGGGACTTATGTCACAAGCATCTCAACCTAGGAATTGCATAGGCGAGTTGTATATTACAGTCCTTCTGCACTAGTTTGGACAGGAGGGATTAGACCTCCCTGCAAGGTCACTAACAGATAGTTATCTCATCAAATCAGCTCTCAATTAACATAAGAAAAAGAGGATCATGGGGGACCACCAAGCACCGATTGGGGTTTTCTATATAGAGGAAGCAAGTAGCTACAAGTAGGACAGTGGGGCTTTAAGCAAGTCATTCGCATGGAACAGTGCGTAGGAGCATAGTATTCATTTTTCTCTAATTGATTCTATTCGATCTATATATCAATCAATCATTCTTTCGTGCTACATATCTGCGTTCAAAAGTCGACAAATCCCTCTGAACTGCACATAAGCTTTTTCTTTACACAGAAACTCATTACGCACGCTGAACTGATGACTGCCTCGCCTTTTAAGCATTTTTAAAAGGAAAACTTTCTTGTCTCATTTCAGGTAATTCACTTTGCTAAGAGTTGAAATTTTACTGTGTTTTTCTTTCTTATGAGAAATTATCATTTATCACAAAATGGCCTTGCATTATTTTGAAAAAACAAATGAGGGGAAAACCCCAAAATGCCTCATACGGAAATCAAATCTGTTTTACTTTGAAATTCTGGGCGGGAAGCAAGATTAATTGAGGATGCAAAGATCTTGTTGACTATAATTTGTGAAGAAGCTAAATCCTCTAGGTCATAACAATTCATGGAAGGACATCTAAAAGCAGTGCGGTTTATCCATTTTGATCTATGTTTTGTTCATGTTTGCCTTCAGTTCCATTCCAACTCTTGAAATGCGAGGGCTCTTGGTGGGTTTGAACTATGTAGGAGTGCCCTCGTTTAAGAACGAATGCTCAATTTTTGTCAGGAGACTTGATAAAGGAGCCCACACATGTAGCTGAAGAACAATGGTTTGGTAATGTCCTAAAAGCTTTATAAAAAAATACCATTAATCTAAAAGAAAGAGTTACGAATGCAAGCACACAAAAAGCATGCAAAGAGTGTTTTCTGAGACACCCTTAAAAGAGTGAACTTCCAAAACCTATGAAAGGAAATGAACATGGGCATAGAAAAAACATGATATTTAAATGTTATTTTGTCCGTTGAATCTTTTTTCTGAGATGCTCTCGAAAAGAGCGCACTAATTTAGTTATTTGTCAGTGTGAATGGTGTACATCACAGGCCAGACAATGTAATAAGTTAAGATCCCATCGTAAAAAATCACACACATGGTGAAACGTTCTTCAGAGGTATTCCTAAAAGGGAACGCAAATACTAGCAAGTATAAACAGGGCCTTATAGATCACGAGCAAGACAATGCAATGAGTTATGATCTTATTTTAAGGAATTACACACATGGGGAAACGTTCTTCAGAGGAACTTCTAAAAGGGAACGCAAATACGTGCAAGTGTAAAAGGGGCCTAATACATCTCATACGAGACAATTTAACCAAATGTGATCTCATTTTAATAACCACATAAATGTCCATGGTGAATTATTCTTCAGAGACACTCCTAAAGGGAAACGCAAATACTTGCCAGTGTAAATGGGGCTTAATACATCACAAGCGAGACAATATAGAAAGTCATGATCCTGTTTTAAAAATCACATACATGCATCTCCATTAAATGTCACATGATGCTCAGAACATCGCCCCAGGCAAAACCAATCTCCCGTGAGTGGTAACATTACACCCCTTCCCCATAATATATCGGTGCATTGTTCATTCGATATAATACTTCAAAACCGCGCTGGAAAGAAAAAAATTGGTGGACATAATCCGATTTCCAACTTCTCTGATGGATCCATCCAACTTTTCAAGGAACCTAAAAGGAATTTGAGTCGAGCAGCAAAAAAAAAAAGAAGCAATGTACAATGTTTTGCCACAAGGGGGAGATCACATTGTCGGTAGCTGGAGTCCAATGTATATAGATAGTACATACCAAGAATGTGGGGATAGTTAAAGATGAAGTTGAGTTCTGGTCATGCGATTGCATTGTGAAAGAAACGGTGTGGAACCGACCAGAAAAGGTTGATCATCTAGCATATAAGAATTTGTGTGTATTGCAAGGTTCTGGAATCATCAAAATGATAAGAAATTTGGCCAAGTCTTGGTGAAGTTAAAAACACTTGCACAGAAAGATGCATATGGGACTACACGAACACGTGGCGTAAAAAGCCGGCCCCCCGATTTTTACGATGTTACATGCGTATTTAGAATATGAAGGCATTTGAAGAGCCATGCTTTTTAGGGAACATGTCTTAACTGATGTTCTTCCACACTTGCATAATAAGAATGAGTAATGCTCACAAATTATTTTTCACCTCTTCCCAGAACTCAACCTTCTCTTTAAGCCATCTCTATCAGTCTACCTACCCCGTCATTGTTGTAATAACCCTGTACATGTGTTATTATCAAATTTCTATTTCACTCACAACAAATGACAATTTTATATTATCCATGAAACTTGTAAATCGTAGTTAAATATACGCAATAACTGTTAAGGTGTCTATATCTTTTGATGTGTTATCAATGTACTTTGATGCCATTTGATTTTTACTCTGTAAAATGAACAATTTCAGCTATCAGCTGCATGTTCAATGAGTTTTATCTTAATAAACCGATTCAATACAATAATAGAGCCTCAATGCATTTCTAGGTGGGAAAAAAAATGGGATAATTTAGGCTGTGTATGCCCCTTGAACCCTTGATGTTGCCGAATCTTTAAGCGATCAACGAGAATGTTTATTTTTCCTGCGTTTGGATGTAGGCCCTTACTGGTGGATAGCACTTAAGTATATGTTGTCTATGCGATAGTTGTGTATACTCTCAAATATTATGCAAACAAGAGCTTATCATGGCCTGTTAGAGAGAACCTTATTGAATGGAAAAGCAAGTACCGTTTGTTAACTTTAAAGTGATGCCCTTGCAGACAGGAGAACAGTTCAATGAATAACACGATTAAACCTGCTCTCGCAAGGGATTCGTTGAACTGCAGTAACGCTAAATATCAAGATTACACAATGTCCGTTATTCAAACGTAGTACATGCTTAGTTTAAGAATATTACAAAACACAATGATTAATTGAAAGGAGTTGGATAAGGAGTAAAGAACAACATGATGCAGAAATATAAAACATCATCTCTAGTTCTGCATCCACATGTTTTTAATACAAATCATGATTTTTTTTTTTCTTTCTGTAATATTCCTCTTCTTTTGTACAATGAGGGTTTATGGCTAGACTGCTATCTAATTATTCATTCATTAACAAGATTTCTCAGTCATATAACCAGTATAGTGGTCTCAGTGACGACTCTAAACACACAAACATTAAGTTATAACATCATGGAATTGTCCTTCTCCACCTCTGCATCATGAGACAGAGCCCACGTGTAAGAGTAGAGGAGGCTGTCAAAAAAAGTATACTTATAGTAAAATATAACCGGTTGCGTGCACCTGCACTGAGGGCGAAAAGGGTGCCTCACTCCAGCGTTCTGTCGGCAAATCACTCAATGTACCTCCAGAACGGATCCTGAAGAAAACGTTTCCTGATATGGTGCAACACGACGACGCCCGGTGATTGGACGCTGGTTTAAAATGTTCAAAGAGAGCGCAAGGTATGTTGCACTGTTGTCACAGAGGTGTGATGGACGCCCGCGGAGCGTGACCGATCCTGATTAAGGGGTGTGCCTGTCCTGCCGGCTCGATTGCGTCCTGACCTTGTACATGACCAATGCGAACCAGGACGCAACGTCCACCCTGGCGACCAGGTACCTCTTGAAGAAGCTGTGCTCCTGTAGGGAGATGAAGAAGTGAAGACAAGTTTAAAGTAGTCACCAGGGGCCCGTATTACAAAGAGTTGATATCAATTGCAACTTATTTGCGATTGATATCAATCGCAAGTATGTACATAAGAGATAGGAGACTGCACACTTGCGATTGATTGGAGGAGTTGCAATTGATTTGGATCCATCGCAACTCTTTGTAAGATGGGGCCCTGAAGAATCAAAAGTGTTTTGAATTGATGCAAAAATTCATATAAAAGCGAAGGGGAAGCCTTACTGATCAAATATAACAACTTCCCTCTTCAGAGTATGTTTGGGGCCTGCAGTAATCATCTCTCAAAAATGTTAATTTTGAGATCAAGACTTTCTGCCTTCAGCGGTCCTCCATAGAGCATCAAGATTTGTGAAGTCACATGCGAGACACAGCTAGCCACAAAATTGCATTTTATGCCTTTCCATGATATCTATATGATTTTTCCGCATATTCTTTGTGTTTTTCAAGAGAAAATCTTTCCATCCATAAATAATTTGTCCATAATTATCAGTTATTTAAGAACTTCTGGTGAGAGATTAATTCAGACAAGTGTTTTTTGTAGTTATTGAAAATTGTAATCACTTGGTATATAATCATAATAATATGAACTGTATGTAAGAAGTAATGGTAATTTTTTTTTTTTTTATGGGGGGTGGGGTGGGGTGGTTTAGTACTAAAGTTAGTCTTCTTTCTTCATTAGTGTTTTGAAGTTCATTTAATTTTGAGATATATCACAAACCACATCTAAGATTATGCTATACATCTGATGATCGTATTACTAGAGCTTTTACCAGACCAAATATGAAATTAGGTTTAATAAGAGGGGGGGGGGGGGCTGGATAAAAATGTGCGCCCCTGATGTTATTTTAATGCTCAAACAAAAGACAAAACAAAACTAAACAAAAAACAAAACAAACAAATAATCTGTTCTTTCCTTTTGTCTAGGAAGATTAATGCCATTTTTGTTATAAGTGATAACATAACTCTAATATATTCTCCACTTGGGGGTTCAAGTATACTTACCATGAGTTGCTTGTATTTAGGTCTTTTATTGTAGTCTTTTGTCAAACTGTAGAAAGAAACATTGGGGGGAAAAAAGAAGGAAGAATGACTTGCATAATGTTATCTATAAAACAATCTCCCTGACAAAACAGGTGTCGAATGCAGTAAAGATCAATATCAGCACCTCAATAATGACTCACAACATTATTTTCATTCTCAGCCATTTCCTTTGTAACACCTGCCTTCTTATTTTTTTCTTCTTTTCGTTGTTCATATTTGGGCATATTCATAATTTATTTCTTCAATTTAAATGTACTAGTAGCACTTTAAATAATAGTGCTCAGATGCCAACTTTATCTACCTCTTTCTCTCCTCATCTTCCCTCTGTTATTATAGGATGCAGACTACAGCGACTGTTTATTCCAACTTCCATCCTGGAACCAATTTCATACCCAACCCTAACCCAAACCTTAACCCTAACTCTCAGAACAAGTCCTACACTGCCATCTTAGATGAAATAAAGCCTGGAGCAAATGTCACCAGAGCACTTGCTAGATCACTTTGATGCCTTCCCTACCAGCATTAAAAATAGATGAAAGTGGTGAGTGATTCAGCTCTCAAAAAGCTATTTTAAAAAAGGTTTGGTAAACTAAGAGCTGCGGTAAAAAAATCTTTAAAAATTAAAATATGCTGTGATAAAATCACACCTTTCCAACAACATTTGCTAAACAGGCGCCAACACAAAGAGAAGAGGATTTATGACACTGCTCGCTCCCGACATACAGTTCAACTGAATTATTCATGACCCTTGTAAAGTTGATGTTTTTTGTGTCTTTCGTAACTCAAGAATGATCGATGGACTGGTTGAATTAGAGTATTTATTGAATACTTTTAGATGTCAGCTTTAATATGTCACATTCTCAAGAAACATGAATTGAGACGAATCAATTTTTCACATACAAAATTACTAAACTTTGTTAGGGTATGAGTAATTCTGTTGTTAAAGGTAAAGACCAGTTCTGGTCATGCGATTGCATTGTGAAAGAAACGTTGTGCAATCGATCAGAAAAGGTTGATCATCTAACATAAAAGTATTGGTATGTGTACTGCAAGGATCTGGAATCATCAAAATGATAAGAAATTTGGCCCAGTCTTGGTAAAGTTACAAGCACTGTACACAGAAAGATGTATATGGGACTACGCAAAATCAATCCAGGCCGGATCAATATGATAATTTACCAATTATATCAATCAGTAGGGGGTTTCCCTGCAAAATCTGTATCATTACGTGATTGATAATAAGAGCTTCCATTTCATTTTTTGAAAGGGGGGTATTTCCAAAACTGGTCTATACCTTTAACTGTATAACTCAAAGATATACTCACCAGCACTGAATGAAAGAGTGAAAGTCCACCGAGAAGCCTCTCTTGAGCGGAAGCCTTGGGGGATCCTCTGACAACACTCTGGCTAGTACCTCAAAGTCATTTGTACAATTCTTGTAGGGGAATTCCCCAGTCGCTAATTCCACCTAAGAATCAATGATAACGCGGTCAATGCGTCGAAAATCTGGTATACAGTTACATGGATCACTTTTTTATTACCGGTAAGTTTACTAAAGATCCAAGGTTTTTGTGGTTTTGAAATAAACAATTGAATCAACGATGGATGGTCAATATGCTGAAAAATCTGGGAATACATGCCTCACTTTTTATTAAGTTTACTAAAGATCTATAGTAAATTAATCTTATTTGTGGTTTTGAAATACACCACTAAGAATAATTTGACACTTCATTAAATAATAAATATTAAACAATGATAGGATTACACATGAATCACAACAGCAGTTCACTTATGTTGGTGGTGTTTTGTTTTCGTTTTTGTTCATTATTTTCCAAGGATTCCAAAGAAAACTAAACTGGTTCATGGCTTCCTGTTCGAAAAAATAGTATGTAGAGAAAAATACATAGGTCCTCAATTACTTGGTCCTTTTAAATCCTATCTGCACTAGTTTGGCCAGGAGAGATTAGACCTCCCTGCATGGTCATCGACAGGTGGTTATCTCATCAAATCTTCTCTCAATAATATAAGAAAAATGGGATCATGGGGGACCAACGGTCAACACTTAGGCATTGTTTGCCATATAGAGGGCGCAAGTAACTATAAGTAGTGTAGTGGGGCTTTAAGACTTGCAATTTGTACAATGGTCCACAGCTGCCTACTCAATCGTTGCTGTTTGTTCAAAGTTTCAAATGTCTGAACACCAATTGCATTACATAATAAATCACATAGCAATAGTCAATACGCTTCTCTAATTGTAATATGTGATGCAAATGAAATAGTTACCAGTGAAATTCCTAGACTCCAGACATCGGCTCTGACATCATAGTCAGGATTATTTGGATCTGGTGGGTCTATTCGCTCCGGCTGTACGAGAAAGAGGAACAGATGCATTAATACAGAGGAACTTGGATATAAAGACCGCTCAGAGAGGCAACAAAAATGGTCTGTATAGGCAGGAGATTTTTAAGTGCAGTCTCCTTTAGTACGCCTTTTAATAACAATCACTTTTCCAGGGATAACACAAAATGTGATCTTTACAGACAGGTTGCCCTTGTATACAGGTTGTAACTAAAGCAGGTTTCACTAGGTTATTATTATCTATATAAGGCTTCCAAGTGGTACAATAAATCAGCGTATTAAATATCTATAGCGCAGTACCCGGATGACTGACCAATTTTGTTTTTGTATTCCTCAGTCATCCGGGAACTTCAACTATTGTTATCGATATCACTTTGATATCATACGAAAACAAAGCCATATTTACCGAGGTAAGTCAAATTTTTTTATTTTGCTAGTCAGAATAATATAGATAATGATAAAAATACTAATAATATTGTATGGCTTTGTTTTCGTGTGATACAAGAATATATTGCTCTCGCAAAGACGATATTAGACTCGTATCAGACTCGTCTTTGACTCGTCCAATATTGTAATAGCTCAAGCAATATATTCTTGTATCACACTCAAAGCCATACGATATTATATAATTATTCTTTCATACAGTACATTTTCCATCAATATTCTTTCGCCTCTTTCAAGAAATGGGGACGTGTGCAATTGGCATCATGTGTGTCAATCACCATAACTAATTTGGATGTTTGGCGATCCATGGTGGGATCCTGTGATCAACATATCAGTTTCGAATATTAATTCTATAAAGAGGCTAGGGTAATAACCATGAAAATCATGAGTCTGTGTATGAGCAATCTATCTGTGATATTTGGGAAATTATTGGCTCTTTACCGTAAGGCCTACAAAAAAAAGATGTTGTATTGCCCTTTAGGTGCCAAAACATGGGTCGGTCGGTCAGGTATTTTAACTTTTTTTTTTCTCCTCCCTCTTTGGGCTGATATTTCTCAGTTTTGAATGCTTTAATACATGTTTTTTTCTTAAAAAACTGTAAAAAAAACTTTTTAAAAAGGCCGACCGTAGATTTCACGATATTTAGGTCAGTCGTAAAGGGCATAACAACATTTTTTTTGCAGGCCTAATGGTGAAGCCTTGCCAGTCTATAAATACTCACCGCCATGTATGCTGCACATCCAGCACTCCTCGTCCTGGCCTTGCTGTCGACTAGTCTGCCGCTGATACCAAAGTCACATAGCTTGACCACGCCCTTCTCATCTAGGAGCATGTTTGACGGCTTCACGTCTGTGAGGAATAACGGGGAAACAAGCAACCAAAGAAAGGTTAATAACATGGAATGGGAGAGAAAGAAAGAGAGAGAGGGAGAGAGAGAGGATGACGAAAGGTAAAGAGTGAGAAGGGATAACAATAATAAATGAGAGCAGAAGAGACACAAGGAAAAGGGTATAGGGATGGGACAGAAATACTCAATGCAATTGGAAATAGAGAAAAAAGGGTTCAAGATGCAAGTAGGAGAGACACAATTAGAGAAAGAGAACTGACGAATGAAATGGGAGGAAGAGAAATTAGAAGGAAAATAATAGATACATAAAAGGAGAAACAAAACAACATTGGAATGAGAGAGAGGGAAAATTAAATGATTTGCAAACATATTGAAAGATGATCTTTCCTTGCCACTCCTTGCTATAATAAATCATGTTTACGCCAACAGTCGCCAAGAGATGGCGCTGCTCAGATTTTTTTTTTTTTTTTTTTTGCCAACGTTTTAGGAAGCACCCCATGCATGGTCCGGCTATGAAAACCCACGCTATTTTACTGCGAGTTGCAATTCAATTCAAATAATAGTAACAATGCTTTTTTTTAAACTAAAGATGACAGACAAATTATCCTCCCAGTTCAAACAGAAATCTGGACATTGGCAGCTAGTTTGGTCCTAGTTTCTGAGTGGTGAGTTGACAGTGACACCCTGTGTATGATTGGGCTGGGAAACATTTTTACTCACGGTACCATGCCGGTGCTTTTTCGGGCACGGGTGAGCTCTGGCTGGCCTGCACAGTGCCAGGTGGAGAAAAAAAAATCAGAAAAAAAACGGCTGCCATGTATTCGAGTACGAGAGATCATACTCGAGTAGTTGTCAACAGTGCGAGTACTAGAGTATTCGAGTACTTGTCGCAGCCTTACTTGAAACACTGCGACCACTGGACTACAAAGTCCATTCAACTCACCTCTGTGCATTACACCATGTTTCTCTTTCAGGTAGTTCAGCGCATTCACAATCTGTGATTGAAGGAAAATACGGAAGAAAAAAACATCCCGATTTGACTGATAAGAAAACTTGGAATTTTAAGAGGACACCATAAACAACATTATGCATGAATTTATAAACATCAACATAGAAATGTTGACAATGCCATTAACATAAAGAATACAACACACCTTTCTGGTAATCTAAGAACTGAGGGAAAGAGTTCTACACACTAAAAGATAATAATCTGTTCACGTGAGTTTTTTGCACTTGGTGGTATTGTGGTCTGCTACTGCTGCTCTAACACATGTTAGTTTCTTTGTTCCATCTTAACATAAGTGGAACATATTGGACATATCTTTGGCACAGTACAACACAAATTTAGAGTGCCCCTAAAACGGGCAGGATAACAAGAGTTCAATAAATCAACAATTTGGTAATACTTCAAATTCATATCAAGTTTTATAATTTTCTATTCCATTTTCTCTTGTTACTCCGAGATTAAGATGTGAGAGAAGTTCTGCCTATCCCTAGCTGTGAACTATCCAAATTGTCGCTGAATCTTCCAAAGATTGAAGAGTGTACAATGTCTGTTACTTACTGCCACAACCATTTTACCGATGATCTGCTCTGGAACGGGTTCTCTGAGTTTCTTGATGAGTTTGTCCAGGCATGTGGCCATCTGCTCCATGCAAATCCACACTTCACTCTGTCAAAATATAAAGATATATACAACGTTAACCCTCTGCGTACTAAATTCTCTCATTCACATAGACTTAATACAGGAGCCATCCGCTTCCCATAGGTAATGGGTTAGCTGACAACACAGTTAGTATCAACATACGACTTTACAAAATACTTTCAGCATACCCCCCCCCCCCCCCACTCTTTCCTCTGTTAGTACATTAATAAGCCAATAATAGAATTTTGTTACACTATCTTTTTTTTACTTTCCTGCTTATGAAGGTTACTGATAACATGGTCTAAGTAAATATAATTTTCAACAGGAAGGAAGGAGCAAGTGAATTTGGCATTAAAGATGTCCAAGCGTGGGTATGTAGTCGTTCGTGAAGTTAGGCAACTTGCAATCACTCCCAATCACTACATAACACTGAACCAATGGTTATTACGCTTCCAAGGCAGAGTTATTAGTTAGATTCAGGTCATTGGCTCCAATTTCAATAAAATCATTAAAGGGATTGGGTATTACTTTGTCTCAGATTCTGAAACAAAATCCTGGATTTAGTTCATGCTGCAATGATAATTATAAATCTTTAGGTCAGTCAGAAACCCCATGGCTCTTACAAGCCGATCACCTGTCTGATTATCAAGATATTTATGATTGGAAATCAAAATCAAGTTTTGCATTTTCCTAACGGTTTTCATAACACTACAGTCTATAGGAGGAAATGAGTATGGTAAAACCAGTCACTCAAAGATTTTTACTTTTTTGAGGCGCTTCATGATCATTTTGAAGCGCAATTTTTTTAGGGCTTCAATACTACATCATATCACAGACACTGATAACATGTAGGGCCATGCATCTCAGATTTAACATTGTTAAACGATGCCTTTAAACATCTAACCAAGGTTGGTGCATTGCTTCATATAAAAAACAAAATAAAGAAGATGATCACGATTTGAATCTACATATGTAATTGAAAGACAAACGCAAGTTTAATCCTTGATTTTAAAATAGAATAAATCATTATTTCAATCAATGATTCAAACGGAAAGCGATTCCTTTTGCTGACCCTGCATACAGTGGTCCAAATTAATACAGGGCAGTTATAAGCAATCATTTTGCTATTAAAAGCTCCATATTTCGTTTTTCCAAATTCACAAGGTTTTGACATGTCGAGCGTTGGCCAAGGTCTCTCATTCAGAGGATATCCTTTGCAACAAAAGGGCCTGGCTGGATCGAACTTTTAACCTTTTGCTTCACGTGCTGTTCCCTCCGCTCTCTGCCAAAAAATGCATGGTGGATATATAGAATACACCCACTATCAACCAGATGTTCAGGTATGGCCAGGGGAGTGTTTCACAAAGACTAAGATCGACTTTTAAGTTGGACTTAACTATGGCAGACAATCGGTTGCTCTCACTATTGGACTCTCCATTATGAAGTTTAGATAACATTTTTTCCTTCAATAATGAACTATTCCCTCCTCTCTCTCTGCCAAAAAATGCAAAGTGGATATATCTAGAATACACCCACACTATCAACCAGATGTTCAGGTATACACCTTGCCTCTTGAACGGTCAGGGGAGTGTTTCACAAAGACTAAGATCAACTTTAAGTTGGACATAACATGCCACTGGTTGCTCTCACTATTGGTCTCTCAATTATGATTACTAGATCATATTTTTTCCTTCAATAATGAACTATCAAAAAATTGTAAATTCTGTAGATTTGTGACCATAATTTGTATGTCCCTTGAGAAACCAATGCCAAGATGGTTAGAGGAACTAGTGGCATGAACGGCCTGCCATAGTTAAGTCCAACTTAAAATTAATCTTAGTCTTTGTGAAATACCCCCCTGGACACTAGACTGAACAAAGGGAATGGGCAGCTTCCTTTCATAAGGGAAGCCGCAGGGTGTATTCAATAACCGATTGTCTCCTTTGCAATTTGTGGTTTGGCTCAATAATTGTTGTTATTAAGAGCCCTAAAAAATAGGCAAGATATATATGTACACATTCACAAAGGGCAAACAAAAGTAGCAGACACTACATCTATTTTTGTTTCATGACTATATTTATTGCGTTTGATGCTAGGAATTTTAAAAACAAAAATAAACTCCAAAAATTCTGAAATTGGCAACCCGCTGTGAGATTCAAAATCATTTCTTTTTTAAAATCAAAATTGTCAATTTATCGACAATATCCTACCTTATTTTTATTGTTTTCAGAGACATTACAATATATTTCAACAATGTAGCAATAAAAGTGAAAAATATTATTGTTGCCAATTTGAAGAACATAATGTGATCATTTTAGCCCTAAAATGAATAATGTCCTAAATGGGTTAATATATCTTGGTACATAGAGCAATGGCGATTGCTGTGTCTGTTTGCAGGGTCTATACATGGGACATTGTCAAAAAGCCCTGTCCCAACATGACCCAGTAAACCACCGTTCATCAAGAAGAATGCGACTGTGTCTCTAATATATTCCTACGCCTAGTATGTACGTTCATTAATTAATGATCCTGTGACCTTTACCATCTGACCTCCCAAACCAATACTAATACTCTTTCTATTTATATTTTATGTTAGCTTTTAATACTTTTCTGATCCTGTCATGCTTGCTTACACTTGCAAATTCATTATCTGTTGCATCTTGCTATTCTGTGCTATTTATTTATATAAAGTCAAATGGATTGGAAAACGAGATTCCCCGGCTATAGTTATTTAGTTAATCCTGTTCTTTTCCTGGCATCCATGTGATATCATGCCTGCTTATACCTGCCATTCATTATTTTTTGTATCTTGCTATTCTGTGGTATTTATTTTAAGTCAAATGGATTGGAAAAGAAGACCTTCCTGTTTAATAATCTCGTTAATCATTATCTTTTCCTGACATTTATGTGACTTAAAAATGTAAACCTTACTGTTGCTTTGCATTGACTGTTTCCTGACTTTGTCTTTGGTGAATAAAAAAATAATTATGAAAACAATAATAATTTCAGCCTCCCAGACACCCAAGCCATGGCGGACACATCGGATTAACGAAAGACAAATGACCTATGACCTTGGTGTATACTTACAGGCGTTACTATGGCCCCTAAGCATTGCACGATGAAAGGGCAATTATGACTTTTGAGTACAACATCCAAGTCCATTAGAATTCTCTTGTTCTCCTCTTTGTTTCCAGACCTCCTCATTTGCTGCAAGAAAAATAAATAAACATACAATTTGTGTTCTTTCCTTTAAAATTTGACCAAGCGTAGCACTTTTTGCTTGTAACATTAACACCGTTAACATGTAATAAAAATGACTTGCTTTTTCATAAAGATTTTGAGGTTTAAAAGAAAAATGCCATGCCTATTTTCCCTTCAAATGGAACATGTATTACTTTAAAAACTAAAATTCAACCAGTAATTACCAGTTGGATTAAAGTTAAGTTGGGTCCATTTCTGTTGCGGTAAATTGTAGCGTTCATGAATTGGAACGATTTAATTGAACGTCAACAATGAAATCTCTAAATGGGCTATTGAAAGAGAAATTAATTTGTGTACAAAGTGGCAATTTCTTGCTGATTATTTCTCATTTTTATGCACATTGGTTCAATTAACATATATTTTCATATTTCTTTATTGCGAAATTGTGGAAACTAAAAACAATTGGTAACAATTTGGAAATTCATTTAAACCTTTCGAAAATTCTGACCTGCTACATAGGGGTTAATTCTGTGAAGGTCACAACTTACCTTCACTGCTAGTATTGTACCACTCTCCTTGTGCCTCATACGAATCACATGGCCGCAGCTTCCAAAACCAAGTTCCCCTATCGACTCAAGACTCTCCACATTTATGTGATAACGCTGCAAGAAAGTGAAAAGATCACAAGTGTAAATGCAAGTAAACAAATTCAATATAATTCCTTTGCTTTAATAATTACTGAAAAAGACATCTCAAACGTCAGTTACAAATGCAGTAGGGTACCAGTCAGCTTAGAATATAATTTGTGTAATTTGCATGTGCACGTGTAACATCAACTAGACAAAATATAAGGATAGCATGAAAATTCTGCAAAAGGGTCCTCAGCCTGATTTGGGTTCTAGCATAGAAGCTGGAAACTTCTTTTTGAGATCATATTATTCAAATTATATTCACCACTGCACCTCAAAGCAGTCAGTATTGTTATCATACTGCACCTGATATCCGTAGCCATAGATAAAATATAAGCAATCTTTAAAGTACCGGTACTTATAAATTTCTACCAAACTTAAAATGGTGTGCCCCTCCCCTTTAATTTGTTTCCAGTGAATTTTGTAATCAACATTATACATACAGTGATCTCTGAAATCTACATGAACATATGTCATATATACATGTACAATTGTATATGTAATGTAATCTTCTTCAATGAACACGGACATTGTTATGGAATACATGTATGTGTAATTGTCTATTTTTCCTAACTTTAGAAGACAGATTTTTCTCCATCTTTCCTTCTCCTTCTTTTGGAGTTCAGTCTCAAACAGGGAAAAAAAAACGTGGAGCTCGGGGCAAATTAGCCCCCGAAATGCCAAAAAGAGCCCCCGTAAGTCATAAAAGAGCCCCCCAAAATTGCATAGAGTTCAATGCAAAAAACAAAATAAAGAGTGTTATTTTCATGCAAGCAAGCTTGAAAAGTAGCCCCAAAATTTTTAAAATACTTTTTTCCCTGGTCTCAAAGCTAGGTTAAAGATTCTGAAAGCTCAACTTGGCATCGCGAGCAAGTGCAATGACACGGCCTACATGTAGTTGTGTTTGGGGGGCACGAGACCGGTACGCTCGAAAGAATCTACACATGTAGCGGATTAGAGCTTTCCCCTCCACATAACAATAATGGATTAGGGTGAATTCCCTAGCTCTTTGAAGGAATCGCTTCAGGAATCGCTTCAGGAATCGATCCAGGAAGCCGTGACGCAAGAGTTTCTTCACGTACCTTCAAAACTTCAACACCTGAGAAGTTTCCTATATAGCATGTCCTTGATCAGATCTGATCTGATACTATCACATTTTTTGTGTGTACCTTTCCACTGCCAAACATTTGAAGTAACCACAACTTTACATGTTGTGCACAGCCCCCTTTCAGGGTTCCACACCAACTCTTTTTAGTTTGGGGTCCGGGGGAGTGTTTCACAAAGACTAAAATCGACTTTAAGTTGGACTTAACTATGGTAGGCTTTTCATGTCACTGGTTGCTCTCACCATCACAAACTTTAGATAATATTTTTTTCTTCTATAATGAACTATCATAAAATGGATATTCTGTAGATTTGTGACCATGATTTGTACATCCCTTGAGAGACAAATGACAGTAAATGGCGAGAGCAAACAGGGACATGAACGGCCTGCCATATTTGGGTCCAACTTAAAGTCAATCTTGTTCTTTGTGAAACACTCCCCTGATTTAAAATTTTCTGTCAACGCATTGAGCACTATGTTGAAACTTTTGAAATGTTGGGGGTCCACACCTAGATTTGGGGTGCCCATGCGTCTAGGGTGCCTGTCACGCCTTCGTTCAGATCACATTTGCAACAAAATATTGAACATGTACAGTGACAATTACATGTACATATCATGTAAAGTCATGTAGACCAGGCCTTCTCAACTAGTTTATTAGAAGTGCCAAAACGAAAAGTATTTGCAGCTGAAGTGCCACCCTGTATGTTTGACTATGCTGCGAGGGAGCGTAGCGACCGAGCCGAAAACGGATGGGGTCGAGGGGCAAAGCCCCAACGGGTGGTAGCAGGGTGCGGAGCCCTCTGAAGCTGGTGGATTTTAGGGCTTTCTAAAGGCCCAAATGGGGCATTTTTAACACCATTTCATTCCACAATATAATCAAGCCTAATTTCATATTGATGTGAGAAAATTAGTACAATTCCTGGGTACAATTACACTGGAGGTAAATTTATATGTAGTGTTTTGGGTGCAATAAACACGGGAAATGTCTCAATAAAGTGAAAATCAAATAAACAAAAACACGATGTTTCCAGAGATTGGCAATGGTAAAATTAGTAGCCCATAGTAAGCTTACTGTTGTTCAGAGATTAGGTTTAGAGTCGTATAAAATGGTAAAAAACGATGAATTTCCCCGTTCTTCCTATTTGTTAAGCAAGCATTTTGGGCTCAAATTTGACTGCAACTTCTTGATTTAGCTGAGTATTTAATTCTAAAATATATATTTTCTTTCTTTCTTTCTTTTTGTTGTTGTTGTTGCAACGTAGTCGCGCGCCACTCCGACTGACCGCAAGCACCACAAGTGGCGCGCGCGCCGCCAGTTGAGAAGGCCTGATGTAGACCCTAGCAAACGTGTGTAATGCACATGCAGTAGACCGAGAGGAGCTCTGGTGTGACATGCAGTACATTTTGTCTCCCTCGCTCCCTAAGTTTATTGAACATATCCTTCCCAATTCAAGCACGAAAGTGTGAAGATAAATGTAAAGCACGATTCCCAAGACCCACCAGACCTCGACTCGAGTGCCGAGCCCGAATTATAGGCCGGTCTCCGGCTGCATTTAATATGGCAAGAGCGACTCTCAGGCAGAGCTCAGGCAGACGCTGGCTGGCTAAAGTTAGCACCCTACCGGAGGAGAGAGAGTTTTGACATGTCCGATCGCTGACATCGGCATGGCAACCAAACCAGGCCCCCTTGGGGACAGGAAGTGTTGTGCTTCTCTGTGTTGGCAATTCAGGTAATTGAAATTAATGCTCAATTTCCTGAAGAGGGACTTGCAGGCTCTCGCGTGTAGCTCCATGACCTGCACTTCCACTAAAAGTAGGGGATTTTTTTCTAGGACTGGCAGGGCAGGCAAAAATCTAAATGTTTATGTTTACAACAATAATTTTTGTCCCATTTATTTCATATGATTTAACCAATTTCACCTTGAATTATTTCTATAAATCCTAATGAAATACATATCACATAGATTTTAATGTTCATAGCTAACTCATCTTATGTTGATTGAGAGTGTAAAATAAACTTGCAATATTTTGTGCTAGAAGTAATATTTGGACCTCACTTTTCTAATATTTAGTATACATAGTAACATGGAGCCCCCAGCATTTAACAGACAAACATTTTTGGTACATGGTACACTTAAAGGGGAGATGAAAACTTCACCCTGATACATGCAGACGGTCTAGGCATGGTTTACGAACTGAAACAATTCAGGCTCGCATCGAGTACTAACATGTAGTACATGTAAACTTAAATAGTTGCTGTACGATAATATCCCTTGGGATAAGTACCTGGTAACACTCCTTTTCATAAAATTAGAAAATAATATTGTCCTTACCTTGCCCTCTGTTGTCAAAAGTCCAGTCTGTTTCATTATTTCCTGCAACTTCCTGTCAATTTCAGGCCTGTAGTACAAATGTGACAAAGAACGATTACGGTAATGAACTTTCAACAAAGTGGGTCAAGCACTTTTCAATTTTCATTTGTGTGATGACTTTTCTTTTGAAGTTGATTATATTTTGATTTGTAATAGCTGTTCATTCTTAAAATCTAAGCTCTTTATTAATTTGTACAATTTTTTTGCACTTTTATAGTTGTGGAAAATAAAATGAACTTATGAACTTAGGTGAAATTTTCAATAAAAAATATTTGTTGATGAATCTTACAATATTTATTGATATATTTATTCCCAGCTAACAATGCTAACAAGCAGGCATGAATTACAACATGTACGTGTTTCTTACAAATGAGTTCAAGTGAATGTGGACTTGAAAGCCATTCAAAAGTAAAGCTGTACATTTCTGTTATTTTCGAAAGTCTGTTTACATTCCATTCAACGGGACGTCAAACAAGAACTTCCTGGAGACTTAACCTTTTGAACACAATCAGTATTATTTACACAATCCAATTCTACAGAACCAAGTTGTACATCAATATATTTTAGGATTAATTGCTCACATGACACTCCTGAGTTTAAGGAACATTGTGTAACTATCAAAATTTGTTTCTAAGGATGTTTACAATTCATTTCATTTTTTCATTCTACATGTGCAAAATTAAGAAAATCATTACGTACTGTACATGTTGATAATTTGTAAGTTATGACAGAACTTCAAAACAGAAGTACTGTACATAATAATAATAATAAAGTAATTTTTATATAGCACATAATAATGAATTCTCTATGCGCTTTACAACAATCAATTATACAATAAAATACATGATTAATCTAAAGATTGAATTGTACATGAATTAACAGAAACATATACAATGATGACAAAATAACATATAATATAAATGATATAAACTTATGAACACAATTATAATAGTTAAATAATTACGATCTTTTATTGTAAGGAAATAACATTATTTGACATAAACTAGCATATATATATATGAAGATTGTAGATGTAATGGTCTGAAAATAACTACATGTTCATGTACATCACCTCAATAATTAATACATGCACTGTACGTCATTATTTCCATGCAGCTTTTTGAAATTGCATGCCTTAAGCCCTCTCCCAAACCACAATATCTAAGGGTCTTCTTTTATAAAAACTTGTTATCAATAACAAGTTACAAGAACTGCTACACTGTACAAGCTACTGACATAGTGGCATTTTAATGACTGAGAGCAGATTTGTCATAGAAATGTAACATTTGTTATCGATAACAAGTTTTATGAAACAAGGCCCAGATGTTTATCATATTTTACATGTAGTTCACAACTTAACACCAAGGGGGATGTTTCTTTACGTTTACCCAAAACTTGAGATTGAAAAGGGCACAGTAGAGTGGTGCACCACCCTCTTCAATTTTAAAGACTTACATGTAGATCTGTGGCTTTGTTTGCTAAAGACCATCGTTTCAAACTTAAATCTTGCTAAACCTCGAAGTTATTATCAACAATCCACTAACAACGACAATGATTTCACAATACAACAAGTATTTACAATTTTAAACTACAAATGTATATGTAAACATCAATTCTAACTACAGTACATGTACAAGCTGGCGTAACCTCAAAATTAATTGCATCCGCACAGCACAGAACCTCAAGTGAGGATCCTGATTATAGTTATCTTGCTTACCTTCAAATCGCTCGTGGTTTTTAACTTCCGAGTTAACTGAAAGTTTTGTAACCATGGGTGTGTCCACACTTTCCAGTTTGCATACATGTACTTACAAGATAGTGTTGACGTTCAAAGCCATGACCTAAACTTAAAGTTAATACATGCAGACTGCCGTGTGAACCCAACTCCACTTACCCGTCTATTGTACTTCTGTTGATAGGTCCACATGTTAGCGGCATTTGTACTTGTTTCTTGTCCCTCCTTGCGTGCGGTGATAACCCTCCATTGTGATTTAGTTGAAGAGCTGTTTAGAACAAAGAACAGGATGGAGTAAGAGCGGACATGTTCATAATTATTGTTATTTTCAAAATATGAATATGGTACGTAAAAGGACAAGTCCATGCTAAACACATGTATATATTTGGTCATTTGGAGTGGGGGTTCTGAATATTACTAGTTTAAGATGATGACGTGGATCCTAATCGAATGATTAGTTGAAAGTGTACACGTGACCAGGCATTTATTTTGCCTAACGCGTAATTTGGATAATGACCGATCATTATCCAATGGTAATGACTGGTCATTATCAAAATCATGTCATAATACATTATTTTATAAAACAAATAAAACATAATCTTATAAAACAGATAATACACAGCATTATGGTAGGGCAATAGTAAAATTTCCCACACTCGGTACCTTCAAAACAGTCCAAACAGTTCCTACATACAGGAAGAATTTTTTTATGGATCATTGGTTGAATATGCATGATTTCGTCACGACTGGTGTGTTCGATGAACCAAAGAACATCCCAAAATTGCCGATGTGAGATGCTTTATGGGACAGAATGGGCAATTTGCCATTGAAAATGGCATGCACACACACACAAAATACCAACTACAACAAAATGATTTTAAAAAAAAAAAAAAAAAAAAAAAAAAAATTGAAAATCGTATTTTATTAAGGAAAATCGTACTGTCGTATTTGCTTCTAAAAATCGTACTAAATACGACTAAATCGTACTGGTTGGCAGGTCTGCAACGGGAGCGCGTCTAACTCATCGTACAGCGCTCAATGCGTAAAGTTCTATGTGCAGCATCAATAGGGGCGCTGGTCCGAGAATAAGGATTGTCCGCATAAACGAGGATCATCTTCGTAAACATGGACGCGTCCGCAAAAATAGCGTCTGCACTCTTTTGCCAGTAGGGGCACTGGTCCGAAAATAAGGATTGTCTTCATAAACGAAGATCGTTTTTGTAAACGCGGACCAATGCGTCCTCATAAACAAGGATCGTCTGCAAAAAAGCAGATGTTCCATATTTTTGATCGGCACATTGGCGATGCAAAAAAACGGATTCCGGGATGATTTTCTTGATGCATTTTACATTGACTTTGTACAGAGACCTTCACATTATGAGCAATAAATTCTTGGGAAGACAGACAACCCATAAAAGTAAAAGGTCAACTAGGGTTTTTTTTTTAAGGCCTGTAACCAATCATCGGATCGAGGGCCGATCTTGAGCCGATCAGGGCTGATCGGATAAATATTTCTGATCACCGATCAATAAAAATGATCCAAAAAAAAATCGGCAGAATTTCTTCTTTTTTTCTTTTTTTAATGCCGAAAAATTTCAAGTTTTGGGCAATCAAATGCTTTTAAAAAATTCATAGCTGGGATTATTTTGTCATTTGGAGTTGTTGTAGACCATGTCGATATTTAGTGTCTTTTCATGACTTTGAAATTAATAATAATATTGGTCTAAGAGAAAAGGCAAAACATGCGGGCCGCCATCTTGGATTATAATGCATGCCTACAATATGCATGCAAACGTCCGCGAAAATGCAGACGATCCTTGTTTATGAGGACGCATTTTGTCCGCATTTATGCGTAGAGTAAAGTACCCGGTAATCGGTCAGCTCCGGTTTTCGGCCAATTGGTTGGATACATGGTAAAATCACTTTAAAATACATCGCATAATAGCATAACACATATCCCACACATACCATACCATGCCAGTGTCACTGAAGAACCACATTTGCAATGAAAAATATATCCTAAAATATCACATTTTAGCGATGTAATCGGCGGTCCCGCTACCCAAATCTGAAAAATCGAGTTTCTTACGCGTGTATGTAAGAAATATGGGTACCATAAAATGAGCTTTATTTCAAGTATTTTTCAGATATAGAGCCCGATTTTGTGCTGGTCGCAAGCTCAAAAGTATCTCATCGCATGTATTAAATCAATGCAGCCGCACACCGCGACGCACACACGATATGTCCGTCTAATTCAGATTCCAACTTCCGATCACCGCTGTGCCTGTATTCGGTCAGGCGAGCACCCGGGAGCTCCGGCGTGGGATACCTGCTCCGCCCGCGTGTGCTATACATCAGCGCAGAAACGCACGGCGCGCGCGAGCGCTTCCGATTGACTTTGTACATGCGGCCGTAAACTGAAACGCTCGGCCGATAACCGGCTCCAAAACAGTGAAAATTGAAATGAATATTGTCATGGCAATTCGTGATTTTTTTTGGGGATTCTTTTTTTGTTTAAATAATAATAATATTTGCTTCATGATTTGAACAAGAAATGATAATAAATAGGAAGTAAAGAGTCCAATAAATAGGATTTTGTCTTAAGTGGCCGAAAACCGGGTACTTTACTCTATATCCTCGTTTATGAGGACGATCCTCATTCTCGGACCAGTGCCCCTACTGATCGCTGATGATTCCGATATATGATCCGCGCGTTGGCGATGCGAAAAACGGATTCCTTGATGATTTATTTGATGCATTTCACAACGACTTAGACATAGTACAGAGACTTTCAAGTTATGAGCATTAAATCCTCGGGAAGATGGACAACCCATAAAAATAGACGGTGAACTTGGGAGTATTTTATTACGCAGAATCCATTTTTTAGCATTGATAACGCAAGGATCGGAAACCCGAAAACCTGCAGAGCGTGTACCTCGTTTATTCTGACCATCCTCATTCTCGGACCAGCGCCTGGCTTCTGTCCTGAACATGCACAAACTTGTCAACGTCAGTCTACGAATTACGATTTGTTTTGTCATTTAATCACCACCAGACTTCAATCATTACATGGATTATGGTCAATTTCATAGTAATCTCTGGGATAGAAAAAGGGTGAATATGCCACCATTATCACTAATAGTACTGTCGCCGAAAGCGAGACAATGATTTTTCACCCAGACTCTACCAATGATACCCCCATGCCCACTGCACTGGCACAGCGCAGTGCTCCGCTGTGTGCATTATTCCTTATGACACTGCAGAGTGCAGTGACAGTGTATAAAATGAATGTTGATGTCTTCCATCTTCTCATTCGCTTGCATAAGCGCTCTAAAAATCATTGAGAGACTACCAAGGTGGAAGGTTTGTTCTTACCTGGCCTCTGCCGAGGCATTTTAGGTGATTCTAAATTAAAATCAATAGAAGGCCTCTCTTTCCTCGCTCTGTTTTCATCTTGAATGCTAATTTGTAGTTGATTCAGTTTTTGTCGTAGGTCCAAGGAAGAAGACATCTTGGAAATTGTGACGCATGCGCATAAATATTTTGGTACTCATTTACATACGGTAATAGACAGCAGCATATTCATATCGAATTGAAGTTCTGTCAAATAAGAAAGAATCTATACCTTTATGGCCATATTTTTGATTTCATACGCTCACATCAACAGGAGGGACGTTAAGCATGAAATTATTTGTTCAAATAAACTGTTAAAGTGATGTTTGAAAAGTAGAAAAATATCGTACAAAATGGTGTATGTTTGTATATATTACTGTCTATTTTTTATTTTCTTCGGCAAATCGGCACGGTACAGCTGTGCGAAAAACTGGGGGTGGGACGGTGATATGTCAAAAGTTTAAAATTGCTGAATGTACTCTAAAAGTAAATAATGAAAATATCCTGTGCATCAGCAGTTAGGTAAAAAAATTAAGGTGGATCGTCGAATCGTCTAGATTATAAGGGATATTATGCGAGGGGTCATGGCCACCATGTACACCAAGAAGAAACAAAAACACATTCCGAATCCCTGATACTATATTAGTTCAGACCTTTGAGATACAGTGTTACTGATCATAGTATGTATATCAAATATTAAATTATTTTGTTGTATTTAATCCATATTTTATTGGAGGCACCTTGAGGGCATCAACATTTTCAAGCACCAGGTCCGACAGCCCCCGCCCCCCCCCCCCCCCCCGCCTTTGGCTACGCCACTACAACTCAGACGCAGATTCTTTCCAACTCTCTCTACTGCTGCCCATAAATATTTTCCTACCTCTTTTGATGAAATGATTATGCCAATATAGGATTATTCATAATAGATATAGTTAAGTTTATGTAGGCCTACTCTCTTTAAAAAAAAAAAGGGTGAATTTTCACTCTATTTTCACTTTCTTGGGAGTGACGTCCGTGATCACTTGTTTAGGAGTGAAAATCGATTGATGTTAGAGTGCTCTCTAAGAAGAAAAGACTGAATGTTCACTCTATTTTCACTACATTTTCACTCTCCAGAGGAGTGACGTCCGTGATCACTCGATTTTTTTAGAGAGTATACTTTCGCAAAATCTTTTATAGATCAATATATTATTATATGAGACTCTTTAGATTGATCAAGAAAATGTATTCCACCTTTATTATAGGCAACAGTATAGTAACATGACACTTGACATTATAGTTTACAACAGAGGTAAAGACCTACATAGGGGCCGTGCCTCCCCCCCCCCCCCCCTCTTCCTTCTAGTCGAATGGCGAAAGGGTAGGGAGAGGGGGGTAGGGAATGAATCGTAAGACACATCTACACGCCAATCAATGGTCTCGATAAGTTACAGTAATTCGCATTATGTCCTCTAGGGTACCCTCCCCCCCCCCCCCCCCCCCCCCCCCCGTCCTACGCTCACACTAGCGCCCCCTTTATGAACAGCAGTGGAAATTTGTCTCAGTCTAGTTGTTCATTCATATTTTGACTCTCGATCTAAGGGCTGGGGGCTCCAGCCCGGTACTAATAACGTCCTATGAGTTAAGACATTAATCCACAGTTGCTACTCTCTACCCAGGTGCTAAATGGGTTAGGCTATACTCGGTAACGCATTGAAGCTATAGCTCACCATTGTGAGCGTCTGTCAAATCATGGACCTAGGTCCACTAGTCAAATGGCGCATGGCTGGAATGCTCCACAGCCGGAGTGAATTATTTTTCACCAATTCTAACTTTAACAATATTAAGGATCAATTGACTTTTCACTACGCGCGTAAACTCTACTTGTCATTAACTACCAGAGAAAATAATATAAACCCAAAATTACTCTGGAGGCATTCACATTCGAGAGAAAAAAGAGAAATAATAAAAGGAAAGGATCGCCGGAGAGGTGAAGAAGGGGTGAGAGGTGAAAGTGGAAAGAAAGGAAGAGCTTGATATGAAATGAGAAGAGCTTTTCAAACAAATTAAAAGTAAGAAAGAGGAAGAGGGAAGGAAAACCGATGAAGAAAAAAGGAACAAAAGCAGAAAATGAATAATACAATGCAGTTTCCGGAGCAAAGAGGCTGGAGGAATCTATTTAGTATTTTGCTAGTTGCACCCCTAGTAAATTTCATATACCTCCAGGAAAGAGTATAATTATAATACGTCACCAAAACACTCGACCTATATAGCTGCAAGTGTGCACGCACATCATTATCAGCCATACACAAATATTGCACTCCATTCATCGTCGGGCAAAAGAAAACTTAATATATCGAGAAAGGATTTGAACAACAAAAATGTATAGCATGATATCTCTTTAATTAAAGTAAGAGGTCAACTTACGAAGAGTCGGCAGTCCTCTTTGGCCATATCTTGGAGCAGGCCGACAAAAGGCAATGTAAAATCTCTGATCTCGACGGTTCATGGTTCCCCCTTCTTAGTTAACTGCGGCTCTCAATGTATATAGTTTATGTGGACTTGAGTGAGAATTTTTTTCGGCATACGACACGGGCTTTCAAAGCCAGGGACAGCTAGCGCAAGTTCACTATAATTAGCAAGCCACTCGGGTCGGATACAAACTTTTAAGGCGTTGAGCCGACCAAAGACGAGCGCCTGCCATTACCAAAAGTTTCTTCTTAAAGGTGCACTCCGGGAAAATTTGTCGTAAATTTATTTTGCTTCAATTTTTAGAATTACGCTAGCTATGTTGATGAATGATAATAAGATAAAGTTAAAAATGAATAATATCTCGCCAAAAATCAGCATTATGAAGAAAAAAAGTTGCAAACTTAAATAAACAAAAAAAGAATGATACAGAAAATTTCAATCAAACTGTAATTTAATATTTCTCTTTAAGTACGCTTGAATTACTTCCTGCCTGCTTAGATTATATTATGTTATGTTCTTAACTTCTTTCATACTACTACTGTAGTATATAGTTCCTACTATTGTCTTCTTATCAGATATGAAATAATATAAAGTTACAAAATGAACATTATTGCAAAACAATTAACAGAATAACTTGTCCATTTCCTCTCCCGCTCGGTTTTTATGTCCCTGTTTAGGTTATTTTTCCCAACAAAATATTCTAATCAGGTGAATTTTATTTTGTTATATACTTTGGTATACCTTCTTCGCCTGTTTGCACTATAATCGCTCGTATTCTAAAAAGTGCAATTTTGCACGAAACAATACTAGCACCAATGAACGAAACTTCAGGATTATTTTGTGCAACACAATGGGTTTACAAAATTATCCATTTCCGGTATTGCTTATCTCCATGACAACCGTGTGGCACAGAAGGATTATTTATGTGACATTTATGCAGAGCGATAAAAATCTTCCGTTTTGGGAACAAGGATCACTTCCGTTAAAACTGAATCCACTCCAAATTGTAGCGGACTTCACACCAAATAAAAGCAGTAGGTGAATTGATTCCACTATTTTTTGCGTGGATTCCTCTCAAAAAACGAAGCAAAGTGATCCCATTATGACTCTCCTAAAAACAGATTCCATGCATGTATAGATTTCCCCCTTAGTCCCTTTGCCTTGCTCCATATTGCAATTTCCCGAACCGTTTTATTTCCCTTCCCATTTTGTTCATTTTTCTAAAGTTTTCTTTGTCGCCGTTCTTGATTTTTCGTTTCCATATCCCCCAGTTTCTTGATAAAAAACCCTTTTTTCTCATTCTGTAAAAGGTCAACTTTTTCATGACTTAATCAAACGTTTTGAGCGGTTGTCACTTCTTTTCAGTTTAAATAAATCACATACATAGTGATCGAACTCGTCCTCGAATTTCCTGTCTATACGAGAAAGACAAAATGTCAAATTTCATCTTGTCTTTGGCGGATTTCTTCAAGTCACATAGTATAGGATAAAACACAGAAGATTTGATTTGACAAACTGTATATTTCACTTAAAATATTCGGTTCTTAACGTATATACGCGCTTCCAAAGAGCTTTGGAAATTATTACCCCATTCTCATCGAGCGTTTTGAAAATTACAATGACTAATTATAAATAATATTGAAGCGCATTAATATTATAGTGACACCCTCAGTCACACTGCCAAATCCTATTCCAAGCCGGCCGATTCTTGGCAATTCAGAGTAATGCTGGGTGGTCTGTTGGCGGTCTGTTGTCGGTCGTGTTGGTGTGACGGGCGCATCAGGCACTATCGTCTTGATCGTCAGACTATTTTGATTTCGAAAGATATTGATATGCCATAGAAAGAAAATTATCATTCCGTTTCTGTTATCATCATCATACAATTTCATTCCGTAATTCAACCAATAATTTTTAACTGAAAAGTGATTTAGCTTAATTTAATGTGAGAAAAAATTAATGGCAAATATCAATTAATTTGATTAGCACATGGAGTTCAAAAGTGCTAAACCTATACCTTTAACTTAATATGTTTAAATACATTTTTATGTGCTTGCACTTCTTTTTCATTCAAAAATCTTTGAAGTTTATCCTTAAGTGAAGAGCTTGGCCCTCATATTCTATGCTCCCCATATTGGCAACAAACGGTAGGCATAACAAACCATGTGTAACTATAGGAGAGGGCACGTGCTCCGCCCCCAATCGAATGACGCAAAGGATAAAAAGAGAAGGAAAAAAAAAGAGAAAATGAAACAAAAACCAGCGATAGAGACGGAGAAAGAGAAAAGAGACAGACAGACAGACATACGGACAGTGTGTGAGAGAGAGAGAGAGAGAGAGAGAGAGAGAGGGGTATAGAAATTGGAATGTGGATTGTGAAAAGAAGATAAATATTGGGCCCCCAACATCCCCCAATTGGTGGCCTTGTTAAATGATAATAATGAGAATAATAACAAAACTAACAATAATGATAATAACAATACTAATAATGACGATGTTGATAATAATAATTAATAACAACAAACTTAAATAAATGATAATAATGAAAATGAAACAAAAAATAACAATAACAAAACCATTGGTAATCACAATTTTCGCCTTTTTTCATGCAAACCTCATCCTCCTCCTCCCCCCCCCCCCCCCCCCCCCCCATGAAAGTCCCGTTCCATGGCTAGACGCTATCGCTATTGAGCACATAACCCCGTTTCGAGCTAGAGAAGAAGGGAACTTTTTTCGACTCCCACCTTTAACTTTCTCTTTTTTCAAGCGCCATATAGCCTAAGTGAAATTTCCTGCAAGAGGGCTAGGTCACGGGATGCCTTTTGAGCGTGTTGTTACCGTCCCAATTTTGTCAAATCACTGGTAGGATGTGCAATATTTATTCGTTAAAGACCTATAGCTCTGCGTTCAGCTCACACCCTAATAATTATAATACAGGCACGCAGGCGTTATCGAGGTGTGTATAGCTAAAGACCCGACACGACAGGTTTCTTAGAATGTTCGAAATGCGGGGCGGGAGGGGGGGGGGGTCCTGCCTGTCTGTTCGAGCTTTTAAACGTATGCAGGGTTGAACATGTGTATACAAAAATATATCTAAAATTATGTTAAATTATGCAAATTTGTATAAACATAAGCATGCAAACCACAAGCTCAAAAATACTTTAAGATTGTAAACCGTCAAAAATAATAATTTGAAATCTCGAGTGGCATGGAATTTATTCAACTTAAAGCTTGGCATATAACGGTTGATAATGGTTCGGTAACATGATAATGATTTCATCCTCAAAATCCAGATTATGCTGAATAGACTATTGTCATAAAATAGGATTTCCTCGTGAAATTATACGATATAGAATACGATCTTGGCCCGAAGTTATCAACAAATAAATCATTACATGGGCCTACTAAGTGAGGACTTATTAACATGAATTTATCAAATCATTCATTACTATTATCATCATTATGATTATTATGATTATTATTATCATCATTATCATATTATTATTATCATCATCATTACAATTACTATTGCTATATTATTGTCATTATAGGTATCATTATGACGATGCATCTTTAAAGCTTATCTGCCGTAGTTTACAGGAGGGATTAGACCGCCCTGCAAGGTCACTGGACAGGTAGTTATCTCATCAACTCAGCTCTCAGTTAACATAAGAAAAAGAGGATCATGGGGGACCAATGGTCACCGATTAGGCATTGTTTGTTATATAGAGGGCGCAAGTAGCTACAAGTAGTGCAGTGGGCCTTTAAAGCAGCTAGAGGTTATTACACTCTACATATATATTTATATCGCTCTCACACAATTAGAGGTCAATGATTTGGTAGGGTCACATGACTTGGCCAATACATATAAATATGCTTCGAAAACAAGACTTACTAAAACCTATACCGCAACTTCCTTTTCAAAGTAACGAGACGGAAACGCGTCTGTAAAAGCATATAAATACATAAGATTACAACTTCTTTATTTATTGAAGGGAATAACACGCGACAGGGCCTGAATTTTTGAAGAATTCCCTAGTTTTTTAAACTGCTGTGTCGCAATTAATCTAGAATAAAAGTGCAGGCCGAAGCGACCTGTTTACCGATGTCGCAATTAATCTTGTGCATATGCCTAAATGATCTGTTTTACAATGTTTTCAACAAAATTTAGTGAAATTCTTAAACAAAATTTGTTTTTGACGACCCGGAAGCTCGCGGGAGGCTTGCCAGACATTACAGCAATTAATGTGCGCGGTGAAGCAAAATATAGCTCCAATGACATAATGTAGACGTATATTATAGTGTCAGTGCAGTCATAATTAGGTTTTAGGTTTAAGTTAAGTGGTCTAGACTTTAACAACATTAACCCTACCCTACTTTAAGTGTTTATAGGTTATTTTATATGTCACCTCTCCCTCCCCCGTACAAAATGAAAGTCTACGCAAGTGCAGAAAAAAATAGAGAGATGCCAAGCAGAAAAAGTTTAATGTCTGTGTGGCTTTTTGTGGTTTGAGGAAGCACAGCTTCACCAGAGGGGGCGCTATATGTTCAAGATGAAGACAGAGCCATTGATCATTAGGAGAGTTTGGCTAATCCGGTTGAGTGGGGCACTATTATGGCGAATGCTTTGTTGGGCAAGCATAGTGGCGGATTTAGGGAGGGGGCCCGAGGGGGCCCGGGTCCCCTCCCCTAGAAAAAAAAAGGTAAAAACATGTGAATGTTACCTTTATTTGAAGACGGGGCCCCTCCCCCGTTGCTCAAGGGGGGGGGGTTTCGATTTGCACATTTTTGGGGAAAAAACAATAAGTGTTCATTCTTGATCTAATAATTTAAATACAGATCGTTATTGACATTATGAAGAATATATTTTCAGTCTTTTTTCTCCCATTGACCCATCTATCATTGCTGTAAGAACCTTGTGAAAAACCACCCTACCAATCAATCAACCAATCAATCAATCAATCAATCAATAAATAAATAAATAAATCAATCAATCAATCAATCAATCAATCAATCAATCAGGCAGCCAGTCTATCAATCAATCAATCAATTGTATTTATCTATCTATTTACCACTTAATTGTTGGATGGAACAGCTTTATCAGCAAGAGTGCTATTTTTCATAGGGTTCCACTATCAGCTAACCATTTAATCATTCACCTGTTCATTCATCATTTATTCACAAACTTATTGGATTTATCAATCCAATAGACAATTTCCTGTCAATCTATTTTTTTCATGAATGCAACTTTTTATTTTTATTTGATATTCTTTAGCTGAAATATTTTCATGAATAACACTCAAAATCTGTCTTTTTGACGATTTTCAGTTCATTATTCATAAGTTGAAATTATTGCATGATTGATATGTGATGGAAAAAATTCATCCAAAAACATTTATGAATATTTTCTGCTATGAATTGGCTAAAATCTTTTTCAGAAATGATATGAAACCTGATTATTTGGGAATAGATTGCAGCTATCATTTAACCAAATCTCTTTCAGATGTAATATATGAAATCAGGCTATTTTTGAAAAGTTTTCAGCTATTCTTGAACTTTCCTAATTCCCGACTACAAACCAACCATGAATTAAGTCATTAAAATAATCAATAAATATATCATAAAACAAATTTTCTTCAAGAAATATGTAGGGTCTGAGATCAAGTAACAAAGTCAATCAAAAACAAAAAAATTAACAATTATTTTTGTTAATATATTCTCATGAGAAATTTATTTGAAATTGTTCACAAAATACAATTTATACCAGAGGGCTCTGTCAAAGGAGTAAGAATTAACCCAGAAACAAATGAATTTATAGTCAATAATATACACGATGTGTAAGTTAATTCCCATGCTTTATCCCAGCTATTGAAAATTCAAACTGGATATAGGGCCTACATTCAAATGAGTTACAATACATGTATGTTCCCTTATTTTGCAGAATACATAAAAAGACTAAAATAATAAGGAATTTAAGCTGGGGAAATTCAACTCAAATCATTTAATAACGCTTTTAACCAACAGCAATTTAGTGGGGGGTTATTTTTTCATTTTTTTTCTTCTTTGGATCCAGAATGCTCTGAATTACAAATGATACATGCGCAGAGAGTGCAAAGTTGATGGAAATTCCTAGTCCATTCCTGTTGTAGTGCATTGTGCAATTCATGAATAAGAGTGATTTAATCTAAAATAATCATTGAAGTCCCCCCCCCCCCCCCCCCCCCTCCTGCTCCCTGTCAGCCTTGTGGGTTGTCTGTCAGCTGGGGCACCCCGTCTATTGGCCACTTTGAAATATTCAGAATCTAGCATCCATAGGAACTGTACCAAACTTTATACATAATGTGACACAATGTCCCAATAACCTCAAAATATCATAAAGCGACAGAAGACTACAACCCCCGCAACAATTCTAAAATAAACAAACTTACCAAAAATACTATCATAGCTTTGCTATAGAAATATAATCAATAATATTTACAATTTTGCAAGATGATGAGGCAGTTTAAGAGTCTTATTGCATTTCATGTGCGCCATAATCTTACCAGGCATAACAAGATACTTTTCTTTATTAATTTTTTTTTTTTGAGAGAGAGGAAATATGGATATACTATAGTCTTACTAGCCCGAATTCACAAAGGAGGTTTAAATTTAACCCATGGTTTAAATCTTTATTTACATAAACCATGGTCTAAAATTAGCACAAATTAAGCGTGGCACAGACAGAGGTCCGTTATTAGACGCGGGCAAGGCAAGGTACACTTAATTCGAAACCATGGATTATGTAACTGAGGGTTGAAACTATGGGTTAAATTTAAACTTCCTTTGTGAATTCGGGCCACAATGTTCACTCCAATTTACCCACAAGGTAGCTCTATTTCCCATTAGATTCATATACATATAGAACTTCATGAAATACAATACACTTGAACATATATGTATATCTTCCTTAATCTCACCCTCAAGCAGGCATAGTCCGTTTCTCTTTTGAATATGGGTGTCAGAATACATTTGCTAACAAGTTAGCTCAAAAATATTTGTAAATCAAGCATTCATGCTTATGACAGTTGGCCTCTGCATTTATCTTGATTCTTTGACTTACCTCCATACTTTCAAGTTTTCAATTATATATATATATGCATTTTCATGTGCGTGTATTTCAGTTGTCAATCTTTATGTAAATCAATAATATCATATACTATTGTTATTATTGACTGTTTTGTATTTGAATTATCAATAAATGCAGAAACATTTACAACAACAAAAAACTCCACCCCCCTCTTAAAAAAACACAAAACAAACACAAAACAAAAAACAACAAAAATAAGAAGATTACATTTTTTCGAGGGAGTGGGGCGCATCCTCTAACCCCTTAACCTGAGACACTGCAAGCAAGTTAACGGTTTCTCTCAGTCATCACTTTCTGTGTTTTTGTTTTGTTCACCACCAACACATGAAGTACAAATGTCACATAGCATATACAAATCAGAAATGTTATTGCAATCACATATACAGGTAGGTGTAGTAACGGTAATCTGAAATGTTAATTAACAGTTTTCCTGCAAATATTTCAGCTGGTTCCATATCACCATTTACTTCAGTATTGAAACAAGTTAACATGTTCATGTACATGTCGCTTGCATAACCCACAACCATTACATTTCTGACTTCTTCTAATCCAAGTTATATAACCAAAAATATACAAATGCTTGATTACTTGTTTATATTCTTTTAAATGTAGGCCTATGTTTCAGCTGAGGGAAGTAATAGAAGATGGTTTTGTTTGGCAATCCCTTTTTGGGGGCATTTTCAGTCTTTTATTTTCATATTTTTGTTTTTAAGCCCTTCCACACAAGAGAGGCTAAACCAGCCAAAGAAAGGAGATATTCTGATTTAAGTTTGGCCCCTATATAATTTTTTGTTTGTCTTCCTCTTTCTTTTTTATAAAATACAAAACAGGTAAACACTTGGTAAAAAACTTTCAACATGTAATAAAAAACTTATGTGCTGGTGAAAAAAAAAAAAAAACTTTCAACCATTCATTTCTCTTTATTTCTGCCTTTCCTTACATCAATAAGGATAAATGGCCTTTTAGCTATGTTCACATAAAACTGCTTAAAATTAACTGACACAACAAAATAAAATTACGTAAACATAGAAAACTTCAGATTTCTGTATCTTTTAATGAGATGAGTAAGTGCATGTAGGGTACTTTTTGAAGACATCTACCATTTGTAATCCTCACTAGCCATTTATTCACGCTGAAAATATCTTTTATTGCCCAACAGCGTTTTTAAAAATGTGGTTTTCCTCTTCACATGTTTCATGTGTGAAAGAGGCTATAGGCTGACACTAGCTGCTTTCACATTGTAGTCTGGCCGGCCCTGGCGAGCAGTTCGCGGGAGATGATGACCCTCTGGATCTGAGCCGTACCTTCATAAATCTGAAAAGGACAAAAAGATGGAAAGAGCACGAGTTAAGCCGCATTCAGAAATGATGCGGCAGATCCGCAGCAGTTTTTTATGATGATGTTCAGTAAATAACCTCAACACTTCTGTATGTTATAACACAGAGCTCAGTGAATATGTGCAAGTCCCTTTGTTGCACGCAGTTGCCATTCTTTTATACGTTAAAATACAACTTGACAGACATATTTTCATCAAAATATACCAAATTCAACAATCCACTTGCAATACGATTATTGACTGCTAGTTTTTTCGAGTCACAGCTTAAATCTATAGCCTTTCAGAGGTCTAGAGAGTGTACCAGCACAGCCGTTTCAAAACCCTTTCAGGGAGTAGTTTTAACTATGTCTCTCAAATCGGTCAATAATTGAATACAGTGAAACCTGTATGGAAGACTGTAAAAGTGGTCTCTATAGGCAGGTTCTCTTCATTTTTTTTACTTTGTATGTCAAATGTTTTGTATATATCTTTTAAACATTGTTTGTAATTTGAATGTTTTTTTGTTTTTTTAATAGTTGAACCAATAAATGAAATGAAATGAAATGAAATGTACAGGTTCCTTCGGTACAGGTTTCAATGAGAACTGTTTACAAAGGAAACAAAAGAGATGTGGTCTTTACAGACAGGTGGCCTTTGCTATACAGGCCATTACCACAGCAGGGGAATGCTTCACAAAGATCTTAAGTCGAACTTTACTCTAAGTTGGACTTAAAAATTATGGAGAGCCATTTGTAGCCTTAAAAAAAACAACTTAAAATGCAAACATTCAAGTATTTTAAATTTTCCATAAATTCCACATCAAAAACATGAAATCTCCTTAATTAACAGAAAATATGAACAATTTTAATCAACATTTTATGCCTTAAAAAAAAATATTTTCAAAGATGCTAATGGCTTTCCATAATTGTTAAGTCCAACTTAGAGATAAGTTCAACTTAAAATCTTTGTGAGACACCCCCCAGGTGTGTCTGTATTATGATCATTACTATCTGCGATCTAACCTGGAAGATTTTAGCATCTCGCATCAGCTTCTCGACGGGGTACTCGCTGTTGAATCCGTTTCCTCCAAAGACCTGGACAGCGTCCGAGGCATTCTTGTTGGCCACGTCGGCCGCGTAGCACTTGGCCAGAGAGGCGTAGTAGGTGTTCCTCCTGCCCTGGTCAATCTCCCAGGCTGACCGATGGGTCAAGAGACGCGCTGCCTCCACACCTACGGCCATGTCAGCGAGGAGGAAGGCCACTGCCTGGTGCTGTATGAGGGTCAAGATAACAGAAGAACACTGTCAATTCCCAAACTTTTGCATAAATGACATTTTCACGAATTAGAGCTCAGTCACAGCCTTTATTGGGGCCTTTATTTACGAATTGCCGACCATGACAAAAATATAAACTTTCAGTGTGACAAAGAAGCTGTCAGATCAGTGACCTGATAAGATTTACAGCTATTTACTGAGAATATTTACATAATCCATGCCAAAACTTTGATCTGTTTGCGAACTAACAGTACTAGAACAGTACTAGTACCTTTAGCTTGATATGTCCAAGTTTTTTTGTTTTATGAGAGCCCAATCAAAGACTAACACAATTTGTTCATTGATAGTCATTGCTGATACTCACTACACATTACAATAGGCGGCCGTGATACATGTAAGTGAAGCACAATGCAGCGCTAGTGAGTAAGTCATTGACAAGCAACTTATGTACGGAACCTGATACTGCCTTAATCTCCAGATTTCGACATATTGGAGGGTGATTCTGTTAAATCAAATCTCTGAGGTCTCCTTGGGTTCTATGCAAGCAAACTGTATTCAAAATATGAGCTTCCAATATTACTTTGTAAATAGACGGAGCATCACCAGTTCATTATCGCGGTAGCGTTAAACGAATTAAACAACAAATCCTCCAACCTACAACCAACGCTATCAGCAAGTCCCACGACTTATCACTTACATTTGCAATGGTCCTGCCAAAGGTCTGTCTCTCCATTGAGTACTTAAGAGCCTCATCCAAGGCTCTCTTGGCCAGGCCTGTAGCTCCAGCAGCGACCTGTCATAAGATCATCAGCAATAAATTTTAATGAATAATTAAATCTGCCTTATCAAAGACTACAGGCTGATGTCTGGCTGATATCCATACTCAGGGTTCGCAAAAAAAATAGGTGCCTGGAACACATGGGCACCCAAATTCAGGACCCACATTTTTTAGTTTTAACAAGGGGCTCATGCATACAGATCTTAAAACTCTCAATGTAGACCTCCTATGAAGAAAAAAAGTATGGAGCCCTGTCATATTGAATAAATACTACAGTTAAAACCTTAAAAACAACAACAAAGACCCCATTATGGTTTCACTTAAAATTGATCATCATTACTGAAAAAAAAACAATCAAGAAAAAAATAAATAAATCAATCAATCAATCAACCCATCCACCCACTCACCAACCCACCCACCCAACCATCCATGCACCCATCAATCCATCAATCCATCTTCTTTTTTTTTTTAATTAGAAGAAACAAATATCAGACAAGACAAATTGAAGGTCGTCTTACCGGGGGTCTGGTCTTGTCGAAGGCTCCCATGGCGATCTTGAACCCCTGACCTTCTCCTAACAAGACGTTCTCTTTGGGGACGACCACGTCTTCAAAGTTGACTGCTCGGGTGTCTGAAGCTCTCTGGCCCATGTTCCATTCCTAAAAGGTGGGGGAGGGGGATAAAGTGTATTAACTCTCTTGTTGTCGATTACAAATGTATCAAATGTGCAGTTATTGTCACGATGATATATAGTGTACTCTTGAAATTATGGAATTGGAATTGGGATTGGGATTCGATTCGGAATTGGAATTGGAAATATAAATTGGAATGGGAATGGGAATGGGATTGGAAAATGGAAATAGAAATTGGAATTGGAATTGGAGTTGGAACTTTTATTGGAATCGGAATTAGAAAAGGAAATGGAAAATGGAAAATGGAAGTTAAATTAAATGAATATGTGAGAATTATATTGCGCAAAGAGATAACATAAAACCATCTGCACTATTCCCGGTAGGATGCGGCGGTCATTGTTGGTCAAACAGCTTGTGAGCGGTCAAGTAACGCCCGACTGGAATGCTCCCCAGGGAGTGGAGATTGTGCACACAGTGTGTGCGGGCAAGCACTGAATCCAATGACCGGGGTAATAGTATAGAGACATTTGTATTAAGCGCTATATAAAAATTAAATATTATTATTATAAACAAGGAACAAAAGAAAGACATAACATACAAATATGACATATAAATTAATTATATGCCAAATTATTCAGATACGTTATATCAGTTGTATAGTCCACATAATCTCATAACCAATAAATATAGCCAAATACCGGTAAGTGCTAATGGAAGTCCATAACCTCCACCGTTCAAACATACTGGTACTGTATGCATAAGTACATAATCAGTGTACCAGCACACTTATTCTGCACTCAATTAAAACATGACATGCAGTATTTCTCAGTCCATTCGTGCCTGCTGGTGACTGCGAACACGATGCGGGATAAACACATTGTGCCACAGTCCCACAGCGGATGCAGGGGTAGGCCTTAGAAGATGCAGAACTTATTGTTCCACTATATTTGGTGCCGTCTCTTCTCATTTGCTCTGGCTTTGTCATTAGCCCCCAAAACTGAGGGACACTGGTAAAGTCTTCAGCAAATATGCAGCCTTATAACAATTATGTTCAAAGTACGTTTCCCCTCATGTGGATAACTGATCAATCATACCTAACATCATGTCATTGAATGAATCTGTTTGTTTAAAGATAAACTCTGGTAAAAAAAGAAAATGAATTCTCACAGAATCTAACGAAACTTACACTGAATGTTCAAGTTTACAAATAAATGTCATGTGCCAAACACTTTTGGAAGAAAATGTATACTGGCTGAGTAATGAGCATAGAAAGATAAGGAAATCAGGGTAGTGCTAGCCCCGACACCATGTGTGTTGTCCCATATACATCTTTCTGTGTAAGTGATTGTTACTTTACCACGACTCTGCCAAATTTATGATGATTTTGATGACTCCAGAACCTTGCATTACACACCATTACTTACATGCTATATGATAAACTTTTCTGATCCATTCCACACCTTTTCTTTCACAATGCAATCGCATTACCAGAACTCAAGTTTATCTTTAAAGGCGGATTCATCCATTACAAAAACAAAATTAAAATTCTCTGTTTTCCCTGATATGGTTTCAAAATTCCAGGTAATATTTCAGACCTCTTTCCAGTTTAATATGTCCTCATCCTGTGGATATGCTACTAGGACAAGAGACAAAATATAGGAGAGAGAGACTGCTTTCCTTTTGGGTGAATGAAATTTCCCAATTTTCCTTGATTTCAGTGGGGGTTTTTCCTTGATTTGAGCCCATTTGTTTTATATTTGAGTAATATTTCTCTAATTCCAAGACTTTTCCCTGACTGGAAAAGGAGAAACTTATCATCCACTATTAATTAAACAGATATTCTGCACAATGACATTTCTCTCATTCCAAGACTTTTCCCTGACTGAAAAAATGGAACGTATCATCCACTATTAATTTGACAGATTTTCAGCATGATGCTTACCTTTTTTCCAACAGTAACTCCTTCTGTGTCCCTCTCGACGATGAACCCGGTGAAAGCGCGGCTAGCCGATGCCTTGGGGTCCAGGTCGGTCCTTGCGAGCACAAAGTACCAGCTGGCATGGCCACCGTTGGTGATCCACATCTTGGACCCGTTCAGGACGTAGTCGTCGCCCTTACGGACAGCCTTGGTCTTGATTCCAGCGACATCGGATCCAGCTCCTGGTTCCGTTACACAGTATGCCTGAAATAGTGTACAAGCAAATGTCATATTTTTGGCATGTTGGTTTTTGTACAACCAGCTAGCTCTAACAAGAGCACTTGAAATTTGTTAATTTTATGCATTCTTGTTCTGGTATACACAAATCATTTTAAGGTGATTGGTACAAGTTAATCTAACTTGAGAAATTTTACTTTTTACATAAAGGACTATAGAGAAATAATAATGATAGCAACAACAACAACAATAATGGTAATAACAATATCATTAACAATAAAATAATTTAAAATAACAATGATTAGTTTAATCGCGGTAGAGGTTTACGGTACACCATGTGTAAAGTCCTAGAAGGACTAAGGAAAGTGGATAGAAAATAGAAGTGAAATAGAAAGGCGAGAAAGTGGAGGTTGGAAGGAAGAGTATCTTTCGGAAATGAGTATAGTCCTGAAAAGGACTGTAAACCAGAAAGTTGTAGATAGGATGAGAGGTTTGAGTAGAAGACTGGATTGAGTTGAAGAGTTGAGTAGAGTTGCAGAGCAAGAGCAGGAGAGTAGACTCGACGTTTCGGACAGGTTGACTGTCCGTCTTCTCATCCTATCTACAACTTTCTGGTTTACAGTCCTTTTCAGGACTATACTCACTTCCTTCCAACCTCCACTTTCTCGCCTTTCTATTTCACTTCTATTTTCTATCCACTTTCCTTAGTCCTTCTAGGACTTTACACATGGTGTACCGTAAACTTCTACCGGGATTATTCATACCACCATGCAAACCTTCAAACATCAAATGATTAGTTTGTTTACCACAGGGAAGCCTCCTCAGCATCACTGCTGTTCTGTATGAGGCCAATAAAATTGCTATTACCCCAGCAATTGCCAGGTAACCATTTACACCTGGGTGTAGAGCGGCAAATGTGGATTAACATCTTGCCGAAGGATGTTAGTGGCAGGCTGGGACTCGAACCCTCAACCCTTGGATTGAGGGTCAAGTGAATGAACCACTATACCACAACACCTCCATCTGCTTTAATCAGGGCCCCTTTTCATTAAAGGTAAAGACCAGTATTGGAAACGCCCCAATTTCAAAAAGTGAAATGGAAGCTCTTATTACCAATCATGTGAAAGAATATGTTTTGAATAATACATGATGATACAAATTTTGCCCGGAAACCGCCTGCTAATTGATATATTTGGTAAATTAGTTTATCTATTGGTGTGTGAGAGATAAAAACGCACGTGTCGCGCAAGTGTGCGTAGTCCCATATACATCTTTCTGTGTACAGTGCTTGTAACTTATAACTTTTCATTTTGATGATTCCAGAACCTTGCAGTACATCTATGCTAGATGATCAACCTTTTCTGATCGATTTCACAACGTTTCTTCCACAATGCAATCACATGACATAACTGGTCTTTATCTTTAAACTTGTTATCAATAACAAATGCTAAATTTGTATGGCAAATTTGCTCTCAGCCAATCAAATGCCCCAATTTTAGTAGCTCATAAGGCTGATTGTGACTTGTAATTGATAATAAGTTTCATGAAACAGGGTATAGGTTTTGGTACAGCATGGATTGTTTAAAGCTCCCACTGCACTACTTATAGCTACTTGCGCCCTCTATAGCAAACAATGCCTAAGCGGTGACCATTGGTCCTCCGTGGTCCCCTTTTTCGTATGTTAATTGAGAGCTGATTTGATGAGATAACCACTTGTCCAGTGACCTTGCAGGGAGGTCAACTCCCTCCTGGCCAAACTAGTGCAGATAGCCTTTAAAAATCCTCCGATTCAATGAAAGTAAAAGACCATTCTTACACAAACAATAGGTTCATCCACAAGCCAGCCAAGATATTTCTTCTGTTGTTCCGGGGTGCCTGCAAGTATCACTGGTGCTGACTACATCAAGGAAGAAATGATAAAACTATGATGCTAACTCTGGAATATAATAAGTCAAATTGCATTCATGTCAAATAAAAACTGATAAATTTATCTAATAGCATACATGATTCATTTTTGGTGATTTTGCTAACACAAAGTTGCTAAATATTGATTTTCAGGTCATCACAACACATCAGTTTTCCATGAAAAAGAAAATTGGCTTCTATTAGGAGAATACTTGATACTTTTCCATCTTTCTCAGCGAGTGATGGATGGTCCCCATACTGGACAGCACTCGCTACGATAAATCATATTTAGGCACAAAAAAAAAAAAAAAAAAAAAATATTTTTGACAACATTCCGTACTGCCATAATGATCGTTAATTTCCGTACCAATTACGGGAAATCCGTACTAGTTGGCAGCTCTGACAGACCCTAAAAATGTCAATCCAGACCATGCACTATAATAAAATAGTGTGTGTGGAGCTCTGCTCTCAACACTGCTATTTCATTATTTCTACTCATATGACAACTCAGGACCTTAATCAAGAACAATACACATCTCTGAAATTCCTTATCTAATCCCGATTGAATCTCGATCAAAATCCAGTCAATGTTAAGGTTGTATGGTCTGACGTGACCTTTGAACTATGACTCACCCCTAATGAGCATGCTTCAATGGCGGTCTGAACTCCTGTGCAGCCATAGGCCAGCTCCTCTGTGATGATGCACGTGTCAAGGATGCCTAGACCAGGTCCACCTGTTAGTATAAATCATGGGCATCATTATAAGCACTGTTTTATTATTTAAGATAAAGACCAGTTATGGTCATGCGATTACATTGTGAAAAAAGCTTGGTGGAATCGGATCAGAAAAAGTTGATCATCTAGCATATAAGTAATGGTATGTACTTCAATGTTCTGGAATCATCAAAATGATAAGAAATTTGGCCCAGTCTTGGTAAAGTTACAAGCACTATACACAGAAAAATGTATATGGGACTACAAGAACATGTGGCATAAAATTCTGTCCTGATTTTATGATGTTACATGCCATATTTAGAATATTAAGGCATTTGAAGAGCCATTCTTTTCAGGGAACATTTTTTATACATGTATGATGTTCTTTCACACTTGCATATAATGCTCACAACATTCCTTTCACCTCTTCCCAGAACTCAATCTTCTCTTACAAAGTTTTGGCATGGGGTCATGAATTTGGTTCAAATGAACATAATGGAAGCATAAATGCGATTTTATCATTTTCAATGACCGTTGTCGCGGTTGAAATCGAGTTTATAGTGATGAAATTGTAAATAATAAACCCTTTATGTTGTATAGCGCTTTAGCATATTATATTATTATAGCATCAAAACAATGTTTCTTGACTACAATCGACCGATGTGCTATTCCCCTTTGGAAATTTTATATCAGAACTGCATATTCTGAGTTCCATGGTCGCAGCTACCATGGAATGGCCTTAGGCGCTATTTTAAATATTTGAAATTTACCAGAAGCACCAGTAAACATTAGATTATTCAATTTCTCAAGCAGAAGTGTTTTAGGGGCTAAATTTTCTAGTGCTTATAACACATCCAAAGGGGCATTCAAATATATTTTAAAATTGTACAGAATTAATATCCATCCAATTTTCTAAATTTCCAGAAACTTTGCATTACCTCTAACATTATTATCATTATTTGTTATCATCATTCTTCATTAGAAATTAACAGACACCCAACACAGATATGAAAACATGGGACACAAAAGATCAATCCACTGTGATGTAGTATTCACAGAAACACTATATGGATATAGCCTACATGTACGGTCACTCTGGGTCAACTACATGAGGGACTACCCTGTGGACCGTACCCCTTGGACTGTTCTACTACCCCTCACTGGACAATCCCCGTCCCTCCCCCCCCCCCCCCCCCTCCCCCTAAAAAAGGTACTCCTAGATCACAATGACAATCCGACCTTGTGGATTTGTATCAATTAACTTGAAACATAAAACTTGTATAATATGTACAGTGTATGTACATATACAAAAAGTCTATCATATATCCACAAATTGAAATTGAAATTTATGTCAAATTTGTGCGTGTTTGCTTCTTATCATATATTCATCTTACAAATAGACTTGGTCAGCATCTACTGAAAAAAGACATAACAGGGGCTGCCTTGTAAAGAGTTGTGATTGATTAAAATTAATCGAATTTCCTATCAAAGTACACAGTTGGGCATAATTTTAAGTGACAATTGATGCAATGGTTGAAAGAATAAATGTTGATTTAAAACTCACCAATATCTTGCGGGAGATGTGTGTTCATCAGTCCAAGCTCCCATGCTTTCTTGATGATTTCCCATGGGTACTGGAAATATGAAAGAAAAAATAAGAATGATTAGATAATAAAAAAAAAAAATCCGGCAAATACATAACTTAAAGGGCAAAGTCCACCCCGATTTCAAATATAAGAAAGTTATGATTCAGATCAATCATACATAAATTGGCAACACTGTGATGTATCTTGCGAGGTTCCAAGACAATTTGTTTTTTGCCTATTACTTTGAACTACTAAAAGTGTACATTATGGATTTCTGTAATTGATATTTTGCTCCATTTGGGGTTATAACGTCTCTTTCCTCTTCCTCTCTGGCTTCTCTCTGGCTTCTCTCCCTTCTTCTTCTTCTTTCTCTCTCTCTCCCCCTCCCCTGCTTCCTCCCCCCCCCCCCCCTGCACCTCTTCCTCCCCCCCCTCTCTCTCTCTCTCTCTCTCTCTATCTCTCTCCCTCCATTCCTCATTCCGCTCCCTTGGTCATCTCTTCTCTTCTCTCTCCCTCTCCCTCTCCTCTCCTCTTCCTCTTCCTCTTCCTCTTCCTCTTCCTCTTCCTCTCCCTCTCTCTCTCTCTCTCCCACTACATGTATCTTACCAGTACTCTTTTTTTTTCCTTTTACCCTCCTATTTCCCTATATTCAAAAGCAGTCTGGCATACATGTATTTCGTTTCCCCTTCCTGTACTAGAAGGCCATATTGAACAAATATAACACACAAACATTAAATGAAACTACATTAAAATCTTAGGAAATGTGCATTACTGATTCTGATATCCTTTTGCAGTCTATGATATTGTACATATGTATATATCATATTGGTATTTATTTAGCGCCTTTACATGAACATGCTCAAGGCGCTTTACATTTTAAAATACAAACATAATAGTTATATACTCTCCAAGTGCATTACACTCTAAAAAATGACAATTACAAAGAAAACAAATGAGTTTTTAAATGTTTCTTAAATAATGCGACTGAGGTGCAAGAACGAATGCTTAAAGGGAGACTTTTCCAAATAATGGGACCAGAAAAAATTATATTTTGTTGACCCTTCTTCGAATTGATGCGGGGGATTTGCAGAAGAAGGGGGTCTGACCTTGAAAGTACCGGTATATTGTTTGTTTTCTTTCCAAGGCCACTGTCTCAATGCACGTTGTGATGTGATAACTTCCTATGAATACTATTCATAGACAAAATATCAATTACCATGTCATCTTGACTAAGTAAAAACTCTGAAAGCTAAGGTGGTATTTAAAAAAAGGTATGTACATGCAATAACTAATTTAACTTCAGACAAAAATTCTGGTAACAAATCAAAATTTTGGACAAGTCATTGGTTGAAATCATCTGGGTGTGTATCTGTAAATAAAGATAAGCTTATGTCTATTTAATAACTGTAATTACAATGTAATCTGAATTTGAAGAATATGTTTGGGTTTCATATCAGAATGCATCTTATCTACGCTACAAGTGACGGACATTGTATCTAAAGTACTTAGGCATAATCAGTAGACAGTTGAGGTCAATGTCAGGTACCAGTGGGACAGACAAGTCCATATTATCACAATGTACACATGGCGATAGATAACTCTGATTATTAGCCAAGTCGACGCCCAGTTAGTGCAATATCCAATGTAGCAGTTTAGTGTCACCTTTTTAGTGACCTTTTTAGTGACCTTTTGATCTTTGGATCCAGAATTAATGCTCTGAAAAATTGTACATGTGCAGAAAGTGCAAATGGAAAACTCAAGTCCTTTTATGTCTTGACCATGCATCCATTTCTTTGACCTTACATGGCTGTATGGAAACCTTGTGACGAATTGCTTGAAGATGGCTTTTTCAACACGAAACCAACTGCTGAACTTCAGCCGCAGACCAATAGACAAACACTTCATCAATACCTAACCCTTACCACTCCAGCGAAGCATAGAGAGTCAACGCTTACATGTGTATTGAACTCTAGCGCTGCACTATGTGCTAATAGGCAGCATTTGCACGCATGAATAGTCAATACACTTATAGCACACAAATGCACACAATCATGCTGATGTGGATGATCGGCAAATTTGCCACTAGACTTACAATTTGAATTTTTTAAATCATTCTTTTTAACATCAGTAAGTTGAAAAAATTGTATTTTACTGCTATTTAGGTGTCATCAATTGTCACTTAAGTACCGATTTTGAGTGAATCAGTTGAGTTTTGTACAGTGGTGTTTGAAATGTTGAGAACCAATAGAACAGGTTTTAATACACAGCCAGGGTAGTAATGTAGCTATGTGTGACCCTTACCCTAGTTTGCAGGCACAAGCCCTTGTCATTCACTGTGTGTAACACTGTCTGCACTGCGAGACTAGGCTGACAGCATTTCTCCATAGGCTTTTTTTACCTAAGCTGCTCTGTTGCATAAAACTTACTGTTGGTGGTAACTTTGCCATTAATAGTAACAGCCATGGAAACCTTGATGTGATGGGCGGTTGAGTGACGTTGCCATGGTAGTAAATAGTAATGTCACAGGAATTACCATCAGTGGTAAGTTTTGTGCAAGGGGGGGGGGGGGGGGGGGCAACGGGGTACACAGCCGGAGACTGACAGTGTTAGGCTCTAGTCAAGGCTTTAGGATTAGTGATAATTAGTGATGTCAAATTAGAGCATGTGCCTTCAGACTTCCCTAACCCTTAACCTACATCTCTGACAAATAACACCCCTAAAGCAACTGTTGCCAGGGCATATAATGTTGGAGCACCCTTTAGGCCAAATTTAAAAAAAAACATGTTTAGCGTCCTGTTTTTTCGAAAAATAGGGAGGAGGCCCTTTTTTTCTTTTCTTTTTTTATCAGAAATAGATCTATTTTAGCAGCATTTTTCATGTTTTTTTCTTAAAAAGAATAAAAAATAAATAAATAAATAAAAAAATAGGAGGCGGCCCCCAAAAAGGAAGCGGGCGGGGACGCTAAACATGTATACTTTTTTTAATGGCCTTACATACATTTGTATAAGTAGAATATTTTCAGCTTACAATTATTGTATTCAAATTTGTTATATAAGGCTATTTTTATGTGTCTATGTATGTACAACCTACATGACAAACTGCCCAAAATACATTAAAGCTCACGTGATAATTGAATGAGGTCTAATGGCAAGGACTGAGCACAGAGAACTTTGAGTCTGAACCACTCCAATATTTCATAGACAATGGTAACATAAGAGCGGTGTCATTTCGTGATGTCACGTACAATGTATATGTGTGAATCCTTAATTGATATAAAGCAAACTTGTGTCTGCATGTACACTGTAAACAATGTATATCATCTTACCAAGTTTGCTTACTGATAAAAGAGTTGCATTATTGTCTCCCAGTGCATGACTCCACTATTTAATTGCGACCCTTTTTGTGCCACAGGCTCAGAGTGAGGAGAGGTTCTATTGTGTGTTTGGAAATGTGTAAGATTTTGACAAAAACATGTACTTAAATTATTTTTTTTATAGATTTAGAACTACTACATAATATGGCCACTCATACATTAATTTTCATGATATCTTGTAGCAGACTATGTCTGTTCTTATTAGTATATGGGTTAAGTTGATTCTTATCTTATCCACAAAATGATGAAATTGTCAGTTCTAAATATATCCCATCACATTAATTTCCATGATATCTTGTGGCAGACTACAATTGTTCTAATAATATGGGTTAAGTTGATTCTTATCTTATGCATGAAATGATGATATGAGATTAACAGTTCTAAATATATCCCATCACATTGATTTCCATGATATCTTGTAGCAGACTACGATTGTTCTCAAAGTGGGCTAAAGTCAATTCTTATCTTATGCATGAAATGATGATATGAAATTGTCAGTTCTAAATATATCCCATCACATTGATTGTCATGATATCTTGTAGCAGACTAAGATTTTTCTCATAATATGGGTTAAAGTCATTATTTATCTCATGCATAAAATGATGATATTGTAGCATAACTAGCCCAGTAATTTAGTAAGACGTCGAGGGCGTTATAGTTAATCGTGAAATATATATGTGTACATCGTGAGATGTCAGTCAGTCAGCGTTCAGCTGTCGTTGGGACAGGTTCTATATAGTTGTGATCTGTGAGTCAGCGTTTAGCTGTCGTTGGGACAGGTCCGATATCAGGAACGAGTAAAGTTACTTGAACTGCAGATACTGTGCAAGTGTGGTTTCTTTATTCCTGTCAGATATTCAGTGATTGTGGGAGTAAGTGAATGAGAGCTAGTCCACGTTATTTCTTACACGATATACTTTTGTGAGAGCCCACTGAGAGATATATAGTCGATGAATGATTGTCGAGAGCGTGGACCGGGTTTTGAGAGACTGCAAGGTAGAGCGCTACCCCGACAGAGCCCAGTTACACCACACTGGTGGCAGCGGTGGGATTGAAGCAACGTGGCTGTAGCAGCTCAGAACGAACTCCCCCAACAGTGAACCCGGAAGTAGATAGCGCCTACCTACGTGTTAGGTATAACGCCTACAGGCGCCCGACAGTGTCAGCGCCTACCTATGTGTTAGGTTTAGCGCCTGCAGGCGCCCGACAGTGGCAGCGCCTACCTACGTGTTAGGTATAGCGCCTGCAGGCGCCCGACAGTGGCAGCGCCTACCTACGTGTTAGGTATAGTGCCTACAGGCGCCCGGCAGTGACAGCGCCTACGCGTGGGAGGTATAGCGCCTATATAGGCGCCGGCAGACATAGCGCCGCACAGCGTCTGACTAGAGTTTTGTGTTTTTGCAAGTATAAGAGAGAGTGCTATAATGGCTGCTCAACGAGTGACAATAGAGGATGAAATTGGGATGCTTGCAGCAGAGGTTCAGCGTGGAGATGAGGATCTTCAACAGTCCAAGGCAGAGATGGCGCCTGGGGTTGCGCCTGGGGTTGCGCATGTACGTGGAAGGTACAGCGCTTGGAGTTTGGCCTGTGTGCAGGCGAAGGCAGAGATAGCGCCTGAGGTTTCGCCTGTGTGTAGGCGAAGGCAAGGATTGCGTATGTACATGTAAGGTACAGTGCCTGTGTAAATAATGATAGCGCCTGTACAGTGAATTTTGTGAGTATAGTGCCTGTATGGAGTTTTGCCTTTATTATGGCCCAGTATTATGGTCATAGATTTGAGGTCAGGACTGATCATGGGGCACTTCGTTGATTTCCGAGGTTTGCAGGGACAGATGGCTCGATGGCTGCAAGTGATAGCAGAGTGCGACTTCAAAACCGTGCACCGTTCTGGACGCTCACTTACCAATGTTTCGTGTGAAGGCGAAGGCGGAACTTCAAGGAGTCAACAATCTCTGATAAACAAGTAGCACCAAAAGTGGAGGTACCCCGAGATAGCTATGCGGAGGCAAGGACAGTTACGATAGAACCCAGCATCGGGAATGAGCAGATGAACCAAGACCAGGCGCAAGATCCTTCAGTACGACGTGGATCCTGGAAGCATAGCAGCGGTCAGGGGACCGGCCGGATTGGTCAGCAATGGCTTCAAAGTCCAGGGTGGAGAAGCCCTTGGAGGAAGTGAGCCCAACTGGAAATGAAGCAAGGCGTTCTCGACAGGAAATGGGAATAGTGACCAAGACCATAGGGTAACCGAATGTTGTCTTATAAGCTAAGCTTCGAGAGGTCGTTGTGAAGGAATTGCTTGGTGGCAAGTCTAGTGGATACCTTGGCATGAACAAGACCAGAGATAAGGTTTGCTGGAGGAGTTGAGGTTCTATGGGGTAGGAACGAATGCAGACATCAGCTCGAGTGTACGGCAGTTGAAGGTAGTTCATGTGGACAGGTTGAAACCCTACGAAGTGGCACTCTTCAGCCTACGGACTCCTAGTTAGAAGCGAGTGTAAGTCAGCACGAAGGTTGAGCAGGACGCTCCTAGCCAACTTGCACGTCAGCATTAGGAGAGGAAGAGGAGGTTGACCCCGTCGACAGGGAAGCTTCGAAACTTGTTGAACCGACTGTACCTGCACCACGAAAGGTTCCGGTCCCAGCCTCCAGGAGGGATCCCGCGAGAACTAGGAATCCACCAAGACCCAACTTATTTAATTGTATTTTGTTGTTTTTACTTATGTACCTGTAATGAATTGTGCCTTATCTTGTTCATCTTAAATCCTGCATTCCTTCTACCCTTCACCCTTTGTCTGTCTTCAAACTCATATTTTCATTCGTTCTCCCTCTACTTCTTTTGTTCTTTCACTCTATTGTAGAGGTGTCGTGGTCGAGTGGATAAGTCACCGGACTGTGGATCACAAGGTCCGCGGTTCAAGTCCCGCCGCGGCACTAATGTCCTTTGGCAAGACATTGATCTACATTTGCCACTCTCCACCCAGGTGTTAAAATGGGTACCCGGTAGGATGCGAAAGCTAATGTGGTTTGATTAGCAAGTGGCGCTTGTAAAATGGCGACTGGCTGGAATGCTCCCCAGGGAGTGGAGAATGTGCATACCTTGTGTGCGGGTAAGCCTGAATCCGATGACCGGGGTAATAATAATATGTTGTAAAGCGCTGTGATACACATGTATGTCTGTAAGAGCGCTATATAAATGCCAATATTATTATTATTATTATTATTCAAGTTCTTAGGTTGCACTTTACCAAGGTTGAACGAATTACTTACGTTGTATTGTTACTAGGCCAATATTTTGTGTTTACGATAGTTCAGGGATGCATTGTTTTGCATTTGTTAGATAGCAGGAGAAAAAGGAGAGGGTTATGTTTCATTTTAACTTGTATAATCATTGTGTTATAAGTCAGAATTTCTGGTCCTATTCCTTCCGCACCTTTTCTTTCCTAAACTTTCCCGTATCTGAATTTCGAAGAAAAATTCACATTTCTAGAAAGTTGAGTTTCTGCTCTTTCATATGACACCTCAATCAGTAAAAATGAGCGAGGAATGACAAAGTTCTGTTTGTTAAAAGTAGTGCTTGCATTTCCATAATTTTATTAAACAAATTCGTTTTCACTGGCGGCCCGCCGTATCAATAAACGAATTAACAAAAGACTTAACTCCGTTTCGTTGACAATCAGCCGTAGACGAGAGTCTTCATGCATGGCTGATTGTCAACGAAACGGAGTTAAGTCTTTTGTCAAATCTGCTTTTTGCCACGGCAGGCACTCAGTGAAAATGAATTCGTTTGTTAAAATTATGAAAATGTAAGGGCTACTTTAAACAAACAGAACTTTGTTATTCCTCGCTCATTTTTCCTGATTGAGGTGTCATATGAAAGGGCAGAAACTCAACTTTCTAGAAATGTGAATTTTTCTTCGAAATTCAGATACCGCCCACCAAATGTCTTTTTGGTTTCCTTCCTTCAAATTGCTTTTTATCACTCATGCGTGAAATATGCATCATCAGAGTAGCATCAACTGAAAGAGGAGACTCTAAGCTTTCCAAATATGTATCATTCATTAATTATGGTTGTGATTAAGTTATGATAAAACATTGATACTTCTCGGTTTCGTTTTTTCTGGGACGCACTGTATAGTTGTGATCTGTGAGTCAGCGTCGAGCTGTCGTTGCGACAGGTTCGTCACCAGGAACGAGTAAAGTCATGAACTGCAGATACTGTGCAAGTGTTGTTTCTTTAGTCCTGTCAGACATTCAGTGATTGCGGGAGTGAGTAAAATGAGAGCTAGTCCACGTTATTCTTGCACGACATACTTTTGTGAGAGCCCACTGAGAGATATAGTTGATGAATGATTGTCGAGAGCGTGGACCAGGTTTTGAGAGACTGCGAGGCAGAACGCTACCCCAGCAGAGCCAGGTTACGCCACAATATGAAATTATCAGTTCTAAATATATCCCAATATGAAATTATCAGTTCTAAATACATCCGATCACATTGATTTTCATGATATCTTGTAGCAGACTACAACTGTTCTAATAATATATATGGGTTAAGTCGATTCTTATCTTATGCATGAAATGATATGAAATACTCAGTTCTAAATATATCCCATCACATTAATTTCCATGATATCTTGTAGCAGACTACGATTGTTCTCATAATAAGGGTTAAAGTCAATTCTTATCTTATGTATGAAATGATGATATGAAATTATCAGTTCTAAATATATCCCATCACATTGATTTTCAGCTGATTCAGCTCAAACAATTGTGATATATTTATTTAAATAGAGCAAACAATAATCTTGAATCGTGAAAATTTGGCGGTTAAAAGTCACTTCTTGACACGTACATGTAAAAGCTCTACACTGTATATGAATCTAGTGTGAATGATTTGAAGTGATAACCTAAACACAAAATATGACTCGACTATCTGTACTACTTGAGAAGTCAAGTTTTGATACATTTTGGAATTTATATTAATATTTACACACATTTAAAAGAATTAAGTGAATTCCTGCCGTTCAAATTTTATTGAAATTCACATCATTTTTAAATGACGTGACTTTCTTTTCCATAATCATCTATGTTTCTGCTCCATACGATAGAACAGACCAGAAAATGACATAACAATTAATAAGAAATAAATTACCTCTCCAGATCTGTCAAGCTCTGCAGCCTTTGGGATGATCTCTTCCGCAGTAAACTTTCTTGTCAGGTCCTGGTACTGCAGCTGCTCCTCGGAGAGAGCTGTTCAAAAGAGATTATGAGCCATGGATAGAATACAACTGTTTCATTAGGCCTAAAAAACAAAGATGATGCATTGCCCTTTGCGACCGACCCAAAAATCTTGAAATCTACGGTCGGCTTTGTAAAAAAGTCTTTTTTTAAACCGCTTTTAGAAAAAAATGTTTTAAAGCATTCAAAACAGAGAAATATCAGCCCAAAGAGGGAGACAAAAAAAAGTTGAAAAAAAAAAAAGACCGACCGACCCATGTTTTGGCACCTAAAGGGCAATACAACATCTTTTTTTTGTTAGGCCTAACATTAATGTGGTGTTCCACATACTGTGTGCAAAATAAGAAGTTGCTTTAGCTGTGGAGTACAATTAAGGCTCATTGGGTATGAAGTGGTAAATCACAAGTTGTTTTTTTTTAAGATGTGAAAGTGAATGGCAACTGCACACTTCAAAGTTCTTACGAGTATTCACTTTAGCTCTGTATTAAAGATAAAGATACAGAAATGTGAGGCGTATTACATTTACATCATTAAAATAAAAAGTGATCACAGCACTTTAGTTGGTCATATCTGAATAATAATTATTAAGTGTGTACTCCTGATGCAATATGGGGCATGTTCACCCAAGTATGATTCAGTTTGTACAGGAAATACATTCAAACTTTGTACAAATTACTGTATACTAGTATAATAATGTATAATGCAATGTCATCAATGAAACTTTTTTTTTGTCTTCTTCTTTTTTAACCACGAAGTTGTAAAATTCAATTTGTTCCAGCTTTATGGCCTTAATCTTTTTTTTAAATAGATCACATAACTACCTGTAGGTAGCTCGTTTCATTACATGGCACATGAGCAAGTTCAAGTTCTATTTTGTATTTATTGACCATTTTGATAATTGAAAGGGTACTTGTTGCAGGGTACTTAAAGCCAAAGGGTACTTATTGTGACATTTGAGGGTAAGATCAGCAAGATCTTAAGGATTTATAGTTTCCAGGTGGAAATGTGACCATATGACCAAACTAACCATTAAAAAAAAAACGGGAGTGAAATATCCATACAAACAATGCTAATTCTGATCCCCGCAATCCATATCACAAGACGAGTTGCGGACCAACCACACCTCTGCTTCGTTAAGAGCTATCTACAGTCGAACCTGCTTTTAATAGCGACCACCTGTATATAAAGACCACCTGTCTATAAAAGGCCATTTTTTTCATTTTCCTTGAGTGGTTTTTACAATTTACAGACAGGTTCCACTGTACTCTTCTTCTTCTTCTTCAAGATAATCTGCCTCCTTCAATAGGCTACTAAAGATTCTTGCAGATGCCGTATATACTTGGCCTAATTGGGGTGTGCAGGTGGACCACTACACCGAGGTTTACGAATAGTGCAGTGGATTCTTAACATGCAAGGGTGGTGACTACATAGTCTCCGGTACTCGGGGCCTCCATTTAACGTCCTATCCGAGGGATGGAGTGTTTTCCACTTAACATAACCTGCGTCTATGAAACAAGGGGAGGGGCACGTTTACTCACAGCATGTATACCGATACTTACCAAAAGATAGACCTGATGACTTTCCTTCGGTTGCTGCTTCTGCGGGACTACTGACAGAAGAAAGGCCTCGCGTTCCGCAAACACCAATGCCCTGCACATAAACAGCAAGATATTATGAGACGAAGAAAAGAAGAGAGCGGGCTCAATTCAAAATACTATAGATTAACAGTAAAAATACATGATGACATGATTGACATCCTTAAAACATAAAGTAAATGAAAAGGGAGATAACCCTGTAAACGATCATCGGATCGGCCGCCGATACCGATCCGATCAGGGGTGATCGGGGAAAAATTACCGATCGCCGATCAATTAAAATGATCGGAAAAAAATCGGCGATTTTTTTTTTTTTTTTTTTTTTTTTTAATGACGAAAATTTTCAAGTTTTTGGCTATCAAATGCTCAAAAAAAGTTCATGGCTGGGATTATTTTGTCATTTGGAGTTGTTGTAGACAATGATTGTTGATATTTAGTGCCTTTTCATGACTTTGAAATTAATAATATTGGTCTAAGAGCAGAGGCAAAACATGCGGGCCGCCATCTTGGATTATAATGTAGGTTTTTTTTGTTTTTTTTAAGGACGAAAATTTTCAAGTCTTTGGCTATCAAATGCTCCAAAAAAGTTCATGGCTGGGATTATTTTGTCATTTGGAGTTGTTGTAGACCATGTTTGTTGATATTTAGTGCTTTTTCATGACTTTGAAATTAATAATATTGGTCTAAGAGCAGAGGCAAAACATGCGGGCCGCTATCTTGGATTATAATGCATACCTACATTATAATTCAAGATGGCGGCCTGCATGTTTTGACTTCCCGTTACGTTGAGCGTGTTAGCCATTCCTCTGATCGGCCCGTTAAGGAAGGTCGTTGTACGTGTGGTGCGAGTAATGCCGTACCAGATCGCATGTACCGATGAAATTCAACTAAATAAATTCTGTTTAATATAATAAAGTCTGTTTAATATGTATGAACAAGCACAAGACGAAATTGCCGAGACTCCGAGTGTGATATATCGGAAATATAACATGAAAATGGCAACACGGCTGTCTCATATTATGGGAAATATAACATGAAATTGAAAATGGCAACACGGCTGTCTCATACTGGTACATGTATATGGGAAATATAACATGAAAATGGCAACAGGGCTGTCTCATATGGGAAATATAACATGAAAATGGCAACACGGCTGTCTCATACGGGTATAGTCTATGGGAAATATAACATGAAAATGGCAACACGGCTGTCGCACCACACGTACAACGACCTTCCTTAACGGACCAATCAGAGGAATGGCTAACACGCTCAACGTAACGGGAAGTCATGTTTTGCCTCTGCTCTTAGACCAATATTATTAATTTCAAAGTCATGAAAAAGCACTAAATATCAACAAACATGGTCTACAACAACTCCAAATGATAAAATAATCCCAGCCATGAACTTTTTTGGAGCATTTGATAGCCAAAAACTTGAACGTTTTCGTCATTAAAAAAAAAAAAAAAATACCTACATTATAATCCAAGATGGCGGCCCGCATGTTTTGCCTCTGCTCTTAGACCAATATTATTAATTTCAAAGTCATGAAAAGGCACAAAATATCAACAAACATGGTCTACAACAACTCCAAATGACAAAATAATCCCAGCCATGAACTTTTTTTGAGCATTTGATAGCCAAAAACTTGAAAAATTTCGTCATAAAAAAATAATTAAAAAAAAAAAAAAAATTGGCCGAATTTTTTTGTCGCTCTTCCGATCCGATACCGATCAAAGGTGCGAGGGTGTCGCTCCGATCTTCCGATCCGATCAGAGCCCCAACTTACAGGGTTAAAGGAAGATATTTGTTATTGACGAACACATCATTTATTGTACTTTAATTGTAGTGTTTGTTTACCTGCCTCTTCATGCAGGGGTGTGGCCTGGGACTGGCCGGGTTAATCACTATACCGACGAACACTTCACACTGGCTTCGTTGTTTGCTAGTAGAGTACTATAGTAGTGCTTAGTGGACTCTTCTTTCTTCTCATGCAAAGCCCTTTCTTCAGTGTACGTTTCATGAAATTATTAATTAAAATCTAGTCTAGACCTTTCTATGCAGAACCAAAAACTTTAAGCAAAACTTTAAAATTCCATAAGGCATAACTTTCTTGTTTTTCATCCAATTTAGATGAAACTTTTACCATTTGGTCTGTTTAATTCTTCCCTATTTATTCAATTAAAATTCCGAATGGGACAGACTTGCCCTGTTAAACTAAATCCAATTTGAACTCTTTAACAACTTTGTCATTGACATTTTCAAGGGCACTCCAGCTCCATTATGTCACCGGAGCTGCGCTGATACGCTAGTGCAGCTATCAATGTCAATGACACACGAGCATCCATCACTCAGCCTCACTCTCGATCTCACAACATTAGTTTGAAACTTACTCGAATTTGTCTTGAGAGTAATCGAAGAGCCATGGTTACAGTAATTCTGCCTTTTTGTAGACCCAAAACTAGAAGGGGTTTGAACTTTTGCCAACTAGATGGTATATGTCGGGATTATAAGGCAGAGTTTCGGATCCCGCGGTCGTACTCGTCGGGTGCTCACGTCGTACTGAAATTACTTGCGATCGAATATCAATCGCAAAAGAGAATCTTGTTTATCTTAGATATGAGTACATAGATGGCGCTCTTTAAATCTCCGTAGATTACGCAACTCCTTGCGCATCTCGTACACTCCTAATGATATTTGTCAAATTCAGAAGTACTTACTTGTCTTCAGGGGCGGCGGAGCGTCTTTAAAAGTGGGGAGGGGGGCACCAACAAAAAGGGGCTCTACAAAGGGGAAGCTCAAAGTGATTTTTTTTTAAACTATTTTTTTTAGACATTGCATATCCCTTCATCAGGCGCGGATCCAGGGGGGGGGGGCCGAGCGGGCCTTGGCCCCCCCCCCCCCCGCAAAAAAAAAAAAAAAAAAAAAAGAGAGAAGAAGGAAAAGAAGGGAGAAAGGGAAAAAGGAGAAAAAGGGAAAGAAAGAAGAGGAAGAAGAAAAGTAAAGGGAGAAGAAGGAGATCGGGGGGGGCCGAAAGGGCCTTGCCTCCCAGGCTGTTAACCCCCCCCCCCCCCCAATCAAAAAAAATAAGAGAGAAGGAAGGAAAGGGAAAGAAAAAAAAGGAAAGAGGAGATACTGGCGTACTGATAGAGAGGGGGGGGGGGGGCTTGGGGGAAATCAAATTCAAAGTGGTTTATTTCTGATTCCACAACGGTGTATTACAAATAATGCTGAAATGACATAATTTCCGAAATTTTTCCTCACTTTTTAGTAAATTATACGTTCGTATGTGTTTGTTGGAAAATAAAAAATTCCTAAATTTACAACCAGGCAAAAAATATGATTCTTGAGATTCCTACATGTCAGGGCCCGAGGAACGGCGGGGATCGAGAGCCTCGAGGCATCAAAATATGCTCATCTGACCGTGATTAAATGCCTAAAACCCCTAAGCTTCCGGGGTCTTTGCCCCCTGGATTCCATCTAGGGCCCTACGGCGGGCCCTTGATGATCATCTGACGGTAATCTAATGCCTAAAACCCCTGATTTTTTGGGGCTCCGCCCCCTGGACCCCACGCCAAATAGTGACTTGCCAGTGTCACAAAATAATAAGGTATACACAAAAATATGCTCATCTGACCTTAATTAAACGCCTAAAACCCCTGAGCTTCCGGGGCCGGCTCCGCCGCCTCGACCCCACCTCTTTGAAATTCAGACAAGGATTAAGAGTATAGAGAACGGTACAACGCATCGTTTTCTTTCTCTAATAATAAAACGTCAAAGCCTCGCGCAGGAGGGGAGGAGGGGGGGGGGCCTGAATTGAGACGAGGATTCAGAGGCGAGAACGGTAATACGAATCTTTAATTATTTTATGAAACGTAAAAGCTTATGCGCTTCGCGCGGGATGAAGGGGGAACTAAATTCCGATGAGGATTATTTTCGAGAACGGTACAATGAATCGTCTTCTTCTCTAATGATTAAATGAAGATTAAAAATTTCCGCGCTTTGCGCGGGAGGGGGGGGGGACCTGAATTCAGACGAGGATTAAGAGTCGAGAACTGTACAACAAATCGTCTTCTTTCTCTAATGATTTAATGAAACGTAGAAGCTTCCGCGCTTCGCGCAGGAGGGGGAGGGGGAGGAACTGAATTTAGACAAGGATTAAGAGTCGAGAACTGTACAACGAATCGTCTTCTTTCTTTAATAGTTTATTAAAAACGTCAAAGCTTCCGCGCTTCGCGCAGGAGGGGGAGGGGAGGAACTGAATTTAGACAAGGATTAAGAGTCGAGAACTGTACAACGAATCGTTTTCTTTCTCTAATGATTTAATGAAACGTAAAAGCTTCCGCGCTTCGCAGGGGAGGGGGGGAAAAACTAAATTCAGACGAGAATTATTTTCGAGAACGGTACAACGAATCGTCTTCTTTCTTTAATAGTTTATTAAAACGTCAAAGCTTCCGCGCTTCGCGTAGGAGGGGGAGGGGGGGCTGAATTTAGACAAGGATTAAGAGTCGAGAACTGTACAACGAATCGTCTTCTTTCTCTAATAATTTAATAAATCGTAAAATTTTCCGCGCTTCGCGCGGGAGGAGAAAAACTAAATTCAGAGGAGAATTATTTTCGAGAACGGTACAACGAATCGTCTTCTTTCTCTAATAATATAATGAAACGTCAAAGCCTGGGAGGGGGAAACTCGCCCCCCCCCCCGCATTACGTCACTGTTGGTCACCATAACGTACCAATATTTGGCTCGCATAATTTCAAATTTGGGCCCCCCCCCCCCCTAAGAAATCCTGGATCCGCGCCTGCCCTTTATTGTAATACATTATCAGGGATGACTTTCAAGATTTTCTCTTTACCTACGTAGTCCAAGATCATGAGATACTGATTCACAACGTATTTTCCGGACGTATTTTGCAGTTGAGCTTGTGGTTTTATTTGCGAGCAAGCAAAATATTCAAGATTTTTTAGGTTGCACTGCGACCGATCACATGTTTATTAAGTACAATCTCATAATGACAGCATGAATATGACCTTTGATAACGTTACTTGATGAGACTGACTTACAAATGCGAGCGAGGGAGTTTTGAGGGGAAATTCGAGGGAAGATAATGCTCTCAGTCGGTTAAATGAGTTGTACATGTTAGAAGGCCGGGCTTTGAGAAATCTATAGGGGATCGAGATCATATGAAGCATATATTTTTTTAAAGCGCTTGTTATAGCACTAATACTCAGGTCTCTTTTTTATTACATGAATGATATCTGGTAATGTAAATGCAGTTGCCTTGAGTTTGAAAACTCCTTCAATTTCTAAACCTTTATATTCTTGAACGAGTTAGTGATTGCCTGTCTATAATTCAAAAGGGCATTTGGTTTTAAAAATGCCTTTATAGCGGTGGAGTAAAATATGTCATGGTTTATAGTTTACAGGGGCAATCGCTTTACTGCAAAAAGAGCACAATTATTTATTTTGAAAACGAGCGCGGTAATCTTTCTAAACTTGAACTTACATGTTTTTTCGTTCTGAAATTTAGGGCGTCGCCCCCTAAAGCCTCCCTTAGCTCAAAAGCCTTTTATGGTGGTGGTCAGGCGCGTACGCAGGGGGTGGTTTTGGGGTTAACCCCCCCCCCCCTCGAGTTCTTTTTATGTGTATGTTTTATGTATGTTTTTTTGGAAAAACCCCCCTTTTTATTTTAAACCCCCCCCCCTTGAAAAAAATCCTGCGTACGCCACTGGTGGTGGTATCGAAATGAGGTACTTGTTTATTATACACAAACCTGCTCTGATTCTTTGAAACAACATATGGTTCTTTAAATGACCGCAAAAGAGCACACTTCGTAAGCGAACGTGGGAAATTTAAGTAAATAAGAAACAAAAGCAACAATTAAGGGAAAGATCGCAGGTCTATATGAACAGGGCATTGTATCATATGGGAAAAGGGGTATTTATCGGCCGCAGGAAAAACGGTACTTATTAGAAACGAAAAGGTTCACGTTTCAAAGTAAATGAGTCACTAATTATCGGAGGTTAAAAGGGCTAACAAAAAGAGGTAAAAAAGAAGCACTTATTAGAACGGGAAAGATTCTATTGCACTTTTTGTCAAAGTTAAATTAAAGGGGCTATTTCAGATTTTGATAGGGGCACTTTTCAGAGGTGAAAAGGGGTAACTTATAAAAAAAAATTAAAAAAGGAGAATGACACTTATTACCCGAGGAAATGTAGCGCTCATCAACAGGGAATAGGTCACTTATTAAACAGACAAAGGGACATGATTGTGTTAAAGTAAAAAGGGCACATATCAGAGGTGAAAAGGCGCATTTATAAGAATGGGAGGGGGTATTTTTTTATAATAAAAAGGGGCACACATCAGATTTAAATAGGGACAATTATTAGAGCAATTATCATTATGGGGGGGGGGCTTATCTGAATTAGAAGGGGCACTTTTGGGATACTTGAAAAAAGCGGATGGGCACTCTGCCCCCTGCTCCCCCCCCCCACCCCACCCCCAAACTTTGGCAAAATGACACGGGTATCTTGAAATGAGGTAAATACAGATTTACATGAATATGGCATATTAATTGTTTGCATATTGTACGTGCTTGTTGTTTCATAAAAAAGCATGTCTTGATATCGGGAAATGATGCAATTCAGAAGAAGATAAACAAATAAAGCAATGCTCTTTACCCAAATGAAGACAGACTTTCCACTTTGAACACAATAAAACTGTTTTCGAAAAAAATCTCCTCCAGTTCCATTTCAATACCCATTTAAACAAAGTCTATAATGGAATCAGTTTGCATGTATCAGGGTAGAAGGAGAGTGTAGTGAATATAATAACATCAGACGGGGAGTCAGACAGGGTTGTGTTATGTCGCCGGACCTGTTCAATATGTATAGTGAAATCCTTCTAAGAGAATTGGAAGCTGAAAATGGGATACAAGTGGGTGGCCATTCAATCACAAATATTAGATATGCTGATGACACTGTTTTATTTTCTGAATCAGAGAAAGATCTCCAGAGACTCCTGAATGTAATTGTAAAAGAAAGTGAGAGAATGGGACTAGAGATCAACTATGCCAAGACAAAGTGCCTGGTGGTCTCTAAAAAGAGCAGTCCAAAATGTAACTTGAAACTGAAAGAACAGATTATTAAACAAGTCTCCTCATTTAACTTGCTCGGCAGCATGATCACCGAGGATGCCAGATGTGAGAGAGAGATCAAGAGAAGGATAGCTCTCGCTAAATCTGCATTTTCAAAGCTAGGCAAAATTCTGACAAATCGAAAAATGAGTATGAGGACCAGAATAAGAGTATTGAATTGTTATATATACCCAGTACTTATGTATGGTAGTGAAACGTGGACTTTAGCCTCTGATACTAAAAAGCGTTTGGAAAGTTGCGAAATGTGCATGGTTCTTAAGAAGAATGATGAAAATCCCCTGGACTGACATAGTTAGTAATGAGGAAGTTCTTACTCGAGCTGGAGTGCAAAGGAAACTGATACGTGATGTTGATTAGGCAGTTGAAGTTCATGGGTCACATTACAAGTAAAGAAGGCCTAGAAAATCTTGCTTTGACAGGGAAAATTGTGGGAAGAAGGAGTAGGGGAAGAAGGAGGATACTTTGGATGGACAGTCTGCAGAAATTGTTGAAAGAGAGAGAGGAGTGAAAGAACTGGGAGTGGTACTAATACAGAAGGCTAGGAACCGAGGGTTGTGGAACAGCATGATCGCCAAAGTCAATCGATATGGCACTTAGAGAGAGAGAGAGACCCATTTATATTTCCTATAAAGACGCCCCTCTTCTCCCTACTATAGACCTTAACCCTAATAAGGCCGGGGGGCATTATGCCTCCCACCCCCCCCCCCCCTCCATGATTTTTCTGATTGTTCGGGAACGCATAGGGATGGCGCCCCGCCGCTCGCTGACTTTTTTCTTTTGAGTCTTGCGCATCTTTAAAAAAAAAAAAAAAAAGGAAAATCGGACCTACAGTTACAAGGTCACGTGAATAAAAATGTGATTTTATGACCTTATTTGCATAAATTACCATAAATATGCAAATGAGTGAATTTTTCAAAAAATTGAAATTACTATATTATTCTATACACTTCATTTGACATGCGTGCAAATTTTCGCGGAGATCGGCTGTTTCATAATCCCCCCCCCCCCCCCCCCGGGCGTACTAAGACCTCAAATAGCCCGGCCTTTTTAGGGTTAAGCAATGTCTGTCCGTCAATATACATGTATCCAGTGCATGTTTCTGTTCTATTTTTGTGTTTGATGTAAATTATGTAAACAGTTTCCTTTGAACAAAATGATTATTCTCATCCACTGAACAGCCCTATAAGCAGGCACGTAGCCAGAGTTCGATGTTTGTTTTTCGATCGAGGTAAAAAAAAGGGGGTCTACAAAAATTCAACCGATCTTGGAAATTTTAGGGGGCACGTCCCAGTGCATGTGGGGATGGGTGTGGTCGCCAGCGGAATTAGAGACAGGCAGTTTCTCCAGGATCAAGATGGAGAGAAAAAAGCGCGAGCATTTCAAAGCAGCTATAGCTCGCGCTCTTGCAATCAATTATTTTTGTTTTTCAAAGATACCGTACTTCTTCTAAAGTGAAGTTGCCGCCGATGAGCATCCAAATTTCCATCATTTTTTTAGTAGTTTAACCCACTTTAACGTATAGCTACAAGTTAACAAGGAGTCTTAAAGTAAGTTCTTTATATTCAAATGATTTTTCAGGTATTAAGAGTGTACGATTATGTGAAATATGTCTTCCGTGTGGTGGTGAATTGTGTGTGCAGTTGAGTTGTGTTGTAGATCCCTGCTTGCAGTTTGGACTTGTTTAGTCCCGCATGTTGAAATTGATGGGGTATTTGAAGGCGGGTCTTTGCATTCTTTAAATTGACTGTCTCATGGTGATCATGTCAAGAGAGAAGACGCAGGCATTTTTTCTTTAAAACCAGAAACAAGCGCGATTTGTATAGGAGAGCCATTTTCATGATAGATCTAGAGGTCTAGAGTCTATTGCTAGGGTGTCTGAACGATTTTTCAATTTTCAATTTGGGATCGTTTTTCACCATTTTTGTTTGATATTTGAATAAAAAATGTTATCAGAATAATACAATTCAAATTTCAAGTCTCACTGATGTTTCTATCAAAAGTTACAGCCCCTCCAAAATGCTGGTATATTCATATCATTTTGGTCAAAATCGACGAAAAAGACGTCCACGCAGAGTGATGTTGTTTTGCTAAATTCAGACAAACAGCTGTATCGCGCGATATGCAAGCGTATGCATATAGTACGCATGTTGCTAAGCCAATGCGCGACTAGCAGCTTGAGCCACGCTGTCTCCGCGATATGTGCCATTGACTAGTATGGTTGGCAATTCGCGCTGTAGAACCCGGAAGTGAATACACGTTGTAGTCATTGACTATAACGTGTATTCACTTCCGGGTTTATCGAGGGAATTGCCAACCATAATTTCATTCACTATAATGTGTAATTGAATTTGGGGTTTCGTTCGTGCGCGGAGATGTTACGCGATGCAACCATGGTTTGGACTGAGCGGAGCGCACGCCCCCTAATTAGCTGATCCACCAAATAGCGAGAAGGGTATTTTTAAACTGTTATCAGTTGTGATCCCTGGGGGCTAGCGAAAATATAAGCACATAGAATTGTTCCTTAGGACTGGGACTACTTATCGATCGGGGCGTCACATCTCAAAAGTGACAAACCTCAGAGTTAGCCAGGACACAATGTTTAAATTGCTGTTTTGACCAAGATATTTTTAGAATTTCGGGGGCTACGCCCCTTTGGAAATATTGGAATTTACCTGCTCTTTCATTTGACACCTCATTTATTGATTATCACCTTCAGGATCACAACAAATAAAGGTTTGAATCTCGATTTGAAAAAAAAAATTGACTTTTTTTGCATGGTCGTGCAATGCACGTAGACTGCATAGGGATGCGTGTAATCTCTATGGGAAGAATTTTAGCACACAACATCGGGTGCGCGATCAGACACCCTACTATTGCGTGAATTAGGTACGTGAACAAAAAAATAGAATTCATTGACATTGGCATTGCATCTCCTTAATAAAAAAAGTAGCATTTTGAAAGAGGATGAAAAATAGATCTAGATCTACATCTAAAATAGTTAATAGTCAAATCACCTAGATATTTTATATGCAGGTAAATAAATAAATATTCTTTTGAAAGAAATAAAATTTGAAACCATACTTAAGTTCCTTCGTTGAAATCTGATGCTTTGAATATTTAGTCAATCTTTGTTTGCACGTAGCTCCGGTTCTGTTCATCGCACACACAAAGTTGAAGAACAATGCCAAGCGGAATTTCCCCACGTCTCGATCGATACCGTATTCATTATGTAAGCGCTAAAAATAGCAGCGCTATAGCAATTTGAATAGAGCCCTGTTGGTGCACTCAAAATCGATTGTGAATTAAGAGCGCGGTACCAAATCGATGCACCGTAGATGCGCGGATAGTCACGTACATGTACCTACATGAATTCATTGTTGTGTCAGTATTTCACTACATGAAAGTTTCGCAAATCTTGCCAATAGAAAAATTTACAAACATTTCAATCATGCCATTCATGCGATAATGGCTTCAAGTTTATGCTCATAATTAATATTGAATGCTCCAAAAGTTTCTGAAATTATGTTTTTTCACTTTCAGTACTCTGCCATACGCATGTGGGGCCTATAAGGGAATGCACTTCCCTTGCTGCTTTTCTATGTTTGTGAATATCTTATCTTACTTCTTAGTGTAGAAGCCTAGTGAAAAATTAATTGGACAATAAGAAAGTAGAAACCATGCTCCATTATTCAAATTCAAACGTGAAAAAATAAAAATTACCACATGTTACGACTTCTCAAAAGCCATAGACTAGAGAAAAAAATTGTTTTATCTCTGCCCTATGATGCTAAGGTCGGGTATTCTAAAGTGGCCCACTCAAAACACATCAATTTATCTGCTGAGATATGTTTGCAAATTGCTAACATAATCAAATGTATAGATTTTTCTTTCATGGGGACCTTGTGACGATTTATTCCATTAACCCCTTATCAATATTATTATTTGTTGCTATGTCAGGCAAGCTTTCAGGTTGTCAAGAACAACCTTTATTAAAAAATATGCATACATTTTAAATATTTAAGTAAACTGTAAACCGATCTATTTTTTCTTCCCAGATCTAGAAGTCATGCCACTCACAAACAAGACTAAGGTGATGCTGGCAGTGGCATTCTCTGTCACTGTCACCGGTTTGATGGTCACGGCCAGTCTGCTTAGGAGACGCAAACGTCGTAAGCAACCCAGGACAATGGTCAGACCTATAACTAATGTCTTCTCTAATGCAGGTTAGTTCTAGTCACTCATTAATTCGCTGCATATTTTGCACATACTTATTACCTTATTATCAGATGTACTGGAAAATGCAGAGATTTGCTGTTGAGTTTCCAGGTTTATCTGTCATCCAAGTTCCATCTTCCTTCTCTATGTTTTAATAATTTGATATGATGATGTGAGACAGTGTTAGTGTGTAATGTGCACATTGCTTCAATGTTAATTTTAATCCAATCTTCAATTTTAAAAGTATTATCTGAGAATGCAGTATTATGAACATTACCGTATTTGCTGGCGTAAAGGCCGCAGTATTTTAGGAAGAGAAAATATCAAAAAGTCGGGGTGCAGCCTTTACGGCGAAAGAGTAAAAAAAAAAAAAAAAAATCAAGTCAAAACCAGCACGAATTTGCACATATGGGACTACCAACGGTACATTAACTATACCACTATGGTACAGGACATTTCAACACATCTTACCGACAATTTTATCTTGCATTGTTGACATGAATACAAAAATAAATTGCTAAACCAACATTTGCCGATAGATCTTGATCTAAGTTCGTGCCAATGCATTGCAAAAGTTAAGGAAGGGACCATTTAACAGAGCTGCCGCGAAGCATCCATCCGAAGTCGCCATTTTGTTTTCCATTTCATGCAATTTCGCATTACACAGTACATTGTGGTAGGGGTATATATCGGACGCCAAATCTGCCCGCGATCACTTTTTGAGCTAAACTTCCGGTAAATTATAAAAATATTGATGAATTTGGTATCAGTTTGTAAAAAAAAAATTGTGTTTTACAAGAAAATTACAATTATTCAGGGCGCGACAAACCCGCTTGCCCGACGTCCCGGGGCAACCAAATTGAGCCGTCGGGCAAGTAAATCAAATTATCACTTGCCCGATTCGGGCAAGTGATACTTTTACAGTAATTTCCTAGTGTCCAAGAACTCTACCATTCACCCGTCAACTTCTTACCCGTCGTCAAAATCCAGAAGCAAAAAAGCGATCGTTCCGATTTCGAAAAAACTTCACAGACAGCTAGCCAGCTCAGCTAGCTCAGCGCGCATGCAACAGTGACACTTCAAGCCATGAATGCCGCTCCGCCTCCACGCACGGCCGGCCGTGAGCTAGCTAGAGACAGCTAGCGCGATCGTACCAGCTGCGAGCTTATTCGCGCTCTCTCTCTCTAGCTCTGCAGGCCGCACCGACAGGCCTTTGCTATTCTCTGATTGCCGATTGGTTGAATCACGCCAAATATGACGTCATTATCTAGGGAAATGAACACGTGCGAATCGGAATGGAATAAACAACAGGGATTTTCTAGTAAGTACAAAAAGTCAAATGTTTGATATTTATTCATAATGACTGTTAATGATTGTGAACATATTATTTAAAACTCGCTGCTCATATAAATCAGATGAATGTTTTTGTCTCGTTTTCAATTTATTACTGCGGTCTCAAGATCCGACCGAGCGAGTCATTTTGATAATAGTATCGAGACCCCCAGAATATAAGCCGTTGTTGTTTTGTTTTCATGGTTTTAGCGACGTTGTTTAGTCTAGTTTTCGCATACTTATCCGAGATTTATCGTAAAATATCTTCAATATTATTATTTAGTAAGAATTTACAAATTTTGGCATGATATTTATAGCAGTGAATGATGAAATAAAAATGTCCGTACTTTATTTAAAATAGTTGATTACCCATTATTTACATGACGTTTCTTGATGGAAGAGTTGACCCAAATTATTAACAGCTGAAAATTAGCCTACGTTTCCAAATGACAGCGGCTTGCACAGACACACGTGATGTTGCACCATGGTACATGTGGCTACCATTAATGACATGTTTGTATCATATTTTTTACAACAGGGTCATTATGCTTTTTTACATGACTGAATATTAAAAACTTAAACCTGCTTGAACCATTCTACCTTGCCGAGATTCATGTGAATCTGATTATTTATGGAGAATCAATAAAATGCGTTTTTTAAACCTTCAACCATCCTTTGTTGACCATTTTCTTTGACATATTAGGTTATTATTCAGTACAGTTACACTGTACATGTATGTGCATTAATTTGCTATCTAAAACACTAACTTATCATTACGAGATAATAAATGCTTTAACCTCGAGTCCTTTTTCGCTTTAAAGTTTTGGGCAAGTGGAAATATTGTTTGGGCAAGTAAATTGAAAACCCACTTGCCCGACAGGGCAAGTGGTGAAAAAAATTCTTGTAGCACCCTGTTATTTTGTTTTGTCCGTTGTTGTTTTTTTTTTCCTTTTTTTTTCTTTTTTTTTTCCCCATCTTTGAAATGTCAAAGTTGGGGTGCGGCCTTGTCGCCGGCAAATACGGTACCTAAATACTATAGTAGGCCTATGTTGCAACACTTAGAAACAACAAAATATTTTGCTTGTTTATTGACCAAAAAACTTTGAATATGCTCTTAACGCTGGAACGTAAGCCCAAATAGTACCATTGTGATATGTATCTCAGTAAACCACTCCTTATTATTCTACTTATTCAATTAAACCCGACCCTGGATTGAAATCCTGTTTAACAAAAGAAAAACTCACACCTCAGACTAACTTCCTTGGGTTGTCGGGTTTTTTTTATTTCAGTAGAGTGAATGAATGGGCCAGGAGTGTTTTGGACTATACGTAGATGAATATGATCTGGTGGAAGTAAAAATTTCTTCCTTTAAAACATCTTGCCCCCTTAGATATTTTGTTCTTCACCAGTTATTACATAGATTGAATTTGAATGTATGATTCATCTGTCCTATAACAGACTTGTTTTTTATTTTTAAATGTAGCTCAAAGTATGAAAGCCTCAGAGGCAATGTTCTTGTTGTATTCTTAGATAGATATAGAGATTCTTTTATTGATCCATATTCAAAACATAGAAAATTGGCCTACACTGGCAGCACATAAACAAATATAGTTACAAGATAATTTATCAACATTTTGGGATATACGTCACATAATGTCACATCTCTTGAAACATTTTTGTCTGGAAAACTTAATTCCTCAGATACGACCAGCAGCAACCAGCAACCTCGTCCCTACTCTCGTCAGTTGACCAGTTCCCCCAAGGCGGCCCCGAGACAGAAAGTGCCACCAATGAGGCCACAGTCCATCTCGAGTGCCAGGGCGAGTAAAGCCAGCTCCATCAGCTCTCTGTCGAGCGTTAGTACTCTGCGCAGCGGAGGGGCCGGTGGCGGTAGCGGAGCTCTGACGCCGATCAACACGTCGGATATGATGACGGTGGAAGGAATGTTTAATCTAGGTTTGTGGTGTTACTTTTTCCTATTAGGAACACTTGATTATTGTATTCTCTCTCGTTTGCTCTCTCTCTCTCTGTCTCTCTCTCTGGTTGATTGGTTTGTTGTACCTGACTGCTAAGAAAGCATGTGTGTGCTTGTAAGAAAGCAACCAAGCAAACAATGGCTTTAAGTCCTCTCTGAGGGACTTGGTAATGAGGATTAATGCTTTACCAAAGGGCATTAGCCCATCGACTTGGTTTAAAAACCGGGACCTCCTGGGTCTACTATGAAACTACTGCTCTACCAACGAGCTTTTAACGCCTCTTTACTGAGCCATCACAAGTTTTCTTGAACTTTTTCTTTTTAAACTTCCATCGGCACATCCTTCTTGACTATAAAAAAAGATACTCATCGTACGTAAACGTACCGTAGTCGAGCGGTTCAAGCACTTGACTTGAAAATGAAATGCAAAGGTTGTGGGTTCGATCCTTGACACGGAATTATGTCCTTTGGCAAGGCATCAATCTACATTTGCCACTCCATACACAGGAGACAAATGGGGACCTGGCAGGATGACGAAAGCCTTTGTGTTACACCATATGGTAGGAATACTCCCCAGGGAGTGGAAATGGTGCACATTATGTGTGAATGAACCCGATGACCGGGGTAATAATATCTGTAAAGGGCTCAGAGACGGTATTTGGTATTAAGCGCTATATAAATCCAGATTATTATCATTATTACTCTTTGTTCACCCACAGGTAAAGAGGCATTTGAGAGGGCTATCAGCTACTGGAGAACTGCTCTTCATGTGCAACACCAATCACAAACTGAAATAGATGGACAGATACAGGTAGGAAACAATTTTATTTTATATTCTGCAAATTAAATTGGGAGCGTGTCATAGTTTCAAGATTTTGGGGGGGAAAATTCCATTAACCGTTTCGCATAAATTATTCCACATAATGTGGGTTGGCTCAATAATTTTGATTAAAAGCCCTAAAAGATATATCAGATGCACAAATAGAAACGGCAAACATTTCTGCATAAGCTCTATCCAATTTTGTTTCATAAATTTATTTTTTTCGATGCTAGGAATTCTAAATAGATGAACATGTACAATTGAGTATGTTTTAAAAAAACTAATTACAGCAAAAATATGGTCTTTACGGTATGCATTTGCGCTGCATTACGACATCAATAGGTTTTTAATAGGTGAAAGGAAGGCCGGTTGAAAAATACTAATTTTGGAGGTGCTGAGTACTAATTTTGTTCTTCCAAAGGTTGGCAGCTCTGATATTGAGAAATTTAAATTCATTGTTTTGTTTTGTTAAATTGTCAGCTACATTCCTTGCCCATGTACATGTATATTGCTTTTTATTCTATCATTGAGTAATAAAAGAAAAATAATGATACCAATTTGAAAAACAATATGTAATCAATTGAGCTCTAAAATACATTGTTTCCATCTTGTATTCTATGTACTTACAGGAGCCAGTCGACTCCAATTTTATCAGTCAGCTCGAGAAGTTAGTAGAAGCCGTAGACAGCCTTCGTCCTGAGATGGATGATACGGCCAATAGGTTATCAGCTTCCAATCTCGGTGACCTATCCCTAGACATCAGCCACGTTAGCAATGCATCATGGGATAGGGATTTCTCTCGTAGTATCAAGAGTGGTGACAGTGCCTCAGACTCGGACTCTTTTGTATCGGCAGCAGAGGTAAGAATATGGAGCTTCTTACATGTATGTCATTAAAGGGATTGGGTATCTTTGTCTCACATGTTAAAACAAAATCTTGGATTTAGCTCATGCTACAATGATAATTATAAAACTTTAGGTCAGTCAGGAACCCCATGGCCTTTACAAGCCGATCGCCTGTCTGACTATCAAGATTATATAACACTACAGTCTATTGGGAAAATGAGTATGGTAAAACCGGTCACTCAAAGATGTTTACTTTTTTGAGGCACTTCATGATCATTTTGAAGCGCAATTTTTTTTTAAGGGGTTCAATATTACACCATATTACCGACACTGATAACATGTAGGGCCATGCATCTCAGATTTAACGTTGTTAATTGTAATTGGTTTGTGTTGGTCGAATAGTTCATGAAGTCTTTCTTTGTTTGTCTCCCTGTCAACCTCAGCTTGGAGACCTCTCATCACTTACCAGTGAGCTGAACTTCTTCTCAGGAGACGAAAGCTCTCCAGAGTTGTATATCCGTGCTCTGAGGGTGGTCAAAGAGGGCGGTGTTCAAGCAAGAAGACTCAGGTATGACTTTTGTCAAATTACAACTAAATTATCATACCCTTACCAAGTTTTGTAATTTTCTAAGTTTGTGACATACTAAAGCTTAAACCTAAAAGTATTCAACAAAAGATTTAATTGAACCAGTCCACCTTATATTCTTGAGTTACAGAAAGCACAAAAAACATCAAATTTACAAGCGGTATGAATAATTCAGGTGTTGACTGTATGTCAGCAACACATCTACGGTCTTCTCCTCCTGGTTGTTATTGGATAGACAGATGAGTGTGACCAGTCAACAACAACAAAAAACAGTTTGCTCTATGTGTTTTAAGTGTATTAATTCCAGTACCGGTATTTATTCAAATGTTATTTTTTAAATCAATATTGCTTGTTTTCTACAGAGTTGGCCACTAAGAGGCTGTTCACACCGGCGGTTTGGAAGGTACAACGTCGTTTCGGTCCACCCAACAGTGAGCCACGGCGAGCCAAAACGGCGTGCCACTGGAGCACCTCTTGGGGGTGGTCCACGAGAGATAGCGCGGTCTAACGCGCGCTAGAAAAAAGGGGGTGCTACGATAGACCGCGCTATCTCAATGCGGTGTGAACAGCCTCTAAGACATGTTTGACCGTAGTTGATGCAGTCGTAGGAACCCACATTGTAATGTAACTAAATTTCACAGCTATCACATTGTATTCTCTCAATAGAACTGAGGTTTTGCAGTGTTCCAGTGATGAGGACTTCCTTGCTAAGCTACATTGTATTCGCCAAGCCACCATAGTTCTGTTCCAAGATAGCAGCGTCAAAGACTACTTTTCAGACGTCGGCCTGCAACTGACTGCTGATCTTTTGTGGCACGCAAACTATGTAAGTCTCATATATTTTCTAGACACTGTCTCCTTCCTTTTAGCATGTGATTTTATCAGTATTCATGTATTAAAGGTAAAGACCAGTTATGGTCATGTGATTGCATTGTGAAAGAAACGTTGTGGAATCGATCAGAAAAGGTTGATCATCTAGCATCTGCAAGGTTCTGGAATCATCGAAATGATAAGAAATTTGGCCCATTCTTCGTAAAGTTACAAGCACTATACACAGAAAGATGTATATGGGACTACCCTATATCTCTCACAGACCATGAGAGAAACAAATTTACCAAATACATGTACCGGTATATGAATTAGTAGGCGGTTTCCCGGCAAATTTTTTATCATCATGTATTAGTCAAAACATATTCTTTCACATGATTGGTAATGAGAGCTTCCATTTCATTTTTTGAAATTGGGGCGTTTCCAATACTGGTCTTTACCTTTAAGGATATGTGCAACTCCATTTTGTAAGTAACAAACCTGGGCCCTGTTTCATAAATTTTGTTATCAATATCAAGTTACAATAACTTTTATAAGCTACTGAAATCGTGACATTTGATTGGCAGAGGGAAAATCTGCCGTAGAAATTTAGCATTGGTTATTGATAACAATGTTAATGAAACAGGGTCCTGGACCCTACTTTCTTTCAATACTATGGGCGTTCCCAACTCAAGCTATGCTTTCCGGGTTTTCGCCTCCTTCCGTATCTGAATTATTTACTGTATCCCTCTGTTGAAATAATTGTTACATATATCATGTATATATACATTGTGTTTTATATTGTGCTGTTGAGAAGGAAATAAATGTTAATAAATACAAAAATACAAAATACTCACACTGTTGGTGTTGTATGAAGGTTCTCTTCCTCTCTCTCTCTCTCACACTTTTTGTATCACACTCTCTCTTCCTTGTTTCTCTGCCATTTGTTTGCATTGTATTGTTGGTATTTATTGCCCCACAACTGTGACTACAAAGTTGAACCGTCTCACATCTTTCTTCTATATTGTGTAACAATCCAGATTTCAGATATTGTATTTGTGGATACATGCGGTATTTCATTACACTTTGCTGATTAAATTATTGTAGATTATCATGCCAACAACATACCGGTAGACTCTAAATATCAGTGAAAAATGTGAACAGAGAGAAGACATTAAATATATCATGGTACTGAAAAGTGGTGACTGATATAATTCATACTTGTGATATTGCATTATCTTTATTTTTCAGGACACACAAGGATTTATCAAGGCTTATGATGAGATGATGTCATATGTGAAAGACCAGAGCAGCTGGAAAGACATTGAACAGGAGCTTAATGGGAGGAAGGTAGGGGAGTCGTTCACATATGGAAATTTACATTGGTCACACTAAACAATAAACCCTTTTTTTTTTAGGCCAGTCTATATTTAATTAATTTATGTTGTTGTTTATTTGATTGTTTTACCTGACTGCTAAGAAAGCATGACTGCTTGTAAGTAAACAACCAGGGGACCCACAGCTTTAAGCTTTTTTTAGTTCAAGCTGTAAAATACTTATTTCAAATGCAGTTTGTAAAGCAGAAATACTGATGAAAAAGCTACGTCTAATTGTTTTAATTTGATTTAATTTGATTGATGTTTTCAGGTGAAATTCCTTTCGTTCTATGACATTGTGCTGGACTTCTTTCTTCTGGATGCCTTTGATGACTTGGCCAACCCACCCTCGTCTATTCTAACAGTCATTCAAAACAGATGGCTGTCAGATGGAGTCAAGGAAACAGTAAGCTCTTCTATCTGTCTTTTTTCCATCTCTTCTGGTGTCATTTCTCTCTCTCTCTCTCTCTCTCTCTCTCTCTCTCCGTCTGTCATTAATGGCGTGCACAAGATAATATAATACCTGCCAAAGTAAACTTTTATTTCTCCATTCTCAGGGTTTTGCATTATTTTCACTTGTTTTTCTTCTCCTTTTTCAGGCTCTTGCTACAGCTGTTTGGTCTGTGCTAGCAGCAAAAAGAAGAATGCTTCAGGTATGACTTCCACAAGCCCTAAACATTAGTGATTTTTGTCTTAATCTTCTAAATATCAAATTTGTTGCTAAACTACCAATTTTAGTGTATATGAATTGGCACCATGATTAATGCAGTAATTTGCTTATTGCTTACTATATTGCAAGGTATTTTTAAGTACACATTTGAGACCTAACAGAAACTGTACTGTTGGGTTTCCTTAGCCCTGACATAAATGAAACAAGGTTATATATCATTATCAGAGACAAAATCAAAACATCTTCAAATATATATGTATATACTGTATGTATATATATTTCTTTTCTTTTCTTTTCTTCTTTTTTTGAGCAACTTCAGTATTTCCTGAAATGTAACTTAATTTATCAGCATACACCTCTTTTCATCATTAATATGAACTTTAGAATTTAGAAACAATTATTTTGTGATTTCCAATTGCTATTTGAACCTTAGTTTATTGGAGTTTTCTATTGGATTTTTAAAAGTTTTATTAGACCACACCAGCTCAAGGTACGAATTTAATAAAGAATATATTTATTTTAACAAAAATTATTTACACATCCCTGTAAAGTATATTTTTTATGTTTTCATCCACAAATTTTGCTTTATTTCAGAATCCCAACGGCTTCCTAGCTAAGATGTACAGTATATCACATAGCATGACTCCAGCATTAGCGTGGGGGTTCATGGGTACTAATGAGGAGTTGAAGAAACTCATGATCTGCTTCAAGGTATGCATACCTAACCCTTTCTGGGGGATGTTTCACAAAGATCCGAAGTTGGACTTAAAAATTATGGAGAGCCATTTGTAACCTTAAAATGAAATATATTCAAAAGAGCAAATTCAAGTATTTTAGACTTTTTATAAATTCCACATCAAGAACATGAAATCTCCTTGAATGAATGATTTGAATCAACATTTTATGCCTTTTAAAATGAATTTTTCATAGATGCCAAGGGCTTTCCATAATTGTTGAGTCCCACTTTACTTAGGATCTTTATAAAACACCCCCAGGACAATCATTTCACTCAATAACATTTGATTCAGAGACCTAAAATAGATGTGCCAGATGCATGAGTGGAAAGGGCGAAGACGTCTGCATATACTGCATCCGTTTTTGTTTTACGACTATATTGCGTTTGATGCCAGGAATTTTTAAAAAGGAAAAAAATAAGCTTTAAAATCCCTAAATTGGCACACCAAAATCATTGAACAGTGGCATGTCTTGATTCACCTCATGTTGCAAATTCAATGAGATTGTAATAAAGCAATATGTAGTGTTTTTTTATTGGAAATTCAATTGATATGGCCAAAGAATTACAATTACATATTCATTCATGTATCCAGTGGCCTTGATCGATGGCGTGTATTGTATATTACCGGTAACTCTTTTTGGCAATTGAATTGTCAAATCTTCTTCAAAATTATGGCTTTGCTGGCTTTAGGCCATCAAGTTATCCATCTAGAAGCATCCCAAGTATGTGATCCAGAATTTATTAAATTTAATTCAATTTAATTCAATTCAATGTGGTTTATTTACAATACAAAGTAGTAGTCCAGGGACTAATTGCACAATGCTTATAATGTAAAAATTATAGTAAGATAGGACCATCAATTAAAACAACCAACAAATTAATAAGAAGTGATGTTACATAATCATTACAAATCAAATAATAATTACAACCTTTATTTCTTTTTCTCTGTACTATGTGCAGGAACAAGTTACGCAATTTTGCAGAGACATCTTCTCGTTAAAACGATGCAGATACTCCTCTATACCAGAGCTTTCAGAAGACATCTATTCCTTGGCCAGAGAGTATGGCACCATCATCAATCAAAAATTGAACGCAAGCTGAGTGTTTTGAGGAGCAAGGTAATTCCGACAGAAAGCGAACATCCTTGCGGTAATCAATATGATAATTACCTGCCGATGCATTCATTACTCACTTTGAGCTGTATTGCCAAGTGCGGTGGATTTCAGAGAGAGAAACATCGGATAACAGATATGGGTATTGACAAGGGCATGTATATTTGTGATTGCATTTTCAAGCTGCAAAATACTTAAAAGCGGGACTGCACTACTTGTAGCTACTTGTGCACTCTACATAGCTAACTATGCCTAAGCGGTACCCCTTAATCCCCCATGGTCCCCTTTTTCTTATGTTAATTGAGAGCTGATTTGATGAGATAACCACCTGCCAGTGACCACGCAGGGAGGTCTAATCCCTCCTGGCCAAACTAGTGCAGACAGTCCGTAACAATCTTTCCCTAACCATCCCCTGTGATGCTGCAACGCTAGTTTACTCGCTGTGGACCAAGTTAAATTATTTTTTGTTGTTGCTGAAAATGAGGTGTAAATGTATCGGTTATGTAGTAGAGTTTAAACATCACACCTATAGTGGCCTGGACCCCATCTTATAAAGAGTTTATATTGATCGCAACTTATCAATCGCAACTATGTAAATAAGAGATAGGAGACTGCAAACTTGCGATTAATTGGAGGACTTGCAATAACTGATTTTTAAGGTTTGAATTGAAATTTCAAAACATGAAAGCTGAATCGAGCATGTTTTCAAAATGCCAATTAATCCAATTCATGCATTATTAGCCTGAGAAATTATTTAAATCCAATAATCATAATGATAGTCATTTAAAAAAAATTATGTAATAATTATAAAAAGAGCAGAATACATTAAATGATATCTCTCCATTCCAAAAAAAAATATATCCTAAAATATGTCAAGAAATAATGTGTCGTTCCTATACAACATACATGGACAATGTATATTCCTGTTATTAACAATAAACTGTCAAAAGAGTGATACAAAACATAATACTTTGTAATTTTGCACTCACTTGAATAGATTTAGAGACTCACTGTGGACATATAATCACTGCCATAATGATTAACTGTTTTCATGCCACGTGTAAACTTGCCATGTTTTATTGTGCCATATTTGGTAGGTTAATCTAGTAGCAAACTTTAGAGCTGTTTTTATTCTTTCTATTTGCTAAAAAATATGGAACACAAAGTGTTACAGTGCTCATGCGGTATAGGACGTACATTTTTTCCCCATTATTCCTTTTTTGGAAATCATCCGTAAGTTTGATAAAGCAATGTTTTGGTTAAATTTTGGTTATATCCCTCGGGTATATACCAAGGTGGGGTTTTTTTCTCTCCAAAATTTAACATAATGATTTAACATAGGATACAGAATCGACAAGAAATACTGAAAGTTCAATTTATCTGATCCAACCATTATTTTATGATAATCTTTCTGCATGACAAATGCTCATCACCATACATTGGTGTGTGGGGATTTTCTTAGAGTCTTTCTCTACCAAACTCCTTTTTATAATGCTGTTTGAAAGCTAAATGATAGTAGTACCTCTATCAATCTCAATAAAGTAATTCTCTGCACAGTTTTTTAAAACTGACATTGTGATCTAATCAAATGGTTTTGATTGCTTCTAAAAATGGATTTTCCTTTTCTTTTTTTAAAGTGTTCTAAGATTGATTTATAAAGGTGGAAGAGGTTGATACAAATCCAAAATTAAGGATGAGTGAACCATTTATAAATACTATGTAACTGTACTTCTCGCTCTGTGTTTTTATAGGCTTTCATTCATAACAGGGTCTTTCTTGCAATTTCTGTATACTTTTTATTTCATATTTAGTTATGACCAACTTTCCAGTTGTGAAAATTTTAAGGAAAAATGTTTTTTTTAAAGGTACGGTATGTGGAAAATTCAGAAATATTGATGCAATTTGAGTTTTGGCCACACACAATTGTAAAATTTGGTATCGAATTTAGTATAACAGTCGCTTTTATTAACCAGTATTCATTTCAATTTTATATTATTTTGATCAGTATTATCTATTCACCGTGGACTATAATTCCATGAATATCGACTCTAAATGTTTGACCCAGGTTGTTGATTATTTAGAATAATTATGTCTAGGTGTCAGAAACCTCACCTTTCTTGTGAAAACTGTAACTAAGGTTACTACTGATTTAATGGAGAAGTTCTGCTTGTATTTAATTGTATATATAGTTTCCCTTTTCTATAGCATGGACATTATATGAATGTTTTAATCTTTCTGTATATATGTATAATCAACCATTATCATGTGCAATAAGTATGCTTTCTTATTTCTCATTTGGGTAACTAACTTCAATTTTCAGAATCCATTTGCTACACTACAGTTATTGTTTGTTCTTATGAAAATAGTCAAAGACACCACATATATTACTACTTATTGTTGATAGCTTTCAACAGCAATTCTTTGTTTACTTTGTTCTGTTCAATTATTGCGACCAGTTTGCATTGTCATTGTACATAGCATACCAACCATGGGAGACTTCTGAAAATGAATACAATGATCAGATATGCAAGAGACATAAATGTAGTCAATAACACCAGAAAATAGAGTAGACTTCCCAAATTAATACATTTCCTTGTACTTCTACCTTGATATAAATTGCCAAGTAGCTTTGTTAAGTCAATGGCACTGTAATTATTGAAGCATGGATTAAGTGATATGATCATTGTCTCAGAAAGCTGTTGTATTATCCTTGATTCGCACCGCTGACTGTGCATTGTGATGGTTGTCATGCACCTGTGCTTTGAGTCTATGCTCAGAGTCTAGACCGGAACAACCGCAAACAGGTGAATCTACTTTCGTGTGTTTACCAAAGGCAAACCGATATCCAGTAGCAGCTTTATTATGATCTAAAAAATATTTCATTAGTGTGAGAAAAGCTTCAGATTCTGAAGAAATAAAAATGATACATTTAGCAGAATTCTGCAACAGATCGATTCAGCCATTTTTATCCCATTCAAAAATCAAAAAAATCTTTTGATATGACCATTGACTAACGATAGCAATACCATAAAGAATCATCTGTGAATGGTTGAACAGTTAACAACTAAATTATTCATACCCTCGCAAAGTTTTGTAATTTTTCAAGTATGAGAGAAATTGATTTTTTGAGATGTGACATATTAAAGGCCCACTGCACTACTTGTAGCTACTTGCGCCCTCTATATAACAAACCATGCCTAATCGGTGACCATTGGTCCCCCATGATCCTCTTTTTCTTATGTTAACTGAGAGCTGAGTTGATGAGATAACCACCTGTCTAGTGACCTTGCAGGGCAGTCTAATCCCTCCTGTAAAATATGGCAGATACGCTTTAAAGCTTACATCTAAAAGTATTCAACAATGATCATAATACAACCAGTCCACTTTTCATTCTTGAGTTCTAAAAAAAAAAAAATTTACAAGGGGTATGAGTAATTTAGTTGTTAAATGTACGAGAGATTTATATTTTTAGGATGATATAAATGGATGTAAGATTTGTGTCTTATGGACAAGTTTGCGCAGAATAATTATGAATTGCTCTGCATTCTCGCTGATCAGCTGTTTTGATCATCTTATGACATTTTAGGTTATTTTTCACCGTTTTAATTGAATACCGGTATGTGTTTTAAATCTGTGCATAATTACAATACTGTTATGTGATGCTGTGTGTTGGACCTTTCTGATTCCTATGCAATATAAATGCATGCGTTGTTGTTGAATGCCTGGTTGTATTCAATGTCTGTATTAAAAAACAAAATGAATAAATAAAAAATAACTTCAAATTTCATTAACTGGATGACTTGTATTATGTTTTTGTGTGATACTTAAGTATTTAAATGGCAGTTCATGTAAGATGTGTCGGGTTTACCTTGTCAATTCCATGCAATTCAACAAATCCCATACTACATATGTCTTTATTTTCCATTTATTTCATCTAAAAATGAATAATATCTTGTTATGACTATTTAGTAATGTTAGTGATAGCAAAAAGAACAACTAGCTAATGGTCACATCAAGATATTTCAATTTGTGGATGAAATAAATGGATAAATGTCATGCCTAGAGAACGTCATTTCAAGCTTATGCTTAAGACAACCCTTTTTCTGTATACAGTCATATCATACATCTAAATTTATAAGATTGTAATAAATGTATATACAGTCAAACCTGTCTATAGCGACAGCCCAAGGGAAACACAAAAAGTGGTCTATGTAGACAGGTGGTCTTTGTAGACCGATTCCTTTAGTTCATGTTTCAATGAGAAACTATTTTTGAGGGAAACAAAAATGAGGTCTTTGTAGACGGGTGGTCACTAAAACAGGTTTGACTATATGTATATGGAATACAAAAACGTCAAATATCCTACACTGCACAGAATCACTGTAAAGACTCCATAATGACCTTTCATGAAACTTGCGTCCTTTCAATACACCGAAACATCAAATAAGGAATTAAAGAATCAGACAATGGTGCTTATGTCACAAAGTTCAAGACCCCTGACTTTACAGTGGCCTTTTTTATTTTTGTATTATTCACTCCAATATTCACAATTGTCATTAGAAATATAAATAGAAAACAGACATGGCATTGAGATATAAAAAATGTACATGACAAGCATAGAGCATCATTATTCATTAATATGAAGATTAAATAAGAAAGAAAAAAGAAGATGAAAGCTATGGGTTTCTATAGTTCTTGAAGAGTGGTATCCTTTACAAATTAAATCATTTCTATACAGTTTAAAAACACAAATATTTAATATGAAAAAGAACAAAATAGGTAAATATTAATACATTTTTTTCTTCATAGGACAGCTAGCATAACATCACAGCCTTCCCCAAGTTTAAAAAAAAAAAAAAAAATACGCTTCAACGATAACTCTAATATAACAAGTGCACGGCCATTGTGCCAATATCTTGTACTTGGAAAATGTGGAAAATGGATCAGTAAAACATGGTTACAGCTAGTGCATAGTATGAGCGGATCACACATGAAAGTACTTATTGTTAGCTGTAGCTGAGATAACACACAATCAACTGAACTCTTTGGCATTGCATTATATCCTCCATGGAATATTCTACAGCAACATGAGACATTTTTATTTTGATCATCTCTAGACTTGATATTGTTTCAATAATCATATCAACCTGGCTTGTAAAGATAGCTTACTATCAGTCATCTTTATGTTATGCATCTAGAAAGACAACAGAATGGATGTAACCATCATTGATGCCAAAACCTGCTTTAAACTGGTGATCTTCGGTACAGTCTTATTATCTATAAATCACAAACAAGGCTTTTCAAGAAAAACTGAGCAAAAGTATTCCTAACAAATCAATTAAAACATTACTCATCCAAACAAGGATATTGCTTATGTACAGTTTATACTATGTAACTAGTAAAAAAGGATAAAGTAAATAGCATTTTAGTCTCAAACCCAATTCAAGGTTGCTAGCAATTAAGATATGACTAAACCAACAATGTTCATAGAGGGACTATCTATGAATAATAAATGTGAAAAACGTATACCCAACTCATGGCTGATTAGACAGGGACCTTTCTCCACGAGCAAGAAAGAGTTGCGTACCTCTTCATTTTCAATTAATGAAACAAATTAAAATAGTTTACAGTTTACTCTATAAAATAAATTTCCATAAAAGTAATCCTCCATAGTAAATAATCTTGATATACAAACACGATTTTATGATCACAATTACTGACAAACCTAATCAATACTTGACATAGATATAGTTATGCAATAGTTATTATTTTGTTCACATGATTAGATTTTTTTACAATTCTTACTAATATAATTGAACTGATTTAAGAATTTAGAGTTTATTGCTTAATTATGGTCATGACCATGATACTGAAAGTCAGAGTTTGGCTGGAAAAATTGGATGGATTACTTGATTCACATGATTTATATCATTTTAAATTTGTAAAATATATAACTAATCAGATTGACAACTCTGTGACGTATCTTGTGAGGTCCCATCCAAATTTGTTCTGTACTAAAAAATATTTTAAAAATCAGAAATATCAGATATAAGCGAGTTTATTGTCTATTAATTCATAGTCATTACCAGGATACATGATAATGGAATTCAGAATTTGGCTGGACAAATTGGATGGATTTACACATGATTAATATCATTTTAAATTTATAAAACATTTTATCTAGTCAGACTCATATCACATGATTCATTTGTTGTCATTCAATTTGATTACACATCATATCACATACAAAAATATTTCTCATCAAACAGAGATGACCGCTCATAAAAGCTTGTAAAGATAGCCTTAAATCTCGTGATTTAAAGGTGTAATTCTTTAAATTGCCGTCAACCAGTCCACCTTTCATTCTTGGGTAACGAAAAGATACAAAAAACATCCAATTTACAAGGGTGTGAATAATTTAGTTATTAAATGTAAAAAGTAAATGATGTAGCTTCTGTTTCATGCATACAAAGTGACATCATTCTATAAAACATAATTAGAATACGATCGACACTACCATGTAACCAAAATGTTATCAATATTAGCATTACTTACAACCTACTTAATTCAAGACAACTTGACTCTACCTGGAACAGGCCTCTTTCTCTTTGAATATTAACAAAATACTGTTCATACATTTAGCTCTAAAATTGTTCATAGATGTATTTTTGTCAATTTAAAAGTGAAGTAATTCTTTAGAAATGCATGGCTACGTTCGGAACTCAAATTGTTCTTTCAAATTCACTACATATATAGCGAAAATAATAAAATTTAAATTAATACTAGACTAATCAACAACAAGAAAGCCATATACCTCTTTCTCTCGTTTTTCTTTGGCATATTTATCACATTCAAGAAATACAATATATCACACTAGCTGTTCCAGTACTTTTGTTCACTATGTTTTGATCCCACATTCATAAAGCAAATCTACTTTAGGACCAATTGTAGCAGACCAAACAGAAAGAGTTGAAGGAGAATCTATCTGCCCACTATGACATGTTTGTGAAGAATTCTACACAATAGCTGACAAAACTACAACTATTTCCCCAAAATTATACAGACTATAGAAACCCAGAATAAACTGTATCATCAGATGTAACATGATCTAGATAAAATTATTAAACTGTAACAAATCATGTGCTTAAAATACTTTGTCAACATTACACCTATGTTAAATATTAAAGACATGCAGGTATACATTTGCATAAAAAGGATGAATCCTTCACTGAATAGGGACTATGGCTATTCATTGTCATTTATCTTCGCTCCAGTGATCTCGAGGCAGCAGACAGCAAGAAATTGTTTGAATAATCGCTTGAGTAAATCCACAGGAGTAGATGAAAGCTATAAGTTTGATAGAAACTTAAACCAGGGGCGGATCTAGCTTTTTGCTAAGGGGGGGGGGGGGGTTTGACCAATATAATGACGATGCAGAGCATCGTCCACGAGCCGCAAAGCGGCGAGCCGATTTTTTTTTTGGGGTGTTTATTTGAACTCCGTAAGTGATGTTTTCCTGGCATCTATTAACACAATGGAGACCATAAAAAGCAGTGCATGATAACGTCTTTTTAAATCAAGTAACAGTAAATACACAGTTATATCCAGAGTTATCATGTGTTTGGTTAAGTTACCAGATGAGTTGAATATCTTCTCACAATATTTGCACTTGAAAGGGTTTCTCTCCAGCGTGCGTTCTTTTTTCTTTCTTTTTTTCTTTCTTTTTTTTTTTCTTTTTTTCCTTTTTTTTTTTTTTTTTTTGGGGGGGGGGCCGCCCAAGGGGGGGGGGGGGTTTAAACCCCCTAAACCCCCCCGTAGATCCGCGCCTGTAAACTACATGTTAGGATTACTCCGACCTAAGTATAAGTTTTCTGAGACAAGTAGGCAGTGTGATATGCCCTTTCAAGCCTGTCTGCACTAGTTTGACCGGGGGGATTAGACCTCCCTGCAAGGTCACTGACGGGTGGTTATCTCATCAAATCAGCTCTCAATTAACATGAGAAAAAGGGGATCATGGGGGACCTACAAGCACTGATTAGGCATTGTTTGCTATATAGAGGGCGCAAGAAGCTATAAGAAGTGCAGTGGGGCTTAAGTGTCCTCAAAGGGAAGGTTTGTTTCAGAGTTCAGACTCATCTTCTCCCTTTGCCCCCTGTCCCATAAAATACCAAAAAAGTGAGAGAAATATATATATATGCACAACTGCTACTGTCCCCATCCTTCATCCCCCAATATCCACATTCTTGCAACGCATTGGTCCAATCATTAAAACCTTTATATCATTATCAAGATGCATCATCAAACATCTTGGCGCTCTCAATACAATGGAATGATCAATGCCCCTAGACTAATGGTAGTGACCGTGCTTTGCATATCAATAGCATTGCGATTGTGGCAAAGACATAAAGGAAGGTCAAGTAATTTGCATCCTGGTGCGACCAGTCATCAAGGATAAATGCCTTTGTGCGATGAGGTTTGCTACTGAATCACCCACGATCTCATGCATAATTTAGCAGCTACAATGTACTTCTCGAGTGTCCAGGCACTATTAAAGACTTCCTATCCCTGCTGTGTTGAGTGGCATTCTGTCATCACAAGTAGTCCTACCATTTCCACAATGCACAAAACACAATACCGGTAGGTAAATACTTAATAGCACTTTCTTAACCAGGTCTTCAAGCACTGAAAATACCCCCAAACTGACCATTACATCCCATTTATCTCTTTCTATGTTTCTGTCAATCTCAGATAGTGAACAGTTTATCCCTACCCTAGAATGATAAAACTTGAAATGGCCCAAACTGACCTCTAAATGCATCCTGGATTTCTTTCTCAAGGAAAGTCCCTTCATTTCAAAATATGGGGGGGGGGGGGGTCCAAAGAGAGGGCAAAGATGTTAACATTTATCCCAAATTTCTAAAAAGTTATCATGCAAGCCTTTCGAGAGCCATGAATATACACAACTCACAGGTGAACTCGGGGAAGAAAGAAAAAGGGTAAATATCTGCTGCGTGAGAAGAAGAAAAAAAATACTCTTTTCCTGACATCATATCATGTTACATTGTAAACAAATCTACCAGCGACTGGGTTCATTATGGAAGACGAAACTTGATTACGTTTAATAATGAAGAAAAGAAGAATATGCTCCTATACCAGCTTAAACATATAGCCAGTGTCACCTTTCAGTTATAAGATGACTAGAAACTGCCTAATTTTATCTTACAGGGGAAGTCCACCCTTATATTAAGTTGGTGTTAATAGAAGCAGAACAAAATTTGTGCTTCTATTATATCAGGGTGACCTTCCCCTTTAACATGCGTGAAATGAAGTGTTACAAGATAATCAAGGTTTGTTCAAATACAAGTACTGCAGAAGTTGGCAAACATTAAATACAACAGAAAATCAGAAATTAAATATAAAGATACATGCTTTGAGCTAGAAAGTCAACATTTTGTTTTAAAAAAAAAATCATAAATAGGTTTCTACACTTGTAGCAAACAACATCAACAAGATAAAATGACGGAGGATAAATGCATATTTATGTAATTTACAACCAATTTGGAATGCTTGTATAAAGATACAAATACACCAAACATTTAGGCTCTCAAACAAGGTTGATCAAATGTCTGAAATATCGTTCGGTTAATAATTATGTAATCCCCTCCCTTCACATGTATATGTACAGATTGCTAAAAAATACACCCCATAATAAATAGTTTTATCTACAATATATGAAAAGGACTAGCTGACTAGATTTTCAAATTCAATTGGATACAAACACAGGATTTTGTTTCATCATTGCTGATTCTATGTACAAACTCCATCAATTGATGACCAAATGTCAACATATTTTTCTGCACGTATTGTTAGTCTTACAACAAAAGTAAATTAAATTTGACAAAGTACTCCTCTTCTACACAAAAAAAAGGCTACATCATTGTGAAATTAATTTGGCTACCTGCTCCGCAACCTACCGGGTATCTACAATGCGGATATGAAATTGGCTTTAACAGGAGTTTCAAAAATTGAATCTAAAGTTTCCTGGAACATGATATTATTAGCTGCATGTAGGTATCAATTAAGCTTCGCATGATCGAACATAAAGACAGGAAGCACGACATGTGATCTCTTCTTTTTTACACTCTGAAAGTCCCGTGTAAATCAACACATGAAGATATATCAAACGTCAATGTATAGAAGAGAGTGTTGTTTACACCAAGGACGGATATGTAGTTGATGAACTCTCGGATGTGAAATCATCAATGCGGCCATGTTTGACGTCTGTGTTCGTCAGAGGATGGCTAAATCACACATCTGGGCTTCGTCTTACAAAGAGTTACGATTGATCCAAATCAATCGTAAGTCCTCCAATCAATCGCAAGTTTGCAGTCTCCTATCTCTTATGTACATAGTTGTGATTGATATCTATTCTTTATATGACAGGGCCCAGACTTGGTGAGCAACTGGACTTATCACATCATGATATAATGTCCCTATGCACTTCCACAGGAGTTTGCATGATGTAATTTTTCATTTATTACATCACATTATTTCGATAAAAATGACACTTCCTTGTCTAACTCTAGTGGTCGTTCTATACATGTTTGACTGGACACTAGGGCCCTGTCTTATAAAAGAGTTGAGATTGATTTGGATCTCTCGGAGTCCTCCAATCAATCGCAATTTTGCAGTCTCTTATCTCTTATATACATAGTTGCGATTGATATCAATGGCAAATAAGTTGCGATTAATCATGGCTGTCGATGAGACGATGCCCTGAATCATTTTCAAGATTAATTCCTGATCCTAACCTGCGATTTCTTGTCCTCGATGATATGCATGTAGTGTTTTGTGTTACAGAGAGGTAGCCTTTCTTTCATCAGCAAAAGCAAACATGTGCATAAATCATTTACAAAGTTGACTTCTAAACTGTAGTTTGTGCTAGTCCTGTCTTCAATTGTTCAGAGGAATGTGGTATTATCAGGTAGATCTCTATTACGACCCCTCGCTTCAAACAACTGCCTTATGAGGGCAGCCTTCTCTTGTTCCAGTTTGGAGATCCGGTCACTCTTGGATGAAACCTCCTGAAATGCAGATAAGTGGGAGAAAAAAATTCTGTGTGAATATCAGAGCCTAAATGACTTAAAGTTATGATTTTATAAATTGAAACATATATTTCAGTATCAAAATTTCATTTTGGGACAAATTCAATGAAATATATCAATTGAGAGCATGAATAGCAACCCCAAAACCAATAATTATGTCAATCATCAAATACTAAATGAATGTATTCATTCTAATAATCCATTGATGAATCATAAAATATAGGATCGTCTTGGGGTTTAATAATACAATGAAATATTGGATGAGCTTTGCACAAAATAACAAACGAGTCTTGGACGAATCCAACATAGTTTGTATATCAAGTTCAGTATTTCCTGTATTTGGCCAAATCAAGACATCCAATATCATACATGTACATGTATATCACATAGGCCTATTTTTTATTCTAGTTTTAGTAATATCATTGATGTATTTCCATACCCCTTTTGTTACCTAACTGCAAGAGAGAAGGCATCAAGAATCAATTGTACTTCAAATGCTTTGGTAACAAGTGTCTTAGTTGGTTCGCAAACCTCGTCTTACTCTTGCACATGAAATATTCAGCAGTCTGAAGAACAGACTATTGGTTGAGCTTACAAAATTCAAGTCAGTCAAAGTTCATCAAATATCCTAACAAATAATATTTTGACTCTGAAATGTTTAAAATATTTATATAATTCAATCTATCATACCCTTCTTTCCTTCCACAGAATACTTCTTTCATTTTACTAATCCATTGGAGATTAAAGTTCGCGATGGCCTTGGACTAAACCCATCAACAATGCCTATTCAATTGAAATCTAACTGTCTCCAAAAGGATGAATGAAACTGCTCATCAATAACCCAACTTATTCACCAGACCAAAACAATGTAATCTCTCTTTCAAGCAAGAAATATTCTTTATTGATGAAACTGCTCATCATTAAACCAACATTTCTTTTTGAATGAACAACATAATCTCTTTTTTTTTTAAGCTAAAAAAAACCTTTTGGAAAGTAGGGGTGCCGGGGTGAGGGATAAAGCTTGTCCAATAGCATGAACAACGTAATCTCTCTTTTACGCAAACAAAAATTACTTTGTAAAGTGGGGGATGGGGGATAAAACTAACTTCATGGTCTATTAAATAAGTGATATTGGCTTTGATGGTAAGCCACATATATCTTCTTATAAAGATATCTGTGTTGTTACTAGTACTCCTATTACACACAATAAGCAAAGAGCCTGTTCCAGTGATACTGTATTTTCCATTTACCGGTATCTGCAAAACATTTTTAAAGTAAAACTTTGAAATTTGGAGGTGTTGTGGTCGAGTGGATACGTCACCGGACTGTGGATCACAAGGTCCGCGGTTCAAGTCTCACCGTAGCACTCTTGTCCTTTGGCAAGACGTCATCTACATTTGCCACACTCAACTGGGTGATGTAAACAACTACCTGGCAGGATGTTGGCTCCACAAACATATTTAAACCATTTTTCCCTATCTTGAGCAATTCTATATGCCTTCTGGAAGATACCGCCTACAAGGATGTCACTTTCCCATCTCTTCCTTTGTCTTCTTTGCCTCAGTATTTGTTCCTTTGTTACCTACCTCTGTTAATTGTTTATTCTGCTGTTTGAGTTTGCCCACCATGAGGGGTGCACCAATGTCCAGCTGACTACCGGTAGACTTCCCATACTGGTGGTTGATAGCGAGGTTCATGTGGTTCGGAAAACCCTGCAAGAAAAAAGTACAAATAACAAGTTAAAATAATCATGTAATAATATCAATAATACAGTCAAACCTATTTTAGTGACCATTTGTCTACAAAGACCACATTTTTTTGTTTCTCATTGAAACATATGCACTAAAGGAACCTGTACATAAAGACCACCTGCCTATAAATACCACTTTTCTTGTCTCCCTTGGGTGGTCTTTATAGACAGGTTTCACTGTAGTATGACTCAGAAGGCATTTTTTTTTCCTGAGAATACGAGTTCATGACATTTTTTAATACAGAGCAATTTGGAGACTTTTTTATTTATTTATTTCTAATCTAATCTTCTAGCCCATTCACAAATAAGTACTGGTAGTGGTCTTCCAGAGAGTACCTCGTCACAGCGTCATGTGTGTTTGATATGGTCACAACTTTAAAAATTCATAACTTTCCTACGTTTAATGGGACATTGTTCAAACTTTCACTAATTTGTTTCTCTCTTTTTTCTGCTTCTATCAAAACCAATTCAGTATCAGGATAGACCTCTCCTTTAAGTTAATCTGTCCCCACCGCCTTTCACAAAATCCTTAAAACATCCAATAAAGCCTTCAAGGTAGAAGCTGGCAACAGACAAAAGAACTAGACAAGGAAAACATTTAACTAACAGCCTGCCAAGCAAACAGAGACACAGACGGACAGACAAAGGGAAACAAACAGACACGCAGATGGACAGACAAAGAGAAACAAACAGAGATGGGAGGGATCATAGGCGTTGATGGATGAAAAGATCCTAGCAGAAACACAACATAAGACTATAACAACAGGCATTGCATGTGAGAGCATGTTGGTATTCCCTTGAATTCCAACAGTCATGGCCCAATACATGTATGGCTAAGTCTAAGATACCTATTTAAAATGTATATCATTTCCTGTATGTATTTCATGATGTATTGTACGTATCTATTTGTACATATGTATTTTTATTTTTTTTAGTTGAAATGAATACCGTAAACGATTGAGTAGATGCTATAGTGTACATTTCTCAGACTTGTTAAAGTTCTTATACACTGTTGATGAATCTCTTGTCTCCATGGCAACATTGGTTTCAAAATGATTAGTTATGTTTCTAGGTTTTAATGCAAATAATATAAACCTATAAAATACACACCACACACTATATCAGCATTATAACTACATGTAATAGTTTAAAGATAAGCTTGAGTTCTGGTAATGGTAGAGAATAAATTCTTACAGAAACGAACAAAAATTACACTGAATATTCAAGATTACAAATAAAAATGACATGTGCGACATGATTTTGGTTAAAAATGTATAGTGGCTGAGTAATGAGCATAGAAAGATATGGAAATCCAGGTACATGTAATGTAAGTAGGCCCAACACTATGTGCTTTAATAACACAGGTCACTATGTGCAATCGAGAGTTGTGGTTTTTATTGAAGATGTTTTCCAGCAAGTTTTTGTGAGTTTGTTTTTAATCGACTGGTTCAAACAATCAATCTACTGCAGGATAAACAATCCCGAATGAATTATAGCCATGTTCTCTCGAAAAACGATTCCCATACCAGAGCTCGAGTTTAGCTTTAACTTTCACATTCGAGGACGAAACTTAACGCAGCGAGTACCAAACTTGTCATTATTGCATGACGCATGTTTGAGCATGTTTGAACCAATCGCACAAAATCAACAAACCACATTCTAGGGATAATATGAAGCTTTAAACATGCTGACCTAGATCATTTCCAGCATACCATTCCAAGACTCCCACACAAATATGTGAGTCCATTCAGTACGAGACAATACACAAGTTAAAAAGTGATAAGAGTTCAAATTGAACACTGCTCATGGATCATTTGATTTCCTTCTTTTATTTCATTTTGGAGGGATTTTCTTATTACTCAGTTATCCATGAGGGTACATGTATGTAATACTTTCAGAATTGTGACACTGTGTCAAAAAATGATGGATAGAATTGTGAAACTGTATTTTGATTTTAAAAAGGGACATGTACATGGTAGTAGGCTTGTCTATAGACTTGCTTTTCAGAACTTCAAACTTTTGCTATGAAGGAAAATATATACTTTTTTGTACGCACTTAAGAAATGATTCCCATTGCTTGTTCCTAATTTTAAGTTAATGATATAATCAAAAAGTAAATTATTAGTTTTTATGCTACTACTACTACTACTACTACTACTACTACTACTACTACTATTTCTACTACTACTACTACTACTACTACTACTACTACTACTACTACTATGATGACGATGACTACTACTTCTATTACTACTACTTCTATTACTATGATTTCTACAACTGCTACTACAACTACTTCCACTCCCACTACTACTGCCACTACCACTACCACTACTACCACTACCACTACCACTACCATTACCACTACCACTACCACTACCTCTCCAACTACTACTACCACTACCACTACCACTACCACTACCACTACTACTGCCACTACTACTACTACTGCCACTACCACTACCACTACCACTACCACTACCACTACCACTACCATTACCACTACCACTACCACTGCCACTGCCACTGCCACTACCACTACCACTACCACTACCACTACCACTTCCACTACCACTACCACTACCATTACCACTACCACTACCACTACCACTACCACTACCACTATCACTACCACTACCACTATCACTATCACTACCACTACCACTATCACTACCACTACCACTACCACTACCACTACCACTACCATTACCACTACCACTACCACTACCACTACCACTACCACTACCATTACCACTACCATTACCACTACCACTACCTCTCCAACTACCACTACTACTACCACTACCACTACCACTACTACTATAACTACTACTCCTATAAAGAAAATGCTAATTAAGGACTAATTAACATGAAATGGGAGCTCACGGTCACATTAATTCACAATGACTTTTGACAGCCTCAGACACTATTGAAATGCAGCAAAGCATGCAGAATTCATATGACCTCAATTAACAATACGATCAATATCAACGGGCTATCACAGGCAGCTGCTCACTTTCTGACAATACGATGATTGTTACAGTTCCTATTTTTCAAAGGGCAAACCGTTTCAAATGTCATCACCACCACAACCCCAGCATAATAATTGCTTGAGATCCATGATGCATATATGTGCAATCTAATACTAGTAGTGACTCAGGGAGCCAATATGGACAGAACCTCTGCTTTTTATGTTCTTTCTAAAAACGATTCCGCCGTATGAATTTTCTTTTCATTTGCTTGCCATCCATAAAATGCATGTTCATGCCCTGTTCCAATATCCATATATTCACTTTGGTTCCTGTTTATATTTTGTTTATTTTGCTTTTGATTCATTCTTGGGGTTTCAATCTGATCAGTGGAAGATAAAAAGCTCAAAATCTGTATCATCTGCTGAATACAAAATTAGCCAACAATACAATAGAAGTACCATCTGTCTACTAACTTTACAATTTGAATTTCAATCTGAATTTGGAATTAATCAGAAAATCTTGATTCTTTTTAACATGAACAAGCTCAAAATGGCCTCCTGTTCATCAGGGAAGAAATCAGACGTGCACTTTTTATCAGCATCCTTGAATCAGTGGTTGTATCTATCCAATAATCTTGTTCCTCTAGGCCTGTCCTCATCAGCTTGAGTTTACCAAATAACCCGCTATTTTCAGACTCTGGATATTATCCCGAAGATCAAAATTGTGTCTTCACCAGACCGATACACTCATCACAAACTAGCTCGGACGGGCGCAAAAGTATAGCCCGCTATTTCCCAAATAGTGGGATATCTAGGAAACAAGACCAAGATTTCTCAGGATACTTTTTTGTTATATTTTCTTGACCAAATATCCTGCTAATTGCAAAGTTCTGCGGGCTGATGATGACGCAAATTAACCGGTTAAATCGCGATCGGGATAGTTAAAATCTGGGTTATTTGGCAAACTCTAGCTGATGGAGCCAGGCCTTTTGTATCTATCCAATCATCTTGTTCCTCTGCGTGCAAACAAGGTGAACATGACTTCTCTTTACAACCTCGGTGCTATCTGAAAGCAACGCCCCGAGGCAAGGAGAAGATGATATCTCGGTCGTAATTGAATTGAGGAGAGAGCTTCATATTGGCTTACCTTTTCCGGAGTAGCTATGAGTGCCCTGAGTTGCCTGTTCAGTTCGGTGATACGCGTTGTCCTGTATACAACCATGTCTTGGTGATCAATGTCCTGAAAGAAAGAAAAAAAAGAGAAAAGGGAATTCTAAATACAGTTTCTTGAAATGCAAATGTAAAAACACATCCCCCCCCCCCCCCAAATAGTAGGGAAACTCAATTTTTAAATTTCTATTTTCCAAAATCCATCAACCATATGTCATCATCATCATCATCATCATCATCAAGTACAAGGTCTGTAATACAGACATCGGCAGCCATAGCCCTCCATTTCTGTTAATTATCTGCTATTCTTAAAAATCATATTTAGTATACACCGATTCGGGCGACTTCTGGTGGAAGTGCGCCCTCATAAGGTGACGCCATAACTGGGGGGCGTCTGAGCTGACTGCAGCTAGCTAGCGCAGCGCGCGAAAATATGCAAGAAAATTAAGCACTGACGTAGTGCAGTTTGATACCGTATGTTGTTTCTTCACTTGGTTGTCTCCAGTTTGGAGAACTGCAGGTGGTGCAGGATGACATATATATCATGCAGGACTACGTTGACATGGTGACATAATACTACGTTTAACATGTAAGTCAAGTACAAAACTGAGAGAAGAGTTGTAACTGTTACTAGTGTTAGTGTTAGAGTTCTAATAATATTTGCCGGGACGTGACACACAGAGCGTGTGTACGGTGTACCGTTGTAACGTTAGACCTATGTTGAACAGACATAGACCTAGATCTAGATTCTAACTGGTCTAACGTTAACAGTTAGGGATCTAACAGTTAAATCTAATAATTTCATGAATGGATATTATACTAGAGGTTATAAGGAAATGGTGTGTTCATTTATTTAGGAGTTCTTTCGTGGATGGAACTTGCAGTTGGCTGGTACGGTCGTGAAGGTGGTCAGCTGCAGTGGTCCGAGTGATCAGGACAGGGACCGTGTGGGCCTGCCTTGATAGACAGTTCTTCTGGTACTCTATTTCAGGAGGTACGATTACACAATGTTTAATGTTTAAATGTTTTCATGATCATTGTTGTATGAAGACTTGCATGAAAATAACTGAATATTCTATTGGTTAATAATTTGTGATCTATAGACCTAAAAGTTACAGTAATGTTATCCATGAATTTTATTTGTTTAATTCATTTATGATATCTATACATACGACACAGTCACAGAGAGTGATGTTATATATTGTAAAGCAAACTGGTTAATATGGATTGGGTCGTGTGTTATAAGGTCGCCGCCTTTTGCGTTACATGCCAAGTTTACTACGCACAGCGCCTTCTTCACTTCAAAAACCTGTATCTCCTAAAGTATACACCCTACCCTACAAAAGTATACATTTTCTGAAAGGAAATTCCACAAGGAATCTAAATCTGCATTAAAAAAGTATACCATGTGCAAGATAAAAAAGTTACGAGGACTAGACATCTAGTCTGAAGAAATTTACATTTTTTTTTAAAATCTCATTGTTTTTATCATAACAATATCTACATCACCTAAATGGCAAAAATATTGTTATATTCTGGTAGAAGACATTAAAACCTTTCAAACAATGTATAATTCCCTATGGTTTACAGTTTTAGAATTAAAAATACAATGACCTGAACTTTAGCATTAAACAAATAGCGATTTTCAAAGTTGTTAGGTGGTTGGATCTTGCCAAGTACTATTGCAACATTAAACCCATTTTTTAGTGATATGATGGTATAAAGCAGCTCATAAGCTTCAATTTGGTACCAAATTTATAGTCATATTCCAAAAATTGGCAGAGAAATTTAAGTTTTCCCAAAATCAACCACAAAATCTCAAATTTCCCATTGACTTTGTACAGGCTGCGCCGCTTCCGGCACCACCCCTACTGTCCCCTACTTAAAACGTCGTAACTCCGCCAGAGTCTAGAACAATGATATTTCACAGGGAGCTAGCACACTAATTGAGCTTCAAAATGATACCAAACTTGTTAAATAAACTTTATTACTTTTGGAAAAATTTACAAATTAATGCTGAAAAATAGCAAAGAGCGTAACAGTACCACCCTATTTGGGTGGCGAGCTCATAACACACGACCGTTGTTTCTTGAAAGCCTTATTGTTGGGATGATTTAAATTAATCAAGCTAATAGTGTCATTTTCTTCTGTTAGGACAAAGAAAGAATGATGTATTGAGTATTTGAATTATCAGATGCTAAGTTAGATATAATATTAATAAGGTGAAGACTAATGTGACAAGACAAAGCTTTGTTGTTGGTCTTTAAAAGTGACCTCTTTTATTGGTAAAAGGAATAAGTGAGAAAAACTTGATTGCACTTGGTTGATTTACGGTAGGGTTCATTCTTTTTATTATAGGTGTTCAGCTTAATACGAGATGATGAGCTGTATAGCTATTGATTTGAAGACATCGTAGCTACAACTCCCCTCCCCCCTCCCCCTACAATTTCCAGACCAAGATGGATAATTGGGTCGACGACATTCGCCAGTGGCCTTTTTTAACAGATCAAGGTAGGCCTATGATTTGTACCACAAACAATCACGAAGACGAAGTAAAAAACAATTATTTTTATACTAGTCTAAGTTAAGTCTAACAAGTTACAGTCGAGATCGGCAGCCTTGCATACCTTCAGTGACTCGATCAAACAATCTAAAGTTATGGGGCACTTGACGGCGAGGCTACTCGTCAGCTGCTGCTTCGCGACCGGCGGAGAGCCTCTGATTGTAAATTGTCCGTCGCTCCAGTGGAGTTTCGGAGTAAAATATTCGTGTTAATTCACCTTTTTCTCGTCAGTTTTTTTAGATGATAAATGATATGGGTACCGTCTTCCCATTTCAATTCTATAGACTAAAGTAAAGTGAATTGTTTATTGTTATTGTCTTCACTTCGTGAATTTTTACAAATAATGGTTCACATTTGTACAGTCAACAAAAAAAGAAATTGACCAGTAATGTATTTAAAAACTGAAAATGAAGATGAATACATCATTAAATCCTGATCATCCATGCACACTGATGCATGACATTGATAAATTGCGTTCATATGCAATTTACTTACTTATAATAGATCTAGATCTAGACCTTCTAGACTCTAGATCTAGATCTATATGAATTATAATTTTTTATTTGTTTTAATTCTTTTTAAATAAATTAAATATGGATTCATGGGGGGATTACAGCAATGGCCATATCTAACAGAAGAAGGTATGATGCAATATGTAGTTCAATTACTTTTTACTTAATTTTCTTCATAAAATAGTGTTAATCTGATAGAGTATTGCCAATGGGGTTTCAACAGGGAAGATCCGCTTCATGTTGCTGCATTGCGGTATGTGTGTGTGTGCAATTGTGCATGGAGCACCCGGGAGAGCGAGATAAAGAGTGACTGCGATCATGTTCAAGCATGATAAAAAGATGATAGGTCTACCATTAAAAAAAAAAATAATGTTTTGTTAAGTTTCTTTTCAAAGATCTATGTGCTTACAATGCGAATGTTGAAATTAATGAAATAAAATGAAATGCAGGAACGAGCAAAATACGTCTCAAAATGAAATTAAATTAAAAAAAAACAACTTTAAACTGTAAAATCATTAGGCATATGTACTACATGAGCAGGAATTAAATAGTATTTACTTTTTCACCCTTTTTTCGGTAGGTATCCAGGATTACTTCTTAAAGCGTTTGGCCTGTGATGAGCAACCTAATGCTAATTACCGATCTCTGATTGAGGGACAAAACTATCTAAGATCTGGATGGGTTGGTCAAATAACACACCGTTTGCGAAGTACAGAGGTCATCGTGCTGAAGGGAAAAGTGCGATACTCCCAATCCATTAACAAGTACCATGAAGTAGAAGTGACAATACAAAGAGACAAAGCTGAAATACTTGAAGTTAAATGTGACTGTATGGCTAACCAAGGCAGATGCTGCAGCCACACAGCAGGTCTTGCTTACAAGATTAACCAAGCCGCTCTCAAAGGCTACATTGGTGTAGCATGTACAGATGTGGAATGCTTGTGGAATAAGTCAACGTCAACAAATGTTCTCCCAGACTCTGTTGAAAACATCCGTGCTGGAGACAACACTGTTGCCAAATCAACATTTGCAATAACCACGGCATTCGAAACAGATGAAGATGTCATCAGACATTTAACAACTGATCCAGTGGCTGGCCTGGCCGCCATCCCTGGGACAATCTTAAATCATGTTCTCAAGGCTACGGCAGTGAACTTTTCATCAGATAAGGCCCATTTAGGCCTACCGAAGAACCATGGCAATTGTGAGGCCCGAGATTGTGATCTTTGTAACAAGGTGTATGAGAAGTACATTACCTGTGATGAGCAGCAGCGTGAACACCTTGCAACAGCTACCACATCTCAAGATTCAGCACTATGGCAAGATCAACGCAAGATCCGAATTACAAGTAGTGGGGCTTTTGAAGTGCCGAAGAAGGCCGACCCAAAGAATTGGTTGGACAGAAAACTCAATAACAGATTCATGGGAAACTCCTCTACTCGCTATGGCCAAGAATGTGAACCGATAGCTCGGAGCTACTATGAGCACACCTTCCGCAAGAAAATTACATCTACTGGACTGGTTGTCCATCCAACTGACAACTGGCTGGGTGCTAGCCTTGATGGGATTGTGGACAGAGACACAATTTTAGAGATAAAATGCCCAACTGAAAAGAAACTTGAACAGTACAATGGCAGTTTAACCAACATGCTTCAGGCCAACAAATATGATGTACGTGTTGTGAATGGAAACTACGTTCTACGCCAAACTACAGCTGGTTCTGGCTATTATTACCAGGTGCAAATAGCAATGCATTGTTCTGGTAAAAGTAAGTGTAATTTTCTTGTGTGGACACCATCTGAGCAAGTGATTGTAGATGTTCTGTATGATCAGGAGTGGGTGGGAAAATAGTTGCATCATCTTAATAGAGGAATGTATTTTGGACACTTGCTTCCAGCAATTTCTACCATGATAGCTCATGGACACTTGAAGATAAAGGGCCTCTAAACATGTCTAAATTGTTCTACATCAATCAAGAAAGATTTACCGAAATAGTAGAAAATATTAAAACTTATCATTGCACTTTTGTGCTGATCAAATACTTTTTTGGTAGATCTCCATGATTTAAAGTATATTTCAAGAAATGAGTCAAACACAGTAATTTCCCTGAAAAGTCCTGACCTGAAGCCCACAGTGACACCCAAAAATGTATCTGTCCTTATTAACTGTCAGTTTTTCAAAAGTTTTTTATTACATTATGCTACATGTACTTTGCTCTGAAAACTGGAGTTACACAAATTTGTATTCTAAAAATGTACACTGCAAAACATATGATTGGATATTCAAACAAAATAGGATTAAAAATGAAACTGCCTGTTCTTGTAAAAATTGTAATTCCAGGAAATCAGTAAGATAATCCTAAATCAAGTTCTTGTATGAATCATCTCTGCAAAGAGCTTTTATAGGTTGAACTTTTCTCGGAGTGGGAATATATGTACAAAAATATCAAACATTTTCAAGAAATTAAAGTCTTAAAAATTCACTTTATAGTAGTTATGTTAACAGATAGACCAACACATTCTGCCCTGTAAATTGTGGTCAGGAGCATATAAAGTTTACCCGAAGATAACATTAAATTACCGGTATTTGCACTATTTTGAGCCCTTATCTCATTCAGTAAAACGAATTTCAGTAAATAGATTTGTGTTTATTTAAGCATCTTATTTTTGTCAATTTTTGTTTTCAAAACAGAATCACTGTGGCTGTGCCATGTAAGTGCAAGCTGATTCCAGTTGGTTTGAAGTCCTGAACATATAACTTATGATATTTAAACTGCTGAATGTGTTTGATAAAAATATGTTTTGAAACATATATATTTTTTGCAAACTTGCTATGCTCCACCCTAAGGAAACAACATACACCTGTCGACTACACAACCATCTTCTACAATAGAGGGTGGAGTGTATTTTCCCCTAGCTTAGCACATGCTCATAATAGAATGGCAGTTTTCATGTACAATTTACCCCCCTCATAGCCTATGTATTCTGTGTGATGCTAAAGGATGTCTGACCTACAAGGGGAATGAGATCTGGAAGATTATTTTTATTTTTATTTTTATTTATTTTTTATTTTTTTATAATTTTTTTTTTACAGTGGAGCTTCAGCAAGTTTACAAAAACAAAAAATCATTCATAAAATATTATAAAAACTCTTAAACACATTCAGAAGTTAAAATGTCAAAACAAAATATTTTAGGCTGTCTATCCATTATCTCACTCTCTTCTTTATTTGAATTGAGAGCCTGTACAAACTATGTAACTCTTATCGAAAGATGGCGCATTTATATTATATTGACTAGGCTTGAGGGGTACATCGGAAATATTGACCAAGCTCAGATCATATTGCCCCGAGTCGAAGACAAGGGCAATATGGTCTTAGCGCGGTCAATATGTCTGATGTACCCCGAAAGAAGCCCAGTCAATATAATTATTATTACCTATTTTATTTAAAAATTTTTTTTTTTTTTTTTTTTTTTAAAGAGAAGGTTGAGTTCTGGGAAGAGGTCAAAAATAATTTGTGAGCGTTATCATTCTTATTATGCAAGTGTGGAAGAACATCAGATAGGACATGTTCCCTGAAAAGCATGGCTTTTCAAATGCCTTCATATTCTAAATATGTCATGTAACATCGTAAAACTCGGGGGTAGGATTTTTACGCCACGTGTCTGTGTAGTCCCATATACATCTTTCTGTGTACAGTGTTTGTAACTTTACCAAGACTTGGCCAAATTTCTTATCATTTTGATGATTCCACAACCTTGCAATACACACAAATTCTTATATGCTAGATGATCAACCTTTTCTGGTCGATTCCACACCGTTTCTTTCACAATGCAATCACATGACCAGGACTCAACTTCATCTTTAAGGGTGGAACATCGCTCAATATCGCCCTTTGTTTTTGTAAAGTGGTCTACAGGGAAAACCCGGAAGAAGGCGACATCGCAAATGTTTCCTCCTCCGGTTGGGGATTCGTAGTAGCGCGCAAAATACAAGTTTTTATTTTGCAGCTAAAATGCCTTGTATAGGTAATAATGCTCTATATGCATTTAGAAATATCAATCTACATGTATGCACTCTAACTGAATCTAAATATGCTTTGTTTTACCAGCAGTTAAAGTGCAATTATTCAACCTTTTGTTCGTCAAGTAATCATCCTCCTCGCTGGTCATTGGAAAAGTGTGTAGATTGTAGAGTCAGGTGATACTTGACTGTGAGGCATGTGTTAACGTAGATTTTCAGCTCAAATAAAAAACTTGTTGAAAACTAATATCAATTATGAACTAAGCATTGTCTTGCATATTCCTTTCCAGTTCATGCCTTCTGCTGTATACAAATAAAGAATAAGACTTTGTATAATAGATCAGCTTAGAAAAAGATTATGAATGTTGAATTATGTGAGGAAATCTTTATTAATTAATGATTAAATGTAGATAACTATGATGATGATGATGGTTAAATGCATCTCAAGAATACGATTAATAAACTAACATCGTATGGCCCATTACTTCCATTATATCCTTTCCCTTGTAATGATTTAGTGATAAATAGAATTTTTAGAAATGAGAGAGAGAGAGAAAGAGCAGTACAGTCTACTCCCGTTATAATAACCACAGATAGAACAAGATTTTGTTATAACGAGGCATTTCTCCTAGTCCGATTTCAACCATGCGCACATGTGTCTATGTGTTCAGTATACATGTAGCGAGATTTTGTTATAACGAGGTAATTGGCTTGGTCTCGAGCACCTCGTTATAACGGGAGTGGAGTATTATACAAGAAAATTGGTGGGAAAAAAGAACGAAGTAAGGAAAAATAGAGAGAGAAAGGACAGATGAAGTCAGACAGTGTAGAATAAAGGGGCATAAGTGACCAGCAAAATAGCTTAATGAATGTTTGGAACTGAGATTTTAGGCGCAAAAGTCAGGAATTTTAATACACACGTTATTTTATTGTACATGAGCAAGAACATTCAATACAAAGATATGTATTTTCTAGCTAGTCATTTCAACATACTAGTACAACGAGATTTCGTTAGAACAAGTTCAATTTCCTGGTCCCAACTTCAAGCATGTGCACATGTGTCTATACGTGTGCCTATGTGTTCAGTATAACAATATTTCATTACACTAGTAGGTAATTGGCTTGGTCCCGGGCACCTCGTTATAACGGGAGTGGACTGTAATTAACAAACACACACACACATACCTTTCACATGTAAAACCAAACTATGTTACCGATTTCAAGGGCATCAAAGAACATGGAATGCCTGTAATGATGAATGTGATTGGTCCTCATTTGTGAGGTCGGCGTGAGTGGCATATAAATCATGAAGATCACGATCGAAGTCAATCTTGATCAAAAGGTTTTTTTTTTAAAGGAACCTAGCACATAGATTCCACCACCCCCTCCCCCTTCTTGACAAAAATGTTTAGAAAACATGCTCAAATACACTCAAATAGTCTACCATTAATTATTTTAATTTATCAATCTATTATTTATTAAAGCATTTTTATACAGGATAACAGTGTTCAGGTATATTGTGTTTTCAACAAGTTCCTGTTAACATTGAAAATAGATTAAAATGTGAAATAAATATGTAATCTAGAGGATATAGAGAAATCTTTCCCAGTCTCATACTATAACATCAGCATATCTCCAGATGTAATAGATTGTGCTCAAAACATGCTTAAATACACTAACATGTAAATACATGTAGTCTACCATTGATTGCTTTAATCAATCAATTATTTATTAAAACATCTTGAAGCAGGATAACATGTTCAGGTATATCGTTTTCAACAAGGTCCTGTTAACATTGAAAATAGATTAAAATGTGAAATAAATATTTGATAGTAATCTAGAGGTTATAGATTGCACATCTTTCCCAGTCTCATATACTATAACATCATCAGCATATCTCTAGATGTAATTGATTGGGCTCAAAACATGCTTAAATACACTAACATGTAAATACATGTAGTCTACCATTAATTGCTTTAATTAATCAATTATTTATTAAAACATCTTTAAACAGGATATTTGTTCAGGTATATTGTTTTCAACAAGGTCCTGTTAACATTGGAAAAAGATTAAAATGTGAAATAAATATTCAGAGGTTATAGATTGCACATCTTTCCCAGTCTCATATTATAACATCATCAGCATATTGTTATAACTCCAGATTTAATAGCTGGTGATATATATCATTTATAAATAGAAATAACAAAAATCGGAGCAAGTACTCCTCCTTTAATATGGTAGGGGGACTACTCCTACTGACATTTCCTTTTTTGCAGGAAGTTTACCTTGCGAGAGTACAACTTGTTTTCTTTCATTCCGATAACTTGAAAACCATTTAATCATAAATGATTCTTAAGTTATTGTTCAGAACCAAAAATAATTTTTCCTTCACTGCCAGTGTCCTCACTGTTATCACTGTCCATTGATTCACTTTCTTCATTAATCAAGAGGGGCTGCAGGTTACATAAGCCAGCACATACAATTAAAATGTCATCAACATTTTGAACAGTAGCAGGGATTGTGCTACTCAATATTTTGAAACATTTCAAACGTCGGATCGCCCTCTCGACATGGATCCGTACATTTGCAATTCGTCTGGTTTCCGTCACACATTTTTCGGGTAGGCGACGGTCTTTGAATCCCCTCGTGAATGTTGGGATCGACAGTTTTACACCTGGTGGTAAAATGTCCGTAATGGTGAAGCCTCTATCGGCTAGCACTTCATCCCCTGGTAACAAATGTTCCCCAAAACCACAATTTCTTGAAATAAAAGTGTCACTTGCACGTCCACCAAAGAGTTTCGAGACAAAGCACACAAATCCATTAGGTGCAATACAGTAAAGCGCCTTGTATGTGTTATGGCTTTTGTAGTTTGAATAAGTTTGGGCTCGTTTCATCAGATTTAATGGTCTTTGTACAAAGATCTCGAAACAGTCTATAATGCAGGTAGCTTTCGGATGGAAAGTAGCGAAGCTTTTGGGCCGAATTCTTGCCAGAGTGTCACGTGGCGGCCAGAAGATTATGTTACATCTCATGTAGTTTGCCATGAGTGGCAACCATGTAGAAAATATTGTACATGCTGTCGTCCTGGAGATGCGAAATCGTACTCCAAGGTCTGTGAACATTAAGCCTAGTCTAAGCCTCATGAGAAGAAGAAGAATCTGATCGTGGACCGCAATTTTAAAATTCGGTATAGAGGACAAAGACATGATAAGAGAATTTACAAATGCCCAAAACACAGCCAAACGTAATCCTGTGTAAAATTTCACGACACAATTATCCATGTTTGTAACAGATGCTTCAGGACAATGGTCTGTTTGTGATGCTTTTGACACGGTGCGCCACGATTGGTCCTTAATGGCATAGTTGTGATCTTGAAGGGGGATATCCTGCCACTTAAAAGGGGAATCCTCCATCTTTGGCGTTTCGGTCTGCATAGAAGTGTGAGTAGTGCCATTCCCTCCCTCATCATTGTCAGGCAGTTCATTAGGCTGTTCGTCATCAGTCGCCATGTCTGTCGAGTTGAGTGGCACTCGTCGCTTTGGCTGTGGCCTTCCAGGAGTCAGTCGTTTCTGTTACAGATCAAATAGTATTAATAATAAAAATAATGATAAATTAATAATGTAAGGAATTTGAAGTTCATCACAATCATACTTAATTGAAGGACAAAATTCACGCCCCTCCCTAGAAAAAGAAAAGAGAAAATTGAAGGGGGTATATTTCGCAAATTTCATGTTCGTAATTCTACCCTCCCCCCCAACTATTTTTTTTTAATTTTAAAACATAAATTCAATGGGGGGGGGGGGGATACATGGCATCATTAGAAAAACAAATTAAATACAAAAAGAAGATCATTTTAAATGTCTAAAATAGTCTAAAATCTATCATTGAATTTTCTTTCCACTCTTTTCTTTCTTCAAAATGTCAGATTGTTATTACAATTCATTGGCTATTCTATGTGTGTGGTTTTTTAAAGAATAGTATAGAACAAGATTGTGGTAAATTAAGTGGTAAATTAACTTACATAACTCTTGTAACCCAAGCATTGGAATGGATACGGCTGGTCTGCAGTTGGTTTGCCATCCTTGAAGTGGACAGAACACACCTGCATAAGAGAATAAAGCAGCAATGAATAAAAGCCATCCAGCATACTACTCTAGCCCATAACTAGGGTGCATAAAACATTGTCGTGGACTGGTAAAATGATTGTTTCACCCCTAATTTCGCTTGGAATTTGACGATGTTCCACGCCATTGACTGATGATAAAGCCTCCGACTCCGACTCTGTATTATCAAAAAGAGATAATTACATCCCAAAGTTGTCTTTACAAACCTTTTTGATCAAGAAAGGACACATTTAGACATGTTCTGTTTGTCCAGTTGTACCAATTAACGGCTCCGAAACTACTTTTGGGGTTGGCTACTCAAAACGCTTTGTCCCATTATTGTGATTCCGGTGCTATACTATTATAAAGGCAATTAACTTTTCCTACCAACCACTGGCATAATTGTGGGGTGCAAAAAAAAGGTCCTAAAGTCCTTGATAAATAGTTGATTTCAGGTCACTACTTCAACTGGTTCTAGGACAACTACCCCCTGGACATTTACCCCCCCCCCCCCCCCCGGAAAATTAGCCCCCAAGGACAATTACCCCCCGGAAATTTACTCCCCCGGAAAATAGCCCCCCAAGGACAACTACCCCCCAAGGAATTACCTCCCGGAAATTTACCCCCGGAAAATTACCCCCCAGGACAACTACCCCCTAGGACAACTACCCCCCGGACAACTACCCCTAACCCTAAACCTAACCCTGGGGTAGTTGTCCTGGGGGGTAGTTGTCCTAAGGGGGGTAGTTGTCCTAAGGGGGGGTAGTTATATATCCAGGGGATAGTTGTCCGGGGGGTAGTTGTCCAGGGGGTAGTTGTCCTTGGGGGGTAATTTTCCGGGGGGGGGGGGGTAATTGTCCTTGGGGGCAGGAAGCAGGGTAGTTGTCCGGGCGGTAAACTTCCGGGGGGTAGTTGTCCGGATACCACTTCAACTTATACTTCAACAGAATTTGGCGAAGCCCTCATTACGTCACTGCTGCCAAATGACTAAAGTAAACCCACCCATCTAACGTTGAAGAATTTGCCGAGTAGATCTACTAGATCTATTAGTTAGATCTTTAATAGACCAAAGAATTCTGTCCCTGGTTTAGGGAAGGGGTGACAGAATTCTTCGGTCGACAGTCACTAGATTACTTAGTCTAGATCTAACTTAGGCTAGCTAACGTTAACTTAACTTGTTAGACTGTTTAAATTTAATCCGTTGTAAATTTTTGTTTAGTTGGCAAAGGTTGTAAAAGAAAGAAAAAATTGAAAAACTCACCCTGCTGTTGGCATTTGGTATAAAATTCTTGCGATTTATATTTTTCAACCACTCCTGAAGTTTTCGGGCAGAATCATGATAACGTCCATTTGGGAAACGGTGCATTTGGTAAGGTTGCAAGCACTCACATTCATCGTGCGTCAAAGGTGAATGAATTTCACACACCAATAGTTTCCATTTTCGAAGTTTTTTACTATTGTTTGTGCATCCAACCACTGCACAGTTTTTCCCTGTTCCTGTCTTCGATTTTTTCATGATGAAACAATACACATGAAATCCTTTTTGTCCAAAGAAAAACGTCACAAAACTCGCGAGTAACAGAGGTGCAGCGAATAGAATCGATCGCTCAACGGGTATGCTATACCTATACCTCGCCCAGGCCGGCCAGGGTCGCTGCGCCGCTAGCTAGTAACCGCTCCCGAGCTCTCTGTACTGTCAGCTGGATCGGAGAAGCCCCCCAGTTATAGCGCCGCCACCGGCGGGCAGGTACATAAAACCCCCAAACCGAATCGGTGTATAGCTAGTGAATATACTGATGATGATATGATGTAAAAAGAAACAACATATATTCTAAGAAATATTGATTTTAAAATCTATTGTGAGAATACAGCACAGCAGGTTTAGCAATGGCATCACTGTATTATGCAATACTGTTGTCAGTTGATAAAACTGGATAACATTTACAATTTCACATACATGCTTATTTGATTAACTTTTTTTTTAAATGTACATATGAACAATCATCAAATACCCTTTCCTTTACGCACCCCTTTCTCCCATCACAAAATAAATAAAAATTCACAGCTCCTTTTGGATTTTCTATAGATAGATCTTTCCTAAGCTTTTACTAGCCTGTCATGTAAAATTGCTGTCTTGTCCAGTTCTCGTCTCTGTTGACATCCCCCCTTTTTTTCACCTGTTTTGTTAATTTAATTACTCATTATTTCTAATATCATTTGAGGTGTTCACACTTGTACAATCATTGCCTTTTAGAGGACCCCTCTGTTTCCAATATGTATTTCTACATTTGTTGTAAATATTTATAATTGATTTGTAATAATTTGTTGGAAACATAAATAAATTGAAATTGAAATTGAAGAAAAGAAAGCTTGTGTATTTTATTTTTTTTTTCTATATTTTTTCTTTAGAACGTCATACCTCTGTGAAGTCAACTTGTGCCTTGTTGATCCTGTCCTGTCTGTCCCTGATGCTAGCTAGTTGTTGTCGGTACCAATCTCTGGCTAGCTCTAGAGCCTCCAAGCCCTGCAGGAAGATGTCTCTCTCTTGCTCTAGCTGCTTCATACGCTTCAGCTAAAGAAAAACAATATTACAAAATAATTAAATAAATAAAATAATAATGAAATAAAAATTAAATTGCTTCATCCAGTTCACCAAAGAGAAGTCCATGGTATAACTGGGTATGTTTCTTTAAAAACTTATGTCCCACTACTATCGATTACATTAAGTGAAAATAAGTTGAAATCATATGTTCCATTTTAGCTTCATGCAGTTCAACAAGAGAAGTCCATGGTATTACATAACTATACCGGTATGTCTATTTAAATATGAAATAATTTTGCCACACCACTATCGATTACATTCAGTGAAAATAAGTTGAAATCACATTTTCCATGTTTAATATACCATTGTGTTACGTTTAATATACCATTGTGTTACGTTTATAGATCGACCTACTCGGGAATAGTCCTGTCCATAGATCAAATACAAAAACATCTTCAATGTGGAGTTATTATTCCATGAAAAATTAATGGATTATTTTTAACAAAATGGGGGAAAAACTTATCAAATACTATGCATTGGTTTGGTTTGCATTGATTTCAAACCAAATATTGTACAGATCAAAGTCCTCATAGTTGATTAAAGAGAGAGAGATTACACAGAGATTACTTGGAAAAAATGAATCAAAGCTGCATTATGCACAAAAACTAAGTTATATTACATTGAAATTAGAGTAAGAGCATGTTTAATCAATTAATCTACATTTGCCTCACTCGACCCAGGTGATGTAAATGGGAACCTGGCAGGAATTAATTCCTTGAAATGCTAGAGCGCCGTAATGGCAGCCGTGCTAAAGCCGGGATAATAGTTGTGGAGTACCAGGAGTGTCAAGTCTGACAGACATGAGCGCTATACAAGAACCCACTATTACATATGCATGTATACATTGTACTTATTTTTCACAAAACTTTAAGAACCTGCATCCAAACAAAAATTCAGAGAAAGATGGAAACATGTTCTGACTTGCAAGTTACAATATCTTTTAAAAATACATGAGAAAGTAAAACGTATATCGAACCAAGTAGACACTGCATGTACTAGCACTGTGCATAAACAAACAAAGCATGTACATGTACTATATACCTACATGTCTACAAATGATGAAGTACCCCTTTGCACAAAATAAACAGAAATCTTATCACTTGTATAAACTAGTAATTATCTGAATCTAAATACAAGTTTGCAAACATCATGTACATGTATGTAAAGTGTTATGACATTGGGTCAGCTTATCCACAGAGATTATCATTACTTGGAGCTATGACTTTTTTGTTAAAAAGCGTTCCACAAAGCCCAGACACTGGGGCAATCAATAACGTTGCCCCCATTGTCGAACGGTGCTGATCTTGAATCAGAAATCAATACGTAGCTCTTGTCATCGTCAATTATTCAGGAGGATTACATCCAGAACACAGCTGAGTCTGTGTTCGTTGAGGGGGAGCACGTTTTTGTGTTAGGTCCATGCTTTGATGTTCAGGAGAGAAAAGCAGTGATGTGGGCGGACCATTGTTTAGAAGCGTTGACAAGGCTCAAGAGTTGGTCTTTGCAACTGGCAAGACTTAGGTTAGATAATGGGCAAGGCATCTATTCATGTTTCAGAGTAGCCACTTATGGGTAATATGGTATAAAAAAATCCATGCTTTGATGTTCAAGAGAGAAAAGCAGTGATGTGGATGGATCATTGTTTGGAAGTGTTGACAAGACTCAAGAGTTGGTCTTTGCAACTAGCAAGATCTATAGAGAATGGGCAAGGCGTCTATTCATGTTTCAGAGTAGCCACTTACATGTATATGGTTCTGCAAATGTGACACAATAGGTCCATGCTCTGATGTACATGTACATACAGGAGAGAAAACCAGTGATGTGAATGGACCATTGTTTGGAAGTGTTGACAGAGTTGGCCTTTGCAACTAGCTGGCAAGACATAGAGAATGGGCAAGGCATCAAGATCTATTCATGTTTTAGAGTAGCCACTTATGTGGTTCTGCAAATGTGACATCCATTATGTTACCCCTTCCACACCACTTACGACACTACTTCTGCACCATCTGTACAAAGCTTGCAATCAATTTCAAAAGAAGTCGCATCATGATATGAAAAACATGAAGTCTGGTAGTAAAGACTAATCATCCAGGACATTCTATTGTGGACATCATCTCCTCTGGTCACTAACTGGTCAGCTACCTTCCTGGGCGGTCAGTTACAATGATCAATGGAGTCATTTACCTCTATTCTCTAAAGGACATTGGTCTACTCTGACCAGGAGCTGGTCATCTACCTTGGTAGTTTTTTTTTAAATTGACCAAAGGAGTCGTTTACCTCGAAGACACCCCTAGTACAAACATTGGGCTCTGTTCACTAACTGGTCAGCCACCTTAAGAAGCTGTCTCTGAAAGGGAGGAGAGGAGTCGTTTACCCCTAAGAGACCGGTATCATGTCCTGATGCAAAGTTCACTGACACCCATCAAAGGAATCCGTGAAAGGGTTTAAACATTAAAGAGATAATTGCTCCTTGAAATCAATGAATACTTGGCACTGCTTCAGAAATTTCTGATGGGGGATATGAGATGAAGACAAGTCTGATTCACATTTGAACTTCATATCATGTTTTAATTAAGAGCCATAATGGAATTAACTTTTATAATTGTATCATTGACTAAATACACACTTAATGCCCTTTTGTTTGATGATAACATGCTTACAACTTTATGAAGGCTTGTTTGTATATATATATGCTGTGGTGTACCGCTGCAATTAAACCCAGTTTTTATTTAAAGTGTTCTGCACTTCACCTCTTCATATCTGTAATAATAAAAGACACAGATAAAATGAGAACACAACTCCACATACAACTTTTAAATCCCTGTCTGCCTTTCATTTTAAATGAATGCCAATGAAGTGGGGTGAGAAAAAGGTACTTGTATCTTTGCCCAACAAAGCCCTCAGGCGCGCTCATTGGTAACAGAAACGTGAGGAGCACCAAATGTCATTTTATTTTGCCGTGGGAGGTTTTTTAACGCAGTTTACCGCATCGTACGAGCAAGGCTTCATCTTCTCGAGATGACTCTGTGATAGTATACTGAGGGAAAGATTGGATGAAGGGGTGATGCACTTTGAAAACCTAGAACAGATAAACCTTTTATATATATTCTACCATTCTTATGAATGACTGCAATGATGCAATCAATAGTATTATTGTGTCTTCCTCTTCAAAAGTTTAATCTCCGTCTCATCGCCCTTCAGTGCTTGGGTAGTCTGTGTTCTCTGGTAAACACATAATCGCTCTGTCTAGTTTGCTAAATGCTGACCATCATACTACCTACGTATTAGTGACTTTTCAAAGAATTTGTTACCGGTAATAATACATGAGAGGTACTTAAAATGTACAGTGACTTTAAACAAATCAAAATCAAATCCAGATATTCAAGGTTAGGGTTTGGGTTAAGGCATGAGAATTACAAATGAAATAGACACTATCACATATTTCCAAATACAATCTTTTTTCCTTTTTTATAACAAAAATTAAACAATAAACCATATACTCACTGTTCAGTGCTAGACTTATATAAAATCCTTAACCCACATAGAAAGTACCCGGAGACAAAAGTCTTGCCCACCAGGATTTAATTTATGCCACCTTTCCTATTCCTTGAATATACCGGTAGCTAATAGACGTAATAATTTTCTCTGTAAAGTCAATGGTGGAAGAAAATAGTCCAGTAGTAAACAATTAGCTCATGTATTGAAAAAGGCATCTAATTTTGAATACCCACATGAACATCTAAAAATGTTCTTACTTTAACTTATTTAAGCAAATTAAGGTCAATTTTAACATTTTTTGTTCTACTTTATTTATTCCATTAAAAAAATGTGTTCTATCGGCACTTCATGATAATAAGGAAAGATATATGGCATTTATACCACTTTTGTTGAGACTCTGCTTTATATTTCCAGCAAATAAAACGCTCTTTTATTTCTTACAGAGTGCCGGGTCTAAACATCACATGTCTAAACTTGTTTACAAGCAGGCCTCAGGTGAAAATATGTACTGGTACTTGTTTCTAATAACTTCCTAATACATCGGGGAGCAATTAGTGCCTGCATGGGGGAGTCAAGCAACTTTCTGATCACAAACACCAGAACGCCCCTACTAATGTGAATAGCAAGACAGCATGTTGTCCCCACGCAGTGTTTCCCTTTATGATACCAAGAAGGAAGGCATTGTTGTTTAATATTGATCAGGCACACTGCGCTCAATTAAAGAGTTTCTATTGATGTTTCCTGTCGGGGGTCTGTGGAGTGGGTTCGGGCAGGGATTTACACCTGGTTATTTACTGCATGGCTGGCTTGGTTACCAGCAAGCTGTGACGAACAGCTAGCTCGATCCACTCTCATGATTTATTCATGGTTCTTCATGGAATTTGTACTAGCTCATGGTGCTTACATCATTTCTTAATTAACTTATCAGCAAAGAAAAAAGATACAATACTACTTATGATTTATTCATGGACCTTGATGGAAGTATCATGCAAGCTCATGGTGCTTACATCGTTTCTTAATTAACTTATCAGCAAAGAAAAAAGATATTATACTAGCTACATGTAGTTCTCAATGCTGCATTGTTTATCAAAATTCTAGAAATTAATACCAGGTTTTAAAGGAAAGATGATGTGAATCTTAAGCAAAGGCTTATCACGTCAAGCTGTGCACCTAGAATTAGTTGTGCATCATAAGGATGTCAAATAACTAAGTTTTGATTCAGAGCTTCTCCCTACAAAGTATATTCTATAAATACAATTTGTATTTTACTTCCAGATTCGCACACACTATGAAACAATAAAAAGCCCAAATGAAGAATTATACACAAATTTTTAACTGCCTTGCAAATACATGTATGCAACAAACATCTCTAAATTTCAGAAATGTAAATTTTAACTTTTTATATATCACAATGGCAAACTTCCCAAATATCAATAGAAATACTATTTGCTCATGAAATTTGACTTTTATGT